CTTTAGGATTCAATCAAGGGCATGTCATAGGCTACAACAATGAAGACACATCGTTATTAACTGTGATATTATGTATTCTCAGTAGTCTGTTATGTCCATGGTACTGTTCATGTCTATAGGCGACGGTTACCACTTTCCATCAGGTTGCCATTCTAAGTTGTATAAAAAAAATTCCATGTAACTTTTAATTAGGTATATCAATTTGTAAGTCTAAACTTACTTCTTCGGTAAGTAATCAACTAAAATCACTTAAGATTGAAGAACTCGTTTAACAGTGATTTACTAATGCCGATAACATTTAAATACTGTTTCTGTTCACTAGTATTATAATAACGAAACTCAATGAGATCAGTTTAAACCACTTGATAACTTTCCTTATTCCACCCACGCCATTTGCTGTCCCCATCTCATCTTTATGTACCTACATTTTATTGATGATATTTATTATTCGACTACCCTGTCACTACACTATATTGACAGCTAAATATATACGGGGTGAATAGATCTTCCGTATCATAAATAGTTCCTTAAAAATCTCATGCAATTACAATCTAGCGTAATAGCGTGTATGTAAAAAACCTTAAATAGAAGTAAACACAGTACTTTGTCTATCGATAAATATAACCATATTAAAAAAATATATAAAACTATAAAAATTGAAATTTATGTAATAAATACCTATTAATTATACGTTAAAATGACCATACCGCCCAATATTTGTTTTTCCAAGTTTAGGAATGGATATGGCTGATAACTGTGAAGTATATTTTGTTGTTGATGCGAAGAATCTCCATTGTAGTACTACAGTCTAATATCTAGCAAAATACCAACAAACGGTTGTCCCGAGTAAGCTCTAGCGTGCAGCTATGATCCGATATACAAAATACAAACATCTAATATCCAATACGACGAATAGAACTGATTAGAAGTAGGAAAAGATATAAAAAGTGTATATAAATAGGTATAAATTGAAAAATAATGATATACAACGACAATAGGGCATGGGGTTGCCACATGATCACGAGCAATGCACTAAATCTATGACGATTTTTAATTAATTAAACATTTACATTGTCCCTATATCACAATATTGATAAAATGTTTAAAAAATATTACTATGGATATAATAGAATGAATATTTATTTTTTATTACTATTAAAAAAAATTACAAGCAATTATAATTAAATACCTCCCTTATATTAGCAATACTTAAAAATCCGCAACGCACACACAAACCTTCTTCATTGACAAAAAATTCTGTAGGGTAGATACAAGCTCCTGGTCAAATCACTAACGTACGAACAAGAGTTTCCTACCTATCCTTAGAGCAAAGATTTTTTCTCTCTCGAATCTTACTATACTGCTGACTTGCCCGACATATTGTGCATTTTATTCCTTGTGCATTTTGTGTGTGTTTTATTCCTCCGATTCGATAATAACAAAGGTAATACCGGCAACATTAATACATGTTATTTGTAGACTTAAACCTGCAGCAATCTTCCTATTCTGTTTTACTTTCCTTCTCTGGCAATTGGTTGTTGTGTTTACGACTACTTGTGGTAGTGGCACGTACAAGAGACTCGACCTGGAGACGTAAAATGTCTAGCAAATTTCAAAATGTGTGTTTATGATATCACAACACGGTCAGAGGGTATCCTCTTTAATAGACGCCACGCGACCTCAGAACTGTCGTACTAGAGGTCCATGAAGGGCCAAAGAACATCGAACTGTATATGAGCAGTCTAAATATAATTTTAAACTGCCTCAGCACGGTTATCATATAATAAATACTTACTTATAGCTAAACAGATCATATGTATTCGCAGTGTCCACAGTACATGGCAGATCAAACAAGGCTATGGACAATACACAAAGTAAGAATTTGCATGTCTCCGACAACACCAAACAGCGGACGACTCCATACAGTTGTGATGTATGTAGTAAATATTTTAACAGAAAATCAACATTGCAACGGCATTTGTTCATACATACAGGCGAGAAGCCATATAGTTGTGATATATGTAATAAATGTTTTAGGAATAAATGGAATTTAAAACAGCATTTGTTGATACATACTGGTGACAAGCCATATAGTTGTGATGTATGTAATAAAAGTTTTAACCAAAAGTCAATATTGCAGCGACATTTGTTGTTGCATAGTGGTGAGAAACCATATAGTTGTGATGTATGTAATCAATGTTTTAAACAAAAATCAACATTACAACGGCATTTGTTGATACATACTGGTGATAAGCCATATACTTGTGATGTATGTAATAAATGTTTTAAAAGAATATCAACACTGCAACGGCATGTGTTCAAACATATTGAAGACGTGCTGTATTAAATGTATAATTCAAGTAGGTATAAGTATTTATAAGACAAGATAAAGTTCAGGGGTACAAATAGCAATACCTCAAATAACAAGCATTATGTTTGACATATCACGCGATTATAAATTTGTAAATAATTTGTAAATAATTTTGTAAATAAACTGGCTTTAAAAAAAAAGTAATTCAATTGAGTTTCTTGCCAGTTCTTCTCAATTGGATCTATATACCGAACTGGACGGTAGGGTAAATATAAAATTATAATGTAAAAATTTGACGTTCATAAGCGGCTAAAATGTCCTACATGAATAAATGATTTTTGAATTTTGAATTTTTTGAATTTTATATATATATTGTGGAAAGTAATAATGTCATTATACATAATATGTAGATGTGTGTATACGTGGAGAAGTCAGAATGTTCGCGGAATGAGGAGAAAGGGAGTTGAAATTAAACATGAAAGTATTTTTCATTCTCTGTATATTCTCGCTCAACTTTAATACATTTTTCTGATCTCTCAAATAATTTTTTTTTTTACAACACAGGGGGCAAACGAGCATGCGGCTCACCTGATGGTAAGTGACTACCGCCGCCCATAATCACCCACAACACCTACGGCATTGCAGGTGTGCTGCCGGCCTTTTAAAAAGGAATATGCTCTTTTCTTGAAGGTTATGTTGTCGTATCGGTTCGGAAATACTGCTGCTGGAAGTTGATTCCAAAGAGTGGTTGTGCGTGGGAGAAAGTGCCTTGAAAAACGCACGGTGGAGGATCGCCACTCGTCCAGATGGTTGGGATGAAATTTTAGTTTATGGCGGGTTGTACGATGGTGAAAATCAGCAGCAGGTATCAATCCGAACAATTCTTCAGAGCACTCCCCATGATAAATTCGGTAGAAGATGCACAGAGATGCAACATCTCTATCATCTCATTTGTCTATCTCATCGAAAAAAAAGATTTATCTTTGCTGTCAAAGTAAGCCGAAATTGCAGACTTGACTTCTTCATCAAAAAAAAAAAAAAAAGTGGAGGTGCGTGTTGAAGTGCTTAAAGATTTAAAATTATTTTTTCGAATATATATCGTATTACTCGCCACATATAGATTATAAAAACAACCATCAAGATTAAAGTTAAACAAATTACATAAAACAGTGCAAAATAAAGTGAGATATAACTAAATATAGCTGAAAACGAATACGAAAGGTTACGAATTTCATAAATCTAATTATACACAAATGTGGGTATCAAAATAAAAATCGACTTTGGTATCTCATCTGATAGTAAGTGCTACAAACATTATAAAAAGATCTCCATAGACAATACTTCCATAGACAATACTTCCATAGACAATACTTTCATAGACAATACTTCCATAGACAATACTTCCATAGACAATACTTCCATAGACAATACTTCCATAGACAATACTTCCATAGATAATGCTTCCATAGACTAGTACATAGAAATACATGTTTGGAGCTAACTCTTGAACGATAACTAATTTTCGGCCTTTTGACTAACTATATATATTAATTATTTTCGAATACTTATTGACTACTCTGATTCAGCAAGTGACTGCCATTTATATCGAATCAAGAAGTTGTGGATCACTACTGCAAAGGGATTGACATAGATTTAGAGGAATACTGATAATTAATATAAATTTACGTAATCAACTAATATTGAAATATAAGAATAAAAATTATATTACATATTTAAATAAATTTCAATATATAAAAAAAAATGGAAGAAGACAATGTAACAATTCGAAAGAAATTGGGAGGGATTCATTCTAGCTCATATGAATCTCTTCCTAATCTAGAAACTTCATCTCCATTGTCATCTTCATCAAATAGACTCTATAGTCTCCCAGACATATCCACTGTATGCTATAATGAACTAGAAGAATTAAAGAATATTATAGAAGATTTAAAATTACAACTAAGTGGTGCACACGAGGAAATTGATAAATTAATACTTAATAATAACAATCTACAACAAATTATCAAAAGCAAAGATCTAAAAATCAGTAAGCAGCTACATTTAAGTTCTCCTTCAACACATAGAAAAGAACATATTAAAACACCAAAACAGAAAAGCTTGACTAAGAAACAAATTGATTTCTTAGATTTAGATATACACTCATCACCATTTATAAACAACAATATATTGTTGAATATATTTGAAAATAAGCACCTGAATGTAAAACTATTGAATAAAAAGATTCATTTACTGTGTAACAATTTTCGGAACTGCCACTACTTAGAAGTAAAATTAAAATCTAATGCTTATATCTGTAATAAATTAAATTTAACAATCGACTCTTTAGATTATAATGATAAATACTTACCATTTTTAAAACACAGTAATAAATGCTTGATGCCATCAGAAAATCAAGTCAAAAAAATAATACATAATACAAATTCACTTGATGAGTTAAGACGTTCTAGAACTACAGTACAGACTACTTTATTAGATTATTTCCCAAGGTCTTTATATACCCGTAAAGCTAAATTAAATAAATATCCTGCATCAGAGGTGACACGTACAGATATTTTACAAATTGACGAGAATAGTTACGTTGATGGTGCTAGGTTAACCCTGACACCACGACTGCGCAATACATCGGAAGTTCGTAATGATAAGACTTTTTTTCGAGATTAATAGTGACAATGAAAATAATATTTTAATAATGCACCAAAATATTGCTGGTATATTAAATAAACAAGAAATATTTCAAATAACTCTAGATGAATTGAAAACAAATGGCACATCTGTAGAAGTTATATGCCTTAGTGAAACTTTTCTAAAGTCCAATGATGAAAAAAACTTACACATACAGGGTTATTGTTTAGCAGATTTTTATTCCAGACCAAATCAACGACGAGGTGGTGTATGCATACTATGTAAAGACCATTACAGTTTTAACAAAATATCCATGCTTTCTGAATATGCTACTGAACGCACTTTTGAGTGTTGTGGTATTAGTATTCCACAAATGAAGTTCTTTATTATATGTATATACAGAATTCCTAAATCTGACCCGCAGTTATTTTTGAATAAACTCGAAACTTTATTAGACAAACTACGATACAAAAAAAATTATAAAATTATAATAGCAGGAGACTTTAATATAAACATTTTAAAAGATAGCAATATTCAGACTGATTATATAAGAATAATCCAAAATTATGGATTTACAATACATATCAATGAACCAACAAGACAACATGCTTGTCTCGATCAAATCATTAGTAATGTTTTCAATGTTATAGGACATACACACAAGGTAGGATTATCAGATCATGAGACATGCCAAACGATCCATGTTCCAATTCTAAAAGAACAAAAGCCGAAGAAGATGTGGTTTAAATTTAAGCGTGACCATAACGAAGACAATATGAATAAATTTGTGCAATGTTTGAGTGATTTCTCTTGGATGGAGGTTTTTGAAGCAACTAAATTAAATGACGCATTTAATTTTTTTTACGAAAATCTTATTCTTTTTTATAAATTATGCTTTCCTATGTGTAAAATAAAAATAACAAGCAAATCTAAGAATTCTGAATGGATTACGAAGGGATTAAGAAAATCATGTGTCACAAAAAGAAAATTGCGGTTCAAATATTACAAGAAGAAAAATCAAGAAAGTAGGACCCAGTATCGTAAATATGCTGAATCTTTAAAGCAATGTATATATGTAGCACAAAAACTAAATAATAAAAAATATCTAACTAAAGCAAAGAATATAAATAAGGCCACTTGGAACCTTATAAACAAACAAGATCAACTTTATAGGAGAGATAAATATATACATCGACTATATCATGACAATAAGATTATAACCAATTGTAATGACATATGTAACATTTTTAATGACTTTTATATAAATATAGTAAAAAAAATTCATAATGACAAAATAAAACCGACTAAACTTACTCAAATAAATTATCAGAAAAACAGTATGTTTCTATCACCAACAACATGCGATGAAATATATAAAATCATCATATCTTTAAATAATACAGAATCCGTTAGATATGATGAGTTTCCAACAAAGTTATTAAAAACCTGTGCACATATAATATCTCCAATTTTAAGTTATTTAATAAACTTATCTTTCATAGAAGGGACATTTCCAGATTTACTTAAAATTTCAGTAATAAAACCAATTTATAAGAAATATGACAAACAGTTAGTAGATAATTACAGACCTATTTCCTTGATACCAATAATAGCAAAGGTGTTTGAAAAGGCAATATATACAAGAATCGTTGCTTTTCTAGACAAATTCAAAATTTTAAAAGATGACCAACATGGTTTTCGTAAAGGAAAATCTATTTCTTTAGCTGCATTTAAGCTTATAAAGACAATAACTGAAAATATTGACAAGAACATTGACACAGTTGCAGTTTTCTTTGATATGAGCAAAGCATTCGATTGTGTATCCCATGACATTCTTCTCAAAAAATGTGAAAAATATGGTCTACGAGGACTTGTATTACAATGGCTAACTAGTTACCTAGAAAATCGCCGTCAATATGTCGAAATTAGTGGAATCAATGATCATGCTGAAGAAATACATTATAAATCCAAAACCTCTGTTAATGATGTGGGAGTTCCCCAAGGAACAATTTTAGGACTCCTGTTATTTATAATATATATAAATGACCTACCAAATGTAACTAAACACCAATGCACCTTATTTGCGGACGATTTTTCAGTAGTAATATCACAAACTCCACAAACAGATTTCAATACTGATATCTGTGATACTATTGCTAATGTTGTGGAATGGCTCGACTCAAATTGCTTAGAAATTAATATTGAAAAAACTAAATATATGAGATTTTATAATAAAAGACCAAAAAGTGATCAATTAATAATTACAATTCGTGAAAAATTAATAAATGAAATAAAAGAAATTTCATTTCTTGGTATTACTATTGATAACCAATGCTCGTGGAAAAACCACGTAATAAAAATATGTAATAAATTAAACAGATTTGTCTATGCTCTCTGGAAATTAACCAAATTAGTAGAGCAAAAAGCAGCAGTCATGGCATATCATGGACATGTGGCATCAAACCTTAAATATGGTATACTATTATGGGGAAATTCGGTAAATATTAACAGAGCGTTTATAACTCAGAAACAATCTATCCGTGCCATCTGTAATAAGCGACCTATGACACCTTGTACGCCACTATTTAAGCAGCTGAAAGTACTCACGGTTCCATCAATATACATATTGGAGTGTTGCCTCTTTGTGAAAAAACATTCTTATTTATTTGTAAAAAAAGATGACTTCTATAAATTTACTATTAGACATCCTGGAAGGCTTAAGCTACCAAACATAAAAACACGTCTATATCATAGTAACAGTTACTCATCGTGTATAAGAATTTACAATAAATTACCAAATTCACTTACTGATCTGTGTTTAAAAAGGTTTAAAGTCATTTTATGTAAATGGTTAATAACAAAATGTTTTTATACACTGAAAGATTATTTTGCAAGTAAAACGGACGACATTATATAATTGAATCTAGAATGTAGAATATTGTATGCAACACATATTTGTAAATGTATGACGGACGTAACCTACTGAAAAATAATGACATGCATGTATAATTTTACAATAATAATTTGAACTTCAATGTGGCTTTAGTAATATGACTTCTAATTAATAGTTGATTATTAATAATACATATAAAATGTTGCATGCCAGGCTGGCTGAATGTCATGGTTACACAAAATGTATAATGTTATCTAAACTTACCACATTCATCGCAATAAATTTCATTTCATTTCATTTCATTTCATTTCATTTCATTTCATCGTCTCCAATTTTTATCCACTCAGCTCATTTTTCACTTTTGGGAGTAAATAATAGTCGCTGGGGGCCAAGTCTGGTCTGTAAGGTGGGTGGTCTAAATTTTTAAACCCGTATCTTTTGACAGCTTTCCTCTTCCTTTTTCCTTGACAGCTTCTTCATCAGTCGTCATGATCTTTCTGGGCGATTGTGACGCTTTAAATTTCTTCGGAGAAGTTGTGCTTTTCTTATGCCACTGCATCGACTCTTGTTTCTACTCAGGTTTATAGTGGTGAACCTAGGTCTCATCTCCAGTAACAATCCGGGCCATAACTTCTTTCCTACTTTCTCTACAAAGCTCCGCCGGAGCGGGGGTCATTTTCAATAAAGTCTCTTCCTTGTGTGAAAAGACCATGCCACTTGTAAACCATGGTTTTACCAGGGGCAGAGTCCGCGTTAACTGCTAACAGTTCTTGAAAAATCGTCTGAGCGGATTTTTCTTGCTTGGTTGAACTTAATAATGGCGTGGTGTTCAATTTTCTTCATACTCACTGACTTCTTCCAGAGTAACTTGTTTGCAGGTCGATGATTCAAAAGATAATGATTCGATTTGGTTAAATATATAGTATACGTACTCTTAATGAGGTGCTTGACAAGTGACTATTTGGACGAGTAAACTAACCTCCACTAACCACTCCATTCCGCAAACTTTTTGACTTCCCCTCGTAACGTGACAGTTTTGATCAATTTACTATTGTATAGTAATAGTTTCTCTTATTGATAAGTGAAAATTATTTTGTTTCCTAAGGGTAGAAAAGACATTTGTGCCACTTTTTGCTGATATGACTTAATGCTGTTTAGTTCAGAATTTTACAATCTGTCAATCTTTTACAGTCTGTATATTTATTTATTAATAAATGTAATTGTTGTGTTTTGTGGGTTTTTATATTGGGTGTAGTATTTAAATGCTATTATTACAAACAACAGATTTATTATATGTAATTAATTTTGTAAAAGCAAGCGATAGCAGACAGCGCAAATCTGACAGAACATTTTGACATTTCGTGTTGAGGTGCGTTCCGAGCGTACGTAACACTCCCCCACGTTGTAACTTAAAGGTTCAATCTGTTTGTAGGTTTTCTGATTCTCGTACTTCGGCGAAGCACAACTGGTTGCTCGACACCACTCGGAGATGCCGGCGTAGCTACTGGTGCGAGCTGTGGCTGTGTCACATTCTCTGTAATAGAACCTGGAATAAATAAAGATTTTCTTTTAGAAACAGGCTTATTATTCTCCGTTCCTGTTTCATGGCAGGGTGAAGTTTCCAGTACAGGTGAGTCAGGTAAGTATTCTCTCCCATCAGGTGTATAATTCAATCTTCTTTCTTTTTCAGGTGATGATACAGATGTCGCAGCTGGCGTGGCTATCAACTTAGGTAAGTAAGGTAAGTATGTAACATCATTTCCTTGAGTACACATAGTTCTTCTTATCTGATCTATATGCCTTGTATGTATTTTTCCATCCACTTCCACATTGTAGTGTAGTTTTCCTTTCTTTTGTATTACTTTCCCAATTTTCCATTTATTACTGTCATAGAATCTAATCTGCACTCTGTCTCCTTCTCTATATATTTTATTAAATCCTTCTGTATTTTGTTTCATATTCATTTCTGTAGTTAGATCTCTTTTTACTAAGTCTATTTTTGTTCTATATAACCTTTTAAACATCATTTCCGCTGGACTTAATCCTGTAGTATTATTAGGAGTTTTTCTGTACATCATCAAAAATCTTGATAACTTTTCCATTAATGTGCCTTTCTCATGGATCATGCTTTTAATTTTATTTTTAAAAGTTTGTACATATCTTTCAGCCTGTCCATTTGTAGATGGATGAAACGGTGCTGTAAACTTGGACTGAATTCCATTTTCTTTCAGAAATGTCATCATTTCTTCTGAACGGAATTGTCTTCCATTATCTGATACTATAGTTATAGGTAGTCCAAATGTAGTAAATAAGTTTTTTAATATTTTAATAGTAGCTGTAGTTGTTATGGATGTAGTAGGTATTACTTCTAGCCATTTGGTGTATGCGTCCACAACAATCAGAAAATATTGATCAAAAAATGGTCCTGCATAATCAATGTGAATTCTACTCCATGGTTCTTTTGGGTATTCCCAACTGTGTATAGGTATTTTTGTAGGATTTTTCTGTAATAAACAACATGGTTTACATTCATTTACCATTCTTTCTATATCTGCATCTATATTTTTCCTCCAGACATAGCTTCTTGCTAGTGCCTTCATTTTTACAATACCAGTATGAGCTGTATGTAATTCTTGTAGAATTGCAGGTTGTAATTGTTTTGGAATGACTATTCTTATTCCATAGAAAATGCAGTTACTTTGTATAGAAAATTCATGTAGTCCTTTTGTATAATTTGTATCTGATTGAATATCCTGATATAATTTCTGTAATTCTAAATCTTTAGCTGTAGCTTCTTTAATTTTCTGGAATGTAACTGGTAGTACTGTAAGTTGATTCAAGTAGAATACATCATCATCTGTTAGTTGGTTACAGTTTACTGTAGGGTGTTCTAACCTTGAGAAATAATCTGCATTTGCATGTTCCGTAGACTTCCGTACTTTTATATTGTAGTCAAATCCAGCAAGAAAATTTGCATAGTGTAATAGTCTTACAGCGGTAGTTGTAGGCATAGGCTTTTCCGGATGAAGTATTCTTGCTAGTGAGAGAACTTTTTTAATTTTTTAAAGAACTTTTTCAAACCCCATATCAATGCTGCTGCCTCTTTATCCAGCTGGCTGTAGCCTTTTTCTGCACTGGTAAGTGATCTCGATGCAAATGCTATCGGTCTCTCCTTATTATCTGGCATAATGTGTGACAACACTGCACCAAATCCAACAGGTGATGCATCAGTAGCTAATGTAATTGGTAAGTGTGTATGAAAGGGTGTAAGTACCTTTTCGCTACATATTTCCTTCTTTAATTCTTGAAATGAAGTTTCACATTCTTTTGACCATATAAATTTTATATTTTTCTGAAGTGTATATAGAGGATTTAGTTTTGAAGCTAGATTAGGAATGAATTGTTGGTAATAATTAACCATTCCCAGAAATGTTCTTAATGTAGATACATCAGTGGGACGTGGACTATTCTTAATATCATTTACTTTTTCTTCAGTAGGATGCAAGCCGTTCTCATTTATTTTATGTCCCAAGTATGTAATAGATTTCTTCAAGAATTGGCATTTATTTTTATTTAAATGTAGTCCACACTCTTTTAACTTTTGAAAGATAGTTTGTATTCTTTTTAATAATTCTATGTATGTCTGTCCTTGAATAGCTATATCATCGAAGAAACAGGCTGTACCTGGTAGTCCCTGGAGGGTCTGATCCATGTATCTTTGCCATTGATTTGGAGCGACTTTGACACCAAACATTAGTCTATTGACTTTAAATGTACCTTTGCATGTACTGATGGCTTGCATTTCAGCTGTGGTTGGGTCAGTTTTCATGTGTAAATATGCCTGATTTATATCCAAGGTACAGAAATATCTACCACCACTTAGTTTGGAGAAAACTTCTTCCACTCTTGGGATTGGGTACTTATCATCAAGTAAATTTTTATTTAATGTGGCTCTGTAATCAGCACATAACCGTACACTGCCATTCTGCTTCACGACTGGTACTACAGGCGTTCCCCATTGTGAATATGTAACTTTCTCTAATATCCCAGCCTTCTCTAATCGATCAATTTCGTTTTCAACTTTTTCTTTTAGTGCAAACGGTACTGGTCTTGCCTTGATGAAAATTGGTGTAACATTTTCTTTTAAACTGAATTTCACTGTGTAGTTCCTTATTTCTCCAATTTCTTCTGAAAATATCTCTCTATATTGATCTATTAATTTTTCTAAATTTTTCTTGTATTGTTTTTCAGTTATATCATTTTTCCCGATCTCTATTTTATTTATTTCCAAACGTACTCCTAATTTTCTTAACCATTCTCTTCCCACTACTGGGTCGACTTTCCTATTAAGAACAAATAATCTTCCTGTAATTTTCTTATTTTTGTATTGTATTTTTATGTTACAAATTCCTATTGGGTTTATAATTTCACCAGTATAAGTTCTCAATTTTATTTTTGAATTTTCTAGTTTTAAATCACTGAAATATTTATTATAATATTCTGTAGAACAGGTGGTGACTGCGGCTCCTGTATCCAATTCCCATGTATGTCTCTCTTTGCTATGTAATTGTAATGTAATTTTAAACTTTTCATCCTTTTCGCTGTTTTCTATTTTATGTATTTCATAAATTTCATCTTGACTTGAATATTCTTCATCTTCAATTGTTGTAATTTGTTTTTGTGACTTAAAACAAACTGATTGGATGTGTCCTTTTCGGTTGCACTTTTTACAATATAATTTATTCTTCAAATAACATTTATTTGCTTTGTGGTTTGATTTTCCACATCTATAACAGCTGCCTTTCTTACCTGTATTTTTGTAAATTTTTGGTATAGGTTTTTGTGAAATTTTATTAATATTGGGCATATGAACATCTGGCCCCATTTGTTGGGTTTCACTTTTGGATGTTTCGATTGCCATTGCAATCCTTATTATTTCATCAAATGATGTTTGTGATGATTCTTGTAATAACCTTTCTTTAATTTCTGAACTGCGAAGACCTCGTATGAATTGTACACGTAAATGTGTATCAAATGTTGTAGATTTACATGAATTGCAGATAAAATTGCATTTTCCTCCTATTTCCTTTAGTCCCGCTACGTAGTTAGCGATAGATTCATTTTCATTTTGAATCCTTAAACAGAATTTGTGTTGTTGAGTAACTTCTCCTGGTTCTGGCGCAATATGGTTCTTTAATATCTCAACAAGTTGTTCATATGTTTTATTTTCCAGTGTATCTGGAGCAGTAATATTTTTAAGGACTTGGTAATATTTAGCACCAATACAATTTAAGAAGATTTGCAACTTTGTAACAGGGCTTGTAACCCCTTTAAGATTAATATAATTGTTCAATCTTTGTATGTATGATCCAAAAGATTCGTGGAGTTCATCATAAGGTTGTAAAACAATACCACTTACTGTGTTATTACTTGTAGTTTGCTGTTGCTGCATAAACATGGTTTGCATCTGCGCTTGTTGATTCTGCACCGTACGTAGTGTCTCGGCGAGTGACGCCATAAGTTGCGTAAATTGTACTTCCATTGTAATGGATACAGGAATTTGTGAAGCGGGCTATCATCACAGGGAAAGGAGCCCCTGGATTGGAAGGAAGGGTATGTATGTAGGAACAATTGGGTTATTGAACACGTGGCTGTCCCGCCATTTCACTTTAGGTGTACCGATTAATGCTGCTGTACCAGTTAATCTTCGATCCTCGTCGCCAGTCTGTTGTGTTTTGTGGGTTTTTATATTGGGTGTAGTATTTAAATGCTATTATTACAAACAACAGACTTATTATATGTAATTAATTTTGTAAAAGCAAGCGATAGCAGACAACGCAAATCTGACAGAACATTTTGACATTTCGTGTTGAGGTGCGTTCCGAGCGTACGTAACAGTAATAATTTATAAATAAAAATTCATTTAGACCTCATATTTTTTTTTTTAAATAATGACGCCAATTTTGTCTTGCATTTGTAACGTTTGTGGCTTATCATAATCTTATTAAACAGGAGGAAAAGGAGTGTTAGTAGTAGGGTCTAGCATTGTCATTGCTAGCAATATACTCTATCAGATCGATCTCCACGCTGTCTCCCCTTGAAACTATATTGGTTATTTTTTTATTTCCTTACGAGGGGCTAACTAACCTGCTTTCATCCTCACCTATCATCCCTCACTGATACTACGTCAGCGTTACCAATTAAAAAGATCCTATCAAACATTTTCTGCCGTCTAGGTCCCTGCATTGAACATGTCATATCAGGTGGATATAAACACTGGCGTCTCGCAGGGCTCTGTGCATTCCCCAACGCCGTTTCTGCTGTATATTATAGATTTGTTAACCTTAAATTTGTTAATTAAAATTTAAATAGTTAAGGTCACATCACTAATGGAATGGCGCATCACTATTGTCGCGTCCTCTCTCAATATATATGTCGTCACCATTGTACTAATGTCGGTCTCTATAATTAAACCAATAATTATTAAACAAGTCGTTGTCATTTATTACCAAGTCAATACAAACCTTAGTTGACATTCGTTGTTATGCGGATGACAGCAACACAGATGACACCATTATGCGGGTCGTACAAATGTCCTTCGTTCCACCATGGAGGACAATCGTGAACAGTGTCTTTTTTGATGGGTGAAAAAGAAATGGTAAACCCGCCTGCGCTAACGGGATACGCTGGCGGATCACCAGTGAAGGGTGAGAGATGAGAATGAAAACAGGCCAGTTAGCCCATCATGATAAATTCATCAGGAATTAACCATGATAGTTTCCAGGGGGAACCGCGAGGAGGTCGACCTGGTTGGGTATATTAATAGCAATGGGATTCTGAGTGTCCATTACTAATAATCCCTTTCCACCCTCGTGAACAGTGTCTGAATTCAAATAAATACAAAAAACTTTGATTCGAAACAAGAACGTTAACTGGATCTTGGTCTCTGATTGGGGACGACAAAACTTAGTTCAGTTTAACCTCACTTAAACACAAGCCACAGCAAATGGTTTTTTTAGCGGTGAACACGCACACCGCTAAAAAAACCATTTGCTGTGGCTCCACAGTTCCAAGGCACGTCTTTTAACATCTTTAAAAGCATTGATCCTTGGTGTCGACATCTCTAGTGACGTATCGTTTCATGGCCAACTTGAAGATATGGTAAAGCTGGCATCCAAAAAACTCTGTGTGCTTAATAGAGTGAAGCATTACTTCACGCCGGATCAGCGATTAATGCTCTACAAATTGCAAATCCGGCCCCATATAGAGTATTGCTGTTACTTATAGGTGGGAACAGATAAATACCGGCTTGAACCCTTCGACTCGGTGCAACAACAAGCTACGAGAATTGTCGATGATCCCAGGCTTACAAGCGGTATTTAACCCTTAAGTCCTAGGAGAGATTTTGCCTCACTCTGCCTATTCTACCGCTTGTATAACGGATTGTGCTTAGAGGAATTATTTAGTATGATGCCCACGGCTACTTTCTACCATCGTAGGGCTCGCCATCGACAGGGAGTTCACCTTCCTATCCTACAGCCAAAATGGTCGCGTACAACGCGGTTTCAGAAATGTTTTCCCTCAAGAACACAGGTTATGGAATGAGCTGCTAGCCGAGGTTTCCTCAAAAAACTACAGCGTGGGGTTTTTAAAAAGGGGATTAAAGAGGTTTTTTCAAGTTCGGCAATGCGCGTCTCAAAAGGTTATTTATAATATTTAATATATATATATATATATATATATAAGTTTGTAAGCCTCTTAGTAATAAATAGAAATAAAGCACAAGTTCACTTAGTGCATTTAATTTAGATACCATACTATTAAATCATATATTTACTTTTTTTAATTAGTATATAACTAAGTAATATAATAGAAATTTCCTCCTTCTATTAATCCATTGCACTTATTGAACTATAGTCTCTTTAGGACTTCCATTAACAACAATTGTGATATATTTTATATAAGGACCACGTGGTTTACTTGTTCACTCTTGATACGTTAGGAAGCTCCGCTCTATTCAACGGTTGGACAAGAAGTGTTACCCCGTCCAAATAACAATTTTTAATATCATATATTATAGGGCCGAATTCGAGTAAACAGGTCAGTGAGACCACGTTTTCTTACAATTTTATTACTTTTTATTTAAGTATCATGATAATAAATAATTATAAAATCAATTAAAATATAAATTCGTGTTTTATATGCATTACAAAAATAATTCATTACAAAATTTGGTATAATAACAATTTTAATATTTTATTATATTTGAAGTAATTAGTCTGATTTTTATTAATAAATGTAGGTACACATTTCGACACAAGATGTTTAAGAAAATTGATATAATTTAAAATATATATCTAACACGGCCATTCTGAAATGTACTTCGCTTTCGAAGTACATAATATATCACAGTACAATATCTATAAGACTTAATTTCTCTTATTTCTTTAGTTTAGAAAACTAATATAATTTAAAAAAAACTAATACGCGCGTAATACCCCTGTTATTGCAGATGTTTATAGGCTACGGTAACCATTTACCATCAGGTGGGCCGTATGCTTGATTGTCACCTCAGTGGTATAAAAGTCGCCCCTTTTCCCCATGGGTATCGTAAGAGGCCATCAAGTGAACTAACGGTGGAGGGATGGGTAGGTGTTTAGCAGTGGACAGTTAACGACAGTTAACCACAAGGCGACGAGATGACAGGGACTCTCTTTATCTAATTATAGAAATAAAAGAAATCCTTATATAATTAGGTAATGCTTTAATAAAAAAAAAACTTTTACATTACTTCATTCTGTTATATTTATACGTATATATTTGTCTGTGACATGTACACAAAATTTATACTTTACTGACAAATCAAATCGGCAATAATGGATAAAATAATAAAAGATAAAAAAAAAAAACAATTAAGGTTAACATTGCATGTGTGTCCCAATGTTAAAAATATTTCTTTACAAGTAGTATATTCATAACATTGTATAATTTTTCACATATAAATCAACAGACATATGGCATGCCTGAACTTCACCAGACACCTGCTCTATCGCAGCTGTTGCGTCAGCAATTAGTAGTTCTAGATGTATAGTAGAACACTCGCTGGAATGCACATCAGATTGTATTTCGGTTGACAATAAAACCTTTTTAGAATTATTATCATTGACTTGAAATTTGTCTTCTTCACAACACCGAGGATATCTAGAGCTTTTATGTTGACTCTTGATAAGTCACATACTGTTGCTGTCACAATCAGCCCTGTCTTTCAACTTTCATGCGATACCTGAAAGACAACATAATTGTATAATGTATGTTAGGTATATTAGTTTTCTCTGAAAAAAATATAAATTATCAGTAATTGGATATTATAAAAAATCCATACTCTTTTAATTATGACAACCAATTTGTTTGAAGTTATTGATTTCCCAGAAAAATTAAAATTTGTTGGCTGATTCCGTTTATTTTTAAACCTGTCAACATGAACAAATCATAATCTTTTACAACCAACCCAATTTAAAACATGTATTTCGATTATTGTATCCTATGCATCTATGTAAAAATAAAACCGTTTAAATACCTTAAACAGAATAAACACAATAAATTGTCTATTGAGGGGGGGAAAGGGATTGTTAGATATTAAGTTATTTCTTTATTGACAGCAGGATTTGCGGTCGCTAGAGAATCACGAGCACGGCACTAAATCCTAAGAACATTATTAATTTATTAAACAATTACATTGTACCTATATCACAACAGTGATGAAATGTTTAAAAACTATGACTATAAATATAATAGATTTTATTTTTTATGATCAGTAAAAATTCTACATTTATAATTCAATATTCGTACTTCCTTTTAAATATGTATTTTTAAGTAGCAATACTTAAAAATCCGCAACGTACACACAAGCCGTTTTCATTGGTAAAAATTTCTGTAGGGTAGATACAAGCCCCTGGTCTAATCATTAACGTGCACATAATCTGCACAAGAGTTTCCTATCTGTTCTCAGACCAAAGATTTTTTACTACACTGCTCTCTAATTTTACTACAATGTTAACATGTTCGACATATTGTACTGTTTATTCCTTATACATTTTGTGTGTGCTTTATTTCTCCGACTCGATAATAACAAAGGTAATACCGGCCACTAGAACGATACATGTCATTTGTAGACTTAAACCTGTCGTAGTCTAAATATTCTGTTATATTTTCCTTCTCTGGCAATCGGTTGTTATTTTTACGACCACTTGTGGCAGTGTCATGTCCAAGAGACTCATACTGGAGACATAGATATCGAGCAAATTTTCAGTGGGTACCCTCTTTAGTAAACAAGAAGTGACCTCAGAACTGTCGTACAAGGAATGCATGAAGGCCCAATGAACATTTCTAGTTTAGCAGTCTGACTGTACCTAATAGTGAATTGCCTCAGCATGGTTTACATTTAACAGAAAATTACAGCTAAACAAGTCTAAGTATATTTCCGTAGTATTCACCGTGCATGTCAGATAAAATATGGCTACGGACAATACACAAGGTGAGAATTTACATGTCTCGCACGACACCGAACAGCAGATGACTCCACACCATAAAGAGCGTCCTGGCTACAGTACAGTTATGAATACCACACAGAAACCGTTGACTGAAGAAGATGATTATCAGGATGGCATAGACGGAGCGGAGGTTGTAAAGACAGACTATGTTGATATCACTGAAGAATCGAAAGCTAATCAAATAATATGCTGTGATGAGGTAATTGAGCTCTTGAAGCAGTATGAGGCTTATGAAACAAAGAGTGATTTGGCCATAGGACCCACAGTTGTACAAGGAGAGACCATATTTGAAACTGCTGGACCTTCCAAACCTGACTCTGAACGAGTTCTGTATAATAAGGATGAGGATAAAGTTCATTCATGTGTGGTATGCAGTAAGACATTTGAGACCTACAATACACTGAAATACCATATGACAGTCCATACTGAACAGGAAATATATTCGTCTAATGAAAAGCCATATACTTGCGATATATGTAGTAAATGTTTTAAACTAAAATCAACATTGAAACAGCATTTGATTATACATACTGGTGATAAGCCATATAGTTGTAATGTATGTAGTAAACGTTTTAACCAAAAATCAATATTGCAACGGCATTTGCTGATACATACTGGTGAGAAGCCATATAGTTGTGATGTATGTAAAAAATGTTTTAGTGATCCGTCAACTTTGCAACGGCATTTGTTGATACATACTGGTGAGAAGCCATATAGTTGTTATGTATGTAATAAATGTTTTAACAGAAAATCAACATTGCAAGAGCATTTGACGATACATACTGGTGAGAAGCCATATAGTTGTGATAAATGTAATAAATGTTTTAACAATAAATCAAAACTACAACGGCATTTGGTGATACACACTGGTGAGAAGCCATACAGATGTGATGTATGTAATAAATGTTTTAACAGAAAATCAACATTGCAAGAGCATTTGTCGATACATTCTGGTGAAAAGCCATATAGTTGTAATGTATGTAATATATGTTTTAACAAAAAATCAATTTTGCAACGGCATTTGCTGATACATACTGGTGATAAGCCATATAGTTGTGATGTATGCAGTAAATGTTTTAAACGAAAATCAACATTGAAACAGCATTTGATAATACATACTGGTGATAAGCCATACAGTTGTGATGTATGTAATAAATGTTTTAACAGAATATCAACATTGAGACAGCATATGTTGATACATACTGGTAATAAACCATATAGTTGTAATGTATGTAATAAATGTTTTTACAGAAAAGCTGCACTACAACGGCATCTGTTGATACATACTGTTGACAAGCCGTATTAAATGTATAATTCATGTAGATGTAAGTATTTATAAGACAAGATAAAGTTCAGAGGTACAAACAGGGACACCTTAAGTACCAAGCATTATGTTTGACATATCACTTGATTATATATATTGTGGAAGGCAATAGATGTTATTGTACATAATATGTAAAAGAGTGTATAACGTAACAATTTTGATCAATTTATTATTACATAATATGAAACTAATGGTTTTCCTTACTACTTACTTGGTGGAACGCGTGACGAGTGTGGCAACTACGGACAAACCCCCTATGTGTGTAGAAGGTTGTGTTAAGCAATGGATATTAAAGATTAATGAAAAACATTTATTGGTCGCAAATACAAGTTGCACAATCGAATTATTTGTGTTTGTTTGATGGTTGATATATGTGATATGGAGCAATTTTTTAAATAATTCCGATATGAAGAGAAAACCTTTTATTTTATTATAATATAACAAGCAAACATTGGTTTTGTACATATGATCATTGGTAATGCTACAGTTTTGCCAATATATAGAATAAATATATAGATAATAAATGACATATACGACATCCCCCCTTTTTACGTTTTACATTATACTCGTATAATAATTACCTTAATTATTATACTTATTCATATCATAATCTTTCGTGTAAGCGCGAGTCCTGACCTGTCTACCCGAGTTTGTCTCCCTATTATTATTTATGAAACTTGGATTCTGATCATTATAATTACTGTTACTTAAGTCTCTTTGATTACTTACATTGCTATTATTTAAATTGTTACTTTTACAATCATCTTCATATTTAGGACATAAACAATTAATGTGTTTTTGGTCTCCTCTAACTAGAGTACTCCTTTCTCAAACCATCCCCATTTGCTTAATATTTCATTCACTGTCCAAGAGCATACCTCCGTACAATGCATGAAATGTGTATTTTACGTAAACTATATTTAGGCTTCTGTGTTTACTCATTATATTTTCAGAAACATTTAAATAAATTAAGGTTAACATTGCCTGTGGGTCCTGATGCTAAAAATATTTCTATACAAGTAGTATATTCATTACATTGTATAATTTTTCACATATAAACTCACAGACATATGGCATGCCTGAACTTCACCAGACGCCTGCTCTATCGCAGCTGTTGCGTCAGCAATTAGTGGTTCTAGATCTACAGTAGAACACTCGCTAGAATGCATATCTGATTGTATTTCAGTTGACAATAAAAACTTTTTAAAACTATCATTATCATTAAGCTGAAATTTATCTTCTTCACGACACCGAGGATATCTAGAGCTTTTATGTTGACTCTTGATTAGTCACAAACTATTGCGGTCACAATCAGCCCTGTCTTTCAACTTTCATGGAATACCTGAAAGACAACATAATTGTAATGTAATATGTATGTTAGGTACATTAGTTTTCTCTGAAAAATATTAATTATCAATAATTGGATATTATAAAAAATCCATACTTTTTCATTGAAAAATAAAATGTTATTGGCACTGTTTGTTATCATTCATTTTTTCTTACACCTGTCAATATGGACATAATCCTTTACAACCAACTCAATTTAAAACGTGTATTTCGATTATTGTATCCTATGCGCCTATGTAAAACACCTTAAATAGAATTAAACGCAATACTTTGTCTATTGATAAAATAAACATGTCATTAAAAAATTATATTAAACTATATGATAATACAAAAAAAATAATTTATGTAATAAATACCTATCACTGCATAGTATAAAACAAAGTCGCTGTCTGTCCGTCCCTATGTGCGCTTAAATCTTTAAAACTACGGAACAAAATTTGAAGCGGTTTTTTTAATAGATAGAGTGATTCAAGAGAAAGGTTTATATGTATAATACATGCATAATATTGTAGAGAAACAATGATAATTTTAAAGGTTTCTAATGTGATGTAATGTGCACCCGTGCGAAGCTGGGGCGAGTCGCTAGTAAATTATAAGTTAAAGTAAACATACCGTTTAATATTTGTTTTACCAGGTTTAGGAAATTGAAGGAATATTACGACTCCATCTCGAAAAATAGTTTATCCACATTTAGCACACATTCTATGGGCACCTGTAGACAGTTTATAAATTTATAGAACATTTTATTGTTGATGCGAGTAATCTGCATTGTGCAATAGTACCTTTTTTTAATGGGTGAAAATCGCATGATAATATAATACCCCGCTTGCGCAATCGGGAAACCAATGAGGGGTGATAGGTGAGGATGAAAATGCAGGTCAGTTAACCCATTGTGAAGAATTCAACGATAAATTAGTAATGATAGTTTCCAGGGGCAACCACGTGGAGGTCGATCTGATAGAGTATATTGATAGCAATGGGGATTAATCTTCCTATTACTAAGAATCCCTTCCCACCGCATTGTAGTACTATGGTTTAATATCCACCAAAATACCAACAAACGGTTGTCGTGAGTAAACTCTAGTGTACAACTATGATCCGATATACAAAATAAAAAGATCTGATATATAATACAATAAATATAAATAAATACAACATAAAAATTATTAAAATTAGGAAAAACTTTTAAGAAATATATTTTTTTTCTTCACTGACAGCAGGATTTGGGGTTGCTAGAGAATCACGAGCACGGGCACTAAATTCTAAGAAAATTGTTAATTTATTAAACAATAACAGTGATAAAATGTTTAAAAACTATGACTATAAATATAATAGATTTTATTTTTTATGATCAGTAAAAATTTTACATTTATAATTCAATATTCGTACTTACTTTTAAATATGTATTTTTAAGTAGCAATACTTAAAAGTCCGCAACGCACCACAAGCCGTTTTCATTGATAAAAATTTCTGTAGGGTAGATACAAGCCCCTGGTCAAATCACTAACGTACACATATCTGTACAAGAGTTTCCTACCTGTCATTAGACCAAAGATTTCGGTTTTAGATATAGTCATAGCCTCTCTATCTCTAATCTTACTACACTTCTGACTTTTACGACATATTGTACTGTTTATTCCTTGTGCATTTTGTGTGTGCTTTATTTCTCCGACTCGATAATAACAAAGGTAATACTGGCCACTAGAACGATACATGTCATTTGTAGACTTAATCCTGCCGCAGTCTAAGTATTCTGTTTTATTTTCCTTCTCTGGCAATCGGTTTTTATTTTTACTACTTGTGGCAGTGTCATGTACAATAGGCACGTACTGGAGACATAGATATCCAGCAAATTTTCAATGGGCACTCATAAATGATCACCCTCTTTAGTATACACGAAGTAATCTCAGAACTGTCGTACAAGGAATGCATGAAGGCCCAATGAACATTTCTAGTTTAGCAGTCTGACTGTAATAGTGAACTGCCTCAGCATGGTTATCATTTAACAGAAAATTACAGCTAAACAAGTCTAAGTATATTCCCGTAGTATTCACCGTGCATGTCAGACAAAATATGGCTACGGACAAAACACAAGATGAGAATTTACATGTCTCGCACGACACCGAACAACAGATGACTCCACACCATAAAGAGCGTCCAGGCTGCAGTACAGTTATGAATACCACACAGGAACCGGTGACTGAACAAGGAGGGACTATATTTGAGACTGCTGGACCTTCCAAATCTGACTCTGAACGAGTTCTGTTTAATAAAGATGAGGTTAAAGTTCATTCATGTGTGGTATGCAGTAAGACATTCGAGACCTACAATACACTGAAATACCATATGACAGTCCATACTGAACAGGAAATATATTCGTCTAATGAAAAGCCATATACTTGTGATGTATGTAGTAAACGTTTTAAACTAAAATCAACATTAAAACAGCATTTGATGATACATACTGGTGATAAGCCATATAGTTGTAATGTATGTAGTAAACGTTTTAACCAAAAATCAATATTGCAACGGCATTTGCTGATACATACTGGTGATAGGCCATACAGTTGTAATGTATGTAATAAATGTTTTAACAGAAAATCAACATTGCAAGAGCATTTGTTGATACATTCTGGTGAGAAGCCATATAGTTGTGATGTATGTAATAAATGTTTTAACAGAAAATCAACATTGCGAGATCATTTGACGATACATACTGGTGAAAAGCCATATAGTTGTGATAAATGTAATAAATGTTTTAGCAATAAATCAAAACTACAATGGCATTTGGTGATACATACTGGTGATAGGCCATACAGTTGTGTTGTATGTAATAAATGTTTTAACAGAAAATCAACATTGCAAGAGCATTTGTCGATACATTCTGGTGAGAAGCCATATAGTTGTGATGTATGTAATAAATGTTTTAACAGAAAATCAACATTGAAACAGCATTTGTTGATACATACTGATGCCAAGCCGTAATAAATGTATAATTCATGTAGGCGTAAGTATTTATAAGACAAACAAACAGTAACCTTAAGTAGCAAGTGTTATGTTTGACATATCACGTGATTATAGAGGAACTGCAGCATATTTGGAACGGGATCGGTAGGTAAAAAATACATTTAATTATTGTCAAACTATTAAACTTTAATAATGAGAACAATCAAATATAACAAAAACCAGAATCTTTATAAAAATGCCTATGCAACTAGAAAACTCCAAAAACTATATTTGACTTAGAGTGCAGGTAATTTGGAATATAGTATTCCAAAATACATTCACATTTTTTCTTTGTCAATTGCTTACACTTTTTCTTAGAAACTAATAGATTTCTTATATTTGTAACAGTTTTATTAATATTTAGTTCTCTACATAATCAATCTTTTTCAATAATCAGTCACAATAAACACTGATCAGTGTTTAGTTTGAATTTATAGTTTACTATTCTGAGTTACTCTTGCAGTAATCACATATATACACACCGGATTCATAACTACCACAAGCACCACGAACCCACAATTCGCACATTAAATACTGTACCCATTCATCACCCCTTTTATTGTATTCTTTTTTATTACTACTCATAAAATATGCATAAAATTTGGAATATTCCAAATTATGTTCACTCTCGGTATTCCAAATTAACAACACACCAACCTTACCTAAAAATCCATGTCACATTTTTAATTCTAGAAATATTCACCAAACCATTGTAACATCCTAAACTGACAAAGGTCAACTAGCTGTTTAAATAATTACAATAAAGATTTAAAGTATTACAGTAAAGATTGCAATGGATTGCATTCTTAGCGAAATAGTTTTCAAAACAAGTGTCTCGTTTCTTTGGGGCTGGTAGCCGGAATGTCAAAATGGTGTCCTGATTTTAACTATCTACGGCTTCGTATATCGAATGGCGTTATGTTTACTTAAAAAAAACACAGATAGCGTTTATATTGATTCAGATATGGAGGTATTCCAAGTTACCTGCAGTATTCCAAATATGTTGCACTTCCTATATATATTGTGTAAAGCAACATATGTCATTGTACATAATACGTAGACGTGTGTATAACGTAACAAAGTTTTGATCACTTTATTATTATATAATATGAAACTAAAGAATTTGAGTATCAAAGACGTAACTACCCCTTTTAGCTAATATAACTCAATGATGTTATTTTGTTCAAAATTGAACAGTCATACGATCTGTATAATTATTAATTAATAAATGCAATTATTAATTAAATAAAATTCTTTTACTTATTTGTTTTTATTTTTTTTATTTTTACACATCAACCAATGCAAAATTTATTGCTCATCTGTAACACATGTGCCATACCATAGTGCTATGAAACAGTGAGGAAAATATTGTCAGTACAAGTAAAGGGGTCTGACACTGCCATTGGGCGTTTTTAAACTTTTACGTGGAACTTCATTTCAGGTATTTCACGATTTTACCGTCACGATACAATGTGAAAGCAAACTCTATGTATTTGTATAAAGACGATTTTAAGCATTCTCTATAATTATAACGTGGTCGTGCACCATCACGGCACTGGCGTAACCTTTCCGTGGCAGATCTAGGCTCGCCTATAAGATCCATTACAATACACGCTGGCCAATACAATGCATTTATTGCTCTCTTTTTACATTTCACAATTTCTAAATGTCCTAGGTACCTATATGTAATATTTGAATTATTTCTTTTCTCCTTATTTGAGATATCACAATTTTGTTCTAATAATATAAATTATTGTTTTTAATATGTAAATCAAATCTTAATTTATAATAATGTTTTAAGTTAGAGTTTCCTAAATATTTAGCTGTTTTCGGCCAAATTTTTAGTAGCATCCTGTAATTTTTCCATCCAGTTTTCTGATATAGGTAAATCAGTCCCTATAAAATGTAATATCTCCTTTAAGGTTAGATCTATCTTTGCATTATCCTTAATAAAATTTATAGATAAATAGTCTACAATATACATTCTACTTCCAAGTACATACTTTATCTTAATATCATATTTTAAAAGCTTGAGTACATACGTTGTAACCTAGCACAAATTCTCTTTAAATCTTGGTTGATAATTGCCACAAGGGGTTTTTGGTCAGTTTCTACTATGACTTTACCTAATTGTAGAACTAAAAAAAATCCTTATATAATTAAATAATGCTTTAATAACAAAAACTATTACTTTGTTGCATTTATACGTAAATAGGCATCTTTGCTGTGATATGTACAAACAAAAACTCACACTTTACTGACAAATCAAATCGCCAATAATAGATAAAATTATAATTTAGTACATAATCTAGCTCTTAAACGTAACATGACAAGAACGATGGCAAAACAGACTATAATCAACCCATACTGATGAGGTTGCATTCTTTGTTACGTAGTTCTTATAACCACCCCATCAGAGCAGCTACGATCTTATTATTGTAGTCATAGGCATTTTGCATTGTCATCGAACTTGAATGCGTATGAAATATTTATGGAAATTCGATGATTATGCATTGATAGTGTGTGAAAGTGGATTAAAAATGAACCAGCATAAATAGAAAAAATATACAAAGCAAATAAAATGGAAAACTGTAAAAATAAATATTATGCTTGTATACCAATATGTGTACAAAGATTATTTATTCCTTAGTGTTAGTATTTTTTTGTAAGTCTGCTTCTTAGGGTTTTGTACCTCCAAGGGAAAAAGCGGAACTCTTCTAAGATCACTTTGATATCTGTTTTTCTTAGGAACTCACGGAGGTATTAAGTTGAAATTAGTATCATATAATCTGGTCTGCACTCTTTTAAACCAGTGAAAAAATCAATCTTCTAAATTAATACAATCAAGAGATACAGCCCTTTATGTTTAATATATATAGCATATTTTGCCTGTAGGATACTTACTATTGACCTAAAATCATGAATAAGCAACATCATATAGCACAAGTAAAGGAAAAAATCCGAAAATCGTCATTTACATTATTTTCAAACTCCTTTCTCAAACCATCCCCATTTACTTAATATTTCATTCACTGCCCAAGAGCATACCTCCGTACAATGCATGAAATGTGTATTTTATGTAAACTATATTTAGGCTTCTGTGTATCTCATTATATTTTCAGAAACATTTAAATAATTTAAGGTTAACATTGCCTGTGGGTCCTGATGCCAAAAATATTTCTATACAAGTAGTATATTCATTACATTGTATAATTTTTTACATATAAACTCACAGACATATGGCATGCCTGAACTTCACCAGACGTCTGCTCTATCTCAGCCGTTGCGTCAACAATTAGTGGTTCTAGATCTACAGTAGAACACTCGCTGAAATGCACATCAACCGAAATACAATCAGTATTTCGGTTGACAATAAAAACTTTTTGAAATTATTATCATTGAGTTGAGATTTGTCTTCTTCACGACACCGAGGATATCTAGAGCCTTTATGTTGACTCTTGATAAGTCACATGCTGTTGCTGTCACAATCAGTCTTGTATTCCAACTTTCATGCAATACCTAAAAGAAAACATAACTGTATAATGTAAGTATGTTACACAATAATTTGTCTATTGAAAAATAAACATGTCATTAAAAAATTATATAAAACTGTATGATAATATAAAAAAATAAATTTATGTAATAAATACCTATCACTGCATAGTATAAATCAAAAACGCTGTCGCTGTCTGTCCGTCCCTATGTATGCTTAAATCTTTAAAACCACGGAACATATTTTGAAGCGGTTTTTTTTAATAGATAGAGTGATTCAAGAGAAAGGTTTATATGTATAATGCATAATATAGTAGAGAAACACTGATAATTTTAAGGGTTTCTAATGTGATGTGATGTAATGTGTACCCGTGCGAAGCTGGGGCGGGTCGCTAGTAAATTATAAGTTAACGTAAACCTACCGTTTAATATTTGTTATCCCAGGTTTAGGAAATTGAAGGAATAATATGACTCCATCTCGAAAAGTAGTTTATCCACATTTAGCACACATTCTATGGGCACCTGTAGACAGTTTATAAATTTATAGAACATTTTATTGTTGATGCGAGTAATCTGCATTGTGCAATAGTACTTTTTTTTAATGAGTGAAAATGGCATGATAATATAATACCCCGCATTCGGTCAATCACTTGCGCAATCGGGGTAATTGCCAATGAGGGGGTGACAGGTGAGGATAAAAATGCAGGTCAGTTAGTCCATTGTGAAGAATTCAACGATAAATTAGTAATGATAGTTTCCAGGAGAAACCACGTGGAGGTCGATCTGATAGAGTATATTGATAGCAATGGGGATTAATCTCTCTATTACTATGAATCCCTTCCCACCACATTGTATTTTGGTGGATATTAAACCATAGTAGGTTTAATATCCACCAAAATACCAACAAACGGTTGTCGCGAGTAAGCTCTAGCGTGCAATTATGATCCGATATACAAAATAAAAAGATCTGATATACAATACAATAAATATAAATAAATACAACAAATAAAAACTATTAAAATTAGGAAAAACTTTTAAGAAATATAAAGTAAATTTTTTCTTCACTGACAGCAGGATTTGGGGTTGCTAGAGAATCATGAGCACGGGCACTAAAATCTATGAAAATTGTTAATTTATTAAACAATTGCATTGTACCTATATCACAACAGTGATGAAATATTTAAAAACTATGACTATAAATAGACTTTATTTTTTATGATCAGTAAAAATTTTACATTTATAATTCAATATTCGTACTTACTTTTAAATATGTATTTTTAAGTAGCAATACATAAAACTCCGCAACGCACCACAAGCCGTTTTCATTGATAAAAATTTCTGTAGGGTAGATACAAGCCCCTGGTCAAATCACTAACGTACACATATCTGTACAAGAGTTTCCTACCTGTCATTAGACCAAAGATTTCGGTTTTAGATATAGTCATAGCCTCTCTATCTCTAATCTTACTACACTTCTGACTTTTACGACATATTGTACTGTTTATTCCTTGTGCATTTTGTGTGTGCTTTATTTCTCCGACTCGATAATAACAAAGGTAATACCGGCCACTAGAACGATACATGTCATTTGTAGATTTAAACCTGCCGCAGTCTAAGTATTCTGTTTTATTTTCCTTCTCTGGCAATCGGTTGTTATTTTTACTACTTGTGGCAGTGTCATGTACAATAGGCACGTACTGGAGACATAGATATCCAGCAAATTTTCAATGGGCACCCATAAATGATCACCCTCTTTAGTATACACGAAGTAATCTCAGAACTGTCGTACAAGAAATACATGAAGGCCCAATGAACATTTCTAGTTTAGTAGTCTGACTGTATCTAATAGTGAACTGCCTCAGCATGGTTATCATTTAACAGAAAATTACAGCTAAACAAGTCTAAGTATATTCCCGTAGTATTCACCGTGCATGTCAGATACAATATGGCTACGGACAATACGCAAGGTGAGAATTTACATGTCTCGCACGACACCGAACAGCAGATGACTCCACACCATAAAGAGCGTCCAGGCTGCAGTACAGTTATGAATACCACACAGGAACCGGTGACTGAACAAGAAGGGACCATATTTGAAACTGCTGGACCTTCCAAACCTGACTCTGAACGAGTTCTGTATAATAAAGATAAGGATAAAGTTCATTCATGTGTGGTATGCAGTAAGACATTCGAGACCTACAATACACTGAAATACCATATGACAGTCCATCCTGAACAGGAAATATTTTCGTCTAATAAAAAGCCATACAGTTGTGATGTATGTAGTAAATGTTTTAAACAAAAATCATCGTTGAAAGAGCATTTGCTGGTACATACTGGTGATAAGCCATATAGTTGTAATGTATGTAGTAAATGTTTTAAAAGAGCATCAAAACTGCAACGGCATTTGCTGATACATATTGATGATAAGCCATATAGTTGTGATGTATGTAATAAAAGTTTTAATAGAAAATCAACATTGAAAGATCATTTGTCGATACATACTGGTGACAAGCCATATAGTTGTAATGTATGTAGTCAATGTTTTAAACAAAAATCAACATTGCAACGGCATTTGATGATACACACTGGTGAGAAGCCATATAGTTGTGATGTATGTAATAAAAGTTTTAATAGAAAATCAACATTGAAAGATCATTTGTCGATACATACTGGTGACAAGCCATATAGTTGTAATGTATGTAGTCAATGTTTTAAACAAAAATCAACATTGCAACGGCATTTGATGATACACACTGGTGAGAAGCCATATAGTTGTGATGTATGTAATAAAAGTTTTAACAGAACATCAACATTGCGAGATCATTTGACGATACATACTGGTGAGAAGCCATATAGTTGTGATAAATGTAATAAATGTTTTAGCAATAAATCAAAACTACAATGGCATTTGATTATACATACTGGTGACAAGCCATATAGTTGTGATATATGTAATAAATGTTTTAACAAAAAATCATCATGGCAACAACATTTGCTGATACATACTGGTGATAAGCCATATAGTTGTGACGTATGTAATAAATATTTTAGACAGAAAGCACATTTAGCACAACATTTGTTGATACATACTGATGATAAGCCATATAGTTGTGACGTATGTAATAAATGTTTTAATGTGAAAGCAAATTTAGCACAACATTTATTGATACATACTGGTGAGAAGCCATATAGTTGTGATGTATGTAATAAAAGTTTTAATAGAAAATCAAATTTGAAAGTTCATATGTCGATACATAGTGGTGACAAGCCATATAGTTGTAATGTATGTAGTCAATGTTTTAAACAAAACTCAACATTGCAACGGCATTTGATGATACACACTGGTGAGAAGCCATATAGTTGTGATGTATGTAATAAATGTTTTAACAGAAAATCAATATTGAAACAGCATTTGGTGATACATACTGATGCCAAGCCGTAATAAATGTATAATTTATGTAGGTGTAAGTATTTATAAGACAAACAAACAGTAACCTTAAGTAGCAAGTGTTATGTTTGACATATCACGTGATTATAGAGGAACTGCAGCATATTTGGAACGGGATCGGTAGGTAAAAAATACATTTAATTATTGTCAAACTATTAAACTTTAATAATGAGAACAATCAAATATAACAAAAACCAGAATCTTTATAAAAATGCCTATGCAACTAGAAAACTCCAAAAACTATATTTGACTTAGAGTGCAGGTAATTTGGAATATAGTATTCCAAAATACATTCACATTTTTTCTTTGTCAATTGCTTACACTTTTTCTTAGAAACTAATAGATTTCTTATCTTTGTAACAGTATTATTAATATTTAGTTGTCTAGATAATTAATCTTTTTCAATAATCAGTCACAATAAACATTGATCAGTGTTTAGTTTGAATTTATAGTTTACTATTCTTAGTTACTGTTGCAGTAATCACATATATACACACCGGATTCATAACTACCACAAGCACCATGAACCCACAATTCGCACATTAAATACTGTACCCATTCATCACCCCTTTTATCCTCGCTATATTTTCCGTTACAGAAATACACTCAGCGTCTTCGTCAATAGGGACTGCAATCTCATCTCTCTTGCTACATTGTCGGAAGAGTCTGTGTTATTTCCAGATATAGCCCTAGGATTCGGATTTGATGAATCACTGTCTGTCATATTTCTTTTCCTTGTCTATTTCTCTTCTGTCTTATATTTTTCTTGCTCTTTTCCTTAATATTTTTTCTTTGTTTTGTTTTCTTTATCACACTTTAGATTGTGCATTCTCAAGATCTTTTTTTTTATAAGAACTTGAAATTACTGCCGATCTTGCTGGCTTACCGCTTCTAATGCTAATATTCTTTTTTATTACTACTCATAAAATATGCATAAAATTTGGAATATTCCAAATTATGTTCACTCTCGGTATTCCAAATTAACAACACACCAACCTTACCTAAAAATCCATGTCACATTTTTAATTCTAGAAATATTCACCAAACCATTGTAACATCCTAAACTGACAAAGGTCAACTAGCTGTTTAAATAATTACAATAAAGATTTAAAGTATTACAGTAAAGATTACAACGGATTGCACTCTTAGCGAAAAAGTTTTCAAAACAAGTGTCTCGTTTCTTTGGGGCTGGTAGCCGGAATGTCAAAATGGTATCCTGATTTTAACTATCTACGGCTTCGTATATCGAATGGCGTTATGTTTACTTAAAAAAAACACAGATAGCGTTTATATTGATTCAGATATGGAGGTATTCCAAGTTACCTGCAGTATTCCAAATATGTTGCACTTCCTATATATATTGTGTAAAGCAACATATGTCATTGTACATAATACGTAGACGTGTGTATAACGTAACAAAGTTTTGATCACTTTATTATTATATAATATGAAACTAAAGAATTTGAGTATCAAAGACGTAACTACCCCTTTTAGCTAATATAACTCAATGATGTTATTTTGTTCAAAATTGAACAGTCATACGATCTGTATAATTATTAATTAATAAATGCAATTATTAATTAAATAAAATTCTTTTACTTATTTGTTTTTATTTTTTTTATTTTTACACATCAACCAATGCAAAATTTATTGCTCATCTGTAACACATGTGCCATACCATAGTGCTATGAAACAGTGAGGCAAATATTGTCAGTACAAGTAAAGGGGTCTGACACTGCCATTGGGCGTTTTTAAACTTTTACGTGGAACTTCATTTCAGGTATTTCACGATTTTACCGTCACGATACAATGGGAAAGCAAACTCTATGTATTTGTATAAAGACGATTTTAAGCATTCTCTATAATTATAACGTGGTCGTGCACCATCACGGCACTGGCGTAACCTTTCCGTGGCAGATCTAGGCTCGCCTATAAGATCCAATACAATACACGCTGGCCAATACAATACATTTATTGCTCTCTTTTTACATTTCACAATTTCTAAATGTCCTAGGTACCTATATGTAATATTTGAATTATTTCTTTTCTCCTTATTTGAGATATCACAATTTTGTCCTAATAATATAAAATATTGTTTTTAACATGTAAATCAAATCTTAATTTATAATAATGTTTTAAGTTAGAGTTTCCTAAATATTTAGCTGTTTTCAGCCAAAGTAGTATTATTTTTATTAAATCTGAGTCATTTTTAGTAGTATCCTGTAATTTTTCCATCCAGTTTTCTGATATAGGTAAATCAGTCCCTATAAAATGTAATATCTCCTTTAAGGTTGGATCTATCTTTGCATTATCCTTAATAAAATTTATAGATAAATAGTCTGCAATATACATTCTACTTCCAAGTACATACTTTATCTTAATATCATATTTTAAAAGCTTGAGTACATACGTTGTAACCTAGCACAAATTCTCTTTAAATCTTGGTTGATAATTGCCACAAGGGGTTTTTGGTCAGTTTCTACTATGACTTTACCTAATTGTAGAACTAAAAAAAATCCTTATATAATTAAATAATGCTTTAATAACAAAAACTATTACTTTGTTGCATTTACACGTAAATAGGCATCTTTGCTGTGATATGTACAAACAAAAACTCACACTTTACTGACAAATCAAATCGCCAATAATAGATAAAATTATAATTTAGTACATAATCTAGCTCTTAAACGTAACATGACAAGAACGATGGCAAAACAGACTATAATCAACCCATACTGATGAGGTTGCACTCTTTGTTACGTAGTTCTTATAACCACCCCATCAGAGCAGCTACGATCTTATTATTGTAGTCATAGGCATTTTGCATTGTCATCGAACTTGAATGCGTATGAAATATTTATGGAAATTCGATGATTATGCATCGATAGTGTGTGAAAGTGGATTAAAAATGAACCAGCATAAATAGAAAAAATATACAAAGCAAATAAAATGGAAAACTGTAAAAATAAATATTATGCTTGTATACCAATATGTGTACAAAGATTATTTATTTCTTAGTGTTAGTATTTTTTTGTGACTTTGCTTCTTAGGGTTTCGTACCTGCAAAGGAAAAAGCGAAAATATATACCATGTAGCATGCCTGTGGGTCCTGATGCCAAAAATATTTCTATTCATTACATTGTATAATTTTTTACATATAAACCCACAGACATACAGCATGCTTGAACTTCACCAGACGTCTGCTCTATCTCAGCCGTTGCGTCAACAATTAGTGGTTCTAGATCTACAGTAGAACACTCGCTGAAATGCACATCAACCGAAATACAATCAGTATTTCGGTTGACAATAAAAACTTTTTGAAATTATTATCATTGAGTTGAGATTTGTCTTCTTCATGACACCGAGGATATCTAGAGCCTTTATGCTGACTCTTGATAAGTCACATACTGTTGCTGTCACAATCAGCTCTGTCTTCTAACTTTCATGCAATACCTGAAAGACAACATAACTGTATAATGTAAGCATGTTAGGTACATTACTTTCCTCTGAAAAATATTAATTATCAATAATTGGATATTCCAAAAAGTCCATTTTTCTTTAACTGTGACAGCCAATCTGTCTGAAGTTACTGATTTCCCAGAAAAATAAAATGTTATTGGCTGCTTCCATTTTTTTCTTTCACCTGTCAACATGAACATAATCCTTTACAACTAACTCAATTTAAAACATGTATTTCGATTATTGTATCCTATGCATCTAAGTAAAACACCTTAAATAGAATTAAACGCAATAATTTATCTATTGATAAAATAAACATGTCATTAAAAAATTATATTAAACTATATGATAATACAAATAAATAAATTTATGTAGTAAATACTTATCACTACATAGTATAAAACAAAGTCGTTGTTGCTGTCTGTCCGTCTCTATGTATGCTTAAATCTTTAAAACTACGGAACAGATTTTGAAGCGGTTTTTTTTAACAGATAGAGTGATTCAAGAGAAAGGTTTATATGATATATATATATATATATATATATATATATATACATATATACATATATATATATATATATATTACATGCATAATATAGTAGAGAAAAACTGATAATTTTAAAGGTTTCTAATGTGATGTGATGTAATGTGCACCCGTGCGAAGCTGGGGCGGGTCGCTAGTAAATTATAAGTTAAATTAAAAGTAAACATACCGTTTAATATTTGTTTTACCAGGTTTAGGAAATTGAAGGAATATTACGACTCCATCTCGAAAAATAGTTTATCCACATTTAGCACACATTCTATGGGCACCTGTAGACAGTTTATAAATTTATAGAACATTTTATTGTTGATGCGAGTAATCTGCATTGTGCAATAGTACCTTTTTTTAATGGGTGAAAATGGCATGATAATATAATACCCCGCTTGCGCAATCGGGGAACCAATGAGGGGTGATAGGTGAGGATGAAAATGCAGGTCAGTTAACCCATTGTGAAGAATTCAACGATAAATTAGTAATGATAGTTTCCAGGGGCAACCACGTGGAGGTCGATCTGATAGAGTATATTGATAGCAATGGGGATTAATCTCCCTATTACTAAGAATCCCTTCTCACCGCATTGTAGTACTATGGTTTAATATCCACCAAAATACCAACAAACGGTTGTCGCGAGTAAACTCTAGTGTACAACTATGATCCGATTTACAAAATAAAAAGATCTGATATATAATACAATAAATATAAATAAATACAACATAAAAATTATTAAAATTAGGAAAAACTTTTAAGAAATATATTTTTTTTTCTTCACTGACAGCAGGATTTGGGGTTGCTAGAGAATCACGAGCACGGGCACTAAATTCTAAGAAAATTGTTAATTTATTAAACAATAACAGTGATGAAATGTTTAAAAACTATGACTATAAATATAATTGATTTTATTTTTTATGATCAGTAAAAATTCTACATTCATAATTCAATATTCGTACTTACTTTTAAATATGTATTTTTAAGTAGCAATACATAAAAGTCCGCAACGCACCACAAGCCGTTTTCATTAATAAAAATTTCTGTAGGGTAGATACAAGCCCCTGGTCTAATCACTAACGTACACATATCTGTACAAGAGTTTTCTACCTGTCATTAGACCAAAGATTTCGGTTTTAGATATAGTCATAGCCTCTCTATCTCTAATCTTACTACACTTCTGACTTTTACGACATATTGTACTGTTTATTCCTTGTGCATTTTGTGTGTGCTTTATTTCTCCGACTCGATAATAACAAAGGTAATACCGGCCACTAGAACGATACATGTCATTTGTAGACTTAAACCTGCCGCAGTCTAAGTATTCTGTTTTATTTTCCTTCTCTGGCAATCAGTTGTTATTTTTACTACTTGAGGCAGTGTCATGTACAATAGGCACGTACTGGAGACATAGATATCCAGCAAATTTTCAATGGGCACCCATAAATGATCACCCTCTTTAGTATACACGAAGTAATCTCAGAACTGTCGTACAAGAAATACATGAAGGCCCAATGAACATTTCTAGTTTAGTAGTCTGACTGTATCTAATAGTGAACTGCCTCAGCATGGTTATCATTTAACAGAAAATTACAGCTAAACAAGTCTAAGTATATTCCCGTAGTATTCACCGTGCATGTCAGATACAATATGGCTACGGACAATACGCAAGGTGAGAATTTACATGTCTCGCACGACACCGAACAACAGATGACTCCACACCATAAAGAGCGTCCAGGCTGCAGTACAGTTATGAATACCACACAGGAACCGGTGACTGAACAAGAAGGGACCATATTTGAAACTGCTGGACCTTCCAAACCTGACTCTGAACGAGTTCTGTATAATAAAGATAAGGATAAAGTTCATTCATGTGTGGTATGCAGTAAGACATTCGAGACCTACAATACACTGAAATACCATATGACAGTCCATACTGAACAGGAAGTATATTGGTCTAATGAAAAGCCATATACTTGTGATGTATGTAGTAAACGTTTTAAACTAAAATCAACATTGAAACAGCATTTGATGATACATACTGGTGATAAGCCATATAGTTGTAATGTATGTAGTAAACGTTTTAACCAAAAATCAATATTGCAACGGCATTTGCTGCTACATACTGGTGATAGGCCATACAGTTGTAATGTATGTAGTCAATGTTTTAACCAAAACTCAACATTGCAACGGCATTTGATGATACACACTGGTGAGAAGCCATATAGTTGTGATGTATGTAATAAAAGTTTTAATAGAAAATCAAATTTGAAAGTTCATATGTCGATACATAGTGGTGACAAGCCATATAGTTGTAATGAATGTAGTCAATGTTTTAACCAAAACTCAAAATTGCAACGGCATTTAATGATACACACTGGTGAGAAGCCATATAGTTGTGATGTATGTAATAAATGTTTTAACAGAAAATCAACACTGCAACGGCATCTGTTGATACATACTGATGCCAAGCCGTAATAAATGTATAATTTATGTAGGTGTAAGTATTTATAAGACAAACAAACAGTAACCTTAAGTAGCAAGTGTTATGTTTGACATATCACGTGATTATAGAGGAACTGCAGCATATTTGGAACGGGATCGGTAGGTAAAAAATACATTTAATTATTGTCAAACTATTAAACTTTAATAATGAGAACAATCAAATATAACAAAAACCAGAATCTTTATAAAAATGCCTATGCAACTAGAAAACTCCAAAAACTATATTTGACTTAGAGTGCAGGTAATTTGGAATATAGTATTCCAAAATACATTCACATTTTTTCTTTGTCAATTGCTTACACTTTTTCTTAGAAACTAATAGATTTCTTATCTTTGTAACAGTTTTATTAATATTTAGTTCTCTAGATAATAAATCTTTTTCAATAATCAGTCACAATAAACATTGATCAGTGTTTAGTTTGAATTTATAGTTTACTATTCTTAGTTACTGTTGCAGTAATCACATATATACACACCGAATTCATAACTAGCACAAGCACCACGAACCCACAATTCGCACATTAAATACTGTACCCATTCATCACCCCTTTTATCCTCGCTATATTTTCCGTTACAGAAATACACTCAGCGTCTTCGTCAATAGGGACTGCAATCTCATCTCTCTTGCTACATTGTCGGAAGAGTCTGTGTTATTTCCAGATATAGCCCTCGGATTCGGATTTGATGAATCACTGTCTGTCATATTTCTTTTCCTTGTCTATTTCTCTTCTGTCTTATATTTTTCTTGCTCTTTTCCTTAATATTTTCTCTTTGTTTTGTTTTCTTTATCACACTTTAGATTGTGCATTCTCAAGATCTTTTTTTTTATAAGAACTTGAAATTACTGCCGATCTTGCTGGCTTACCGCTTCTAATGCTAATATTCTTTTTTATTACTACTCATAAAATATGCATAAAATTTGGAATATTCCAAATTATGTTCACTCTCGGTATTCCAAATTAACAACACACCAACCTTACCTAAAAATCCATGTCACATTTTTAATTCTAGAAATATTCACCAAACCATTGTAACATCCTAAACTGACAAAGGTCAACTAGCTGTTTAAATAATTACAATAAAGATTTAAAGTATTACAGTAAAGATTACAATGGATTGCATTCTTAGCGAAATAGTTTTCAAAACAAGTGTCTCGTTTCTTTGGGGCTGGTAGCCGGAATGTCAAAATGGTGTCCTGATTTTAACTATCTACGGCTTCGTATATCGAATGGCGTTATGTTTACTTAAAAAAAACACAGATAGCGTTTATATTGATTCAGATATGGAGGTATTCCAAGTTACCTGCAGTATTCCAAATATGTTGCACTTCCTATATATATTGTGTAAAGCAACATATGTCATTGTACATAATACGTAGACGTGTGTATAACGTAACAAAGTTTTGATTACTTTATTATTATATAATATGAAACTAAAGAATTTGAGTATCAAAGACGTAACTACCCCTTTTAGCTAATATAACTCAATGATGTTATTTTGTTCAAAATTGAACAGTCATACGATCTGTATAATTATTAATTAATAAATGCAATTATTAATTAAATAAAATTCTTTTACTTATTTGTTTTTATTTTTTTTATTTTTACACATCAACCAATGCAAAAGTTTATTGCTCATCTGTAACACATGTGCCATACCATAGTGCTATGAAACAGTGAGGAAAATATTGTCAGTACAAGTAAAGGGGTCTGACACTGCCATTGGGCGTTTTTAAACTTTTACGTGGAACTTCATTTCAGGTATTTCACGATTTTACCGTCACGATACAATGGGAAAGCAAACTGTATGTATTTGTATGAAGACGCTTTTAAGCATTCTCTATAATTATAACGTGGTCGTGCACCATCACGGCACTGTCGAACCCTTCCATAGCAGACCTAGGCTCGCCTATAAGACCGTCGCGGCAATTTTAGAAGTGCGAGCTATAATAAGACATGTCAGGCATATATATATATAATATATGTCAGGTATGTCACCATCCAGGAGAGTCACTCGTACACGGAATTTCGGGTTGATCAGCTCTTACCAACATTGAGTACTTGCAAAGACACCTCATCAAGAGTTATCCCTAAAATACAGTCCTCGAAAGCGACAGCGTCAACCTCTACTTGGACCGAGTCATCATCACGAACAGGACAGTTCCTACAAATATACCTAATATCGTGGTGATGGATTGGACACTCTTGAGAGTGTTTTTGGTGGACGTTACCATACCGCATGACATATTTGTTATATATTATATACTAAGTAAATATGATATAAATTATATCTAGAATAAATTTACAATTGTAATCGTTTGGAAGAAACAATAAAGAGTATCTATCTATCTATCTATCTAATACATATATAAAATAAATATACATACATAAATCAAGTTTGAATCGAAGCATTTGGCGTTCCATTGTTTCTGCGCTACCCTAATGGGAGACAGGCGTGACAGATATGTATGTATGTATATACATAAATCAATACATACATTTTACTATAGCAAACAATTAACTGTATTAGATGAACAAATAAAACAATCAATGACTGAAGCATTGAGTTTGAGGTTAAATTTAAAGGGAAAGTGAGAAAAAAAAATAAAAGCAATTTTTTTTTTAATGGGCGAAGATGAAATATTTTACCCGCCGACGCTAACGGAATACACTGGCAGGACACCAGTAAGGGATGATAGGTGAGAATGAAAAGGCAGGTCAGCTAGTCCATCGTGATGAATACACCTGGAATTCAGCACGATGGTTTCCAGGGGAACCGTGTGGAGGTCATCCTGTTGGGAGACATTGCTAGCAACGGGACTATTAGATCTTACTGAGAAACTGACGCTTCATGTTCTTTTTTTTTTTAATTTTTTTTATAATAATGTCATTGTAAAGTGCGATAGTTTATTCAGAGTTTGTTCTTGTCAGTTTCACTTGTAATGTTTTATGTATTTGTTGTGAAGCGTGCTGAGTCTCCCATCCGAGAAATAGATATTGGCGACCCGCACGCATGCTAAAGGTAAAGGAGTTAAGGGGCCGCCTGAAAATCAGCGTTCTATAGGTAGGTACTTCTCGCTGAAGCTGTACATATATATAGCAACAGCTGAGGCGGCTCCTATTACCAGCAAAATTAATTGTTTTTTTTATTGTTTTAATTTTTTATTTTCTTAATACTGGTAATAAAGGTTATCTATCTATCTATCTACCAGAAGAAAGAGTAAGCAGTAAGAGAGAGAGAGAGAGAGATCTATCAATAACAATATAAATAACAATCCCTTTCCCCCCAATAAAAGCAGTTATGTTTAGTTGGCTGTTATTTCAGCCGATAATTGTCTACCGCTGAACATAGGCTTCCTTCTATTGGAGGGTTTTACCAGTAATTACCAAGCTTGGCAACTATTTGGCTTTAGTGATGTTTTTAAGGGGTGTTGCTACTAATCCTTCGACCATTAAGTACCCTTAATTAGAGGGAGAAGGATTGTTAATAATGAGTTACAACTGAACCATTTGCTAGCAATTTTCTCTATCAGGTCGACCTTCATGCGGTTCTCCCTGGAAACTATCATGGTTAATTCAAGTATCACGATGGGTTAACTGACCTGCCTTTTCATTCTCACCTACCACTAGTGCCTCACCAGCGTATACAGATAGCGCAAGCGGAGCTACCATTCCTTTATCACCCATTAAAAAAAGTACCCTTTGTGACCTCTTACGACACCCACGTGAACACAGGTAACCAGTTTATTTTAATAATGTATAATTATTTTTTCTTAATCGAATATTATATTTTTTTTTCCAGAGCTACTGAAAAAACCGGTGTCGAAAATTTTTTATGAGATCCTGCATTTTGTATTTTTGTTCATAAAATAAATATTATGAATTCAAATGTTTTCATTTTATAAACATTTTCCCTTATTTTTTACATTAGTTACTCTTTCTATGCCATCAAGCTATCGTCTTATTTCTTTTTTCCTCTACCCAAAGGTATGTTTTATTTAAATTAGAATAGCAAACAAGCTGACGGTCCACCTGATGGAAAGTGGTAATCGTCACCTATAGACATGAGCAGTAACATAACAGAGTATACTGTTTTGCCCTTGTCATTCTCCCCCCATTCATTGGCATTCCTAAGGATTCAGGTGTTATTCCTCTGTACCCGGTAAATTTATGACATATCCCACCCTTTCAAACTGAAACACAACAAAGCAAACCCAACTGCTAGACGGTTGAAACACGAAATAAGACAGAGACACCCACGCGAACGACTTTGGTACGAAGTCTCCCTCTGGTAAATACAACTTGAGAAAGTTATATTAAAAGGGTTTAAAAGTACAAAGAGAAGACGTTCCCTACATGATACTGGCACAAGCTGATCACTGATGGAAGTGACACAGTGACAGGTTGCTAGCCCATCATCTACCAAGACAAACACAAGGCCATATTCCCATTAGTCGCCTTTTACGACATGCTAGGGAAGAAACTATTCGCATTACTTATTTACCATTAATTTTAGGGAAATTCAAACTTCTACATTTAAAAACTACTGTCCACAGCAAATATAGGTATCTAAGAAAATAGAAAAATCGTTTAATAGCATATCAAACAGAGGAATTACCTTTTCGAGCTTCGAATTCCTTTTGGAGTTTCATTACGCTTATATTTGCTCCAGATTTATTACCCGCGCTGGGAATTACGCCCCACAATTTTGCTAAGCCTCAACCAAACGAAGTTCTTGTGGCGACTGTGTATATATACAAATTTTACTTCCAATTACGAGACCAAGGCGAAATCCAAATTTCTGTATACATAAAAACTCTTTTAAAGTATAACGCCTGTTGCCGCGACCGACAAGGTCACTAATCTATTAACTCTATCTTAAGTGTCAAATTCAATTGACAGACGTCAGTGTCCGCCGGAACTGTCCAACGTACACGGATACTGATAAATTCGACTTAATCTAAAAATATTGTAATTTTTATATATTTGAAAACAGTGCTACAACCTTAATACATTTTTCGGATCTCACAAATAATTTGTTTATACCATCGAAAAAAAAAGTTTATCTTTGCTGTCAAAATAGGATAAAATTGCAGACTTGACTTCTTCATCGTCGCCAATTTTTTTTCCACGCAGCTCCTATTTCATTTTTGGGAATAAATATTAATCGCTGGATGGTAAGGTGGGTGGTCTAATTTTTTAAACCCGCATCTGTGGATGGTAGTCGTCGCAATATGGCACGTGAAGCGTTATCATGCAAAAGGAGCACACCTTTTGACAGCTTTCCTCTTTTTTTTCCTTCATAGCTTCTTTCAAACTGTCTAGTAAAGAAAGGTAGTACTGTCTCATTATAGATACACCACGATCTTTATAATCGATATAATATCGTTAAGCGTTATCAAAATAATTTATATATATTAAAATCTCTCAAACGATCTACTCCTTTCGATATTTGTACACATTGTATCAAAATTTATTAAATTCATATCGAGCACTGATATATGATGTATCATTTTTGGAGCAACCTCTCGAATTAATTAAAAGTTGTCACCTTAAAACTAAATCCATTCTCATCAAACTTAACTTGTTTAGAGTGTCGTGCAAACTAATATAAAGGAATATTATATTCAAGTATAAATTGCTCACTTCAGTGAGCAATTTATACTTGAATAAATGTTAAGTGTACGTGAACTTCCAGTTTCCCAAAACGTGTAGCAACGTTCCACAAACATAAAATTTTTCAACATTTAGTAAATTTATCTAATTTGTCATTCTTTAATGGATGATAATAAAATGGTAAACAAAGGTTGTATTTAGAGGAGAGCACTGTTTACGTCTTGCTCGCCCTAACATAGTTTGGTACCCACCCTAGGATGCGAACAATATTTCGCAGATGTCTAAAAATTTTCACCTTTATCGCTCCGGCTCGAAAATATTCTAAATTACGTCTGTCCCCGTTAGATTTGAGCTATTTTAGGCTATAATACAGTAAAAAAATTTAGACGACTTTAGGCTACTTGGGGTCAAATTTTTGGCATAATAGAGTTCATTTTATCTGGCAACACTTGTACAGTTTCTTATCAGTCAAGCTGTCATTGTCAGTAGATCAACTAGTGATGGGACTCGAGTGATTTTTTTTCACTCGAGTCACTCGGTACTGATAAGTTACTCACTCGAATGCCACTCGAGTGAAAATAAAACTCGAGTGATTTTTATTGACTCGAGTCACTCGTAATATAAAACTCGAGTGACCAAAATTTTAAAACGAATAAAACAGTATTAATTTTATATAGAAAATGTGTATTCATTTTCTCAAAAAAAAATCTAAACAAAATGTAAAAAATAGAATTTTCCTTCAAACTAAACCAAGCCAATGTCATACATAATCAAGAAACCTCTTATATCAACTATCAGTCAAATTAAAATATGATAATCTACTACTAATAAGTTCTAATCCAATTTAATTTATATAATAAACAGTTTTATTATGTTCTTACACAATTTATGTAATAATATACGTGTTTTAAAATTAATTTAAATGAAACTTAAATAAACTCAACAAAAAAACAAAAATAATGTATCTTTAATGAGATAACAAATTTAACTGAAATTGGTGTAATAACTACTTTAAAAAAATAAATTGATAAATTTTTTCCCTAACGGCTTCGATAATATCGACTTCAGCACTTGCTAAAATAATAGAAGAATGTTTCTCCGTAACCTCTTTAGTAGTAACAGTTTGCGAAAAAAGTTTTGAATTATAAGTATTGTAATAGTTAGGTATGCTTTATTATTGTCAGAAGTCCATAAATCTGTTGTAGCAGCCGTATATTCAACTAAATGTAGAATATCTACAATTATAGTGCGTGCGGCATGATAAGCATCAGGAAGAATTTTCTCTCTTAAAAGTTTCCTGCTACCGCGGGTAAACTTGTCACAATTTGAATTTCTCACTCGGTTCGGTATAAACCATTCGAGTGGTACGAGTCAACTCGAGTCACTCGTAATTCGAGTCGTCGCGAGTCACTCGAAACTCGAGTCGTCAAAAATTTAACTCGAGTGCATGTAATATAAAAACTACTCGAGTCACTCGAGTGAAAAGCAACTCGAATCCCATCACTAAGATCAACAATTTTAAGTATAAATTTATTATATTGAATATTTTTATATTACATAAAAAAATAAAAATTACGAATAAATTCGTGATAATATTAACACAGAAACTAAACATAAATAACTAGACAAGGACATTACATCGTTTACTTGCTTGATATATTGTACTGTTTATTTCTTGTGCATTTTGTGTGCCTTATTTCTCCGACTCGATAATAACAAAGGTAATACCGGCCACTAGACCGATACATGTCATTTGTAAACTTAAACCTGCCGCAGTCTACCTATTCTGTTTTATTTTCCTTCTCTGGCAATCGGTTGTTATTTTTACGATCCATGTGGCAGTGTCATGTCCAAAAGAATCGTACTGGAGACGTAAATGTCCAGCAAACTTTAAAATGTGTTTTAATTATGTCACTACACTGTCAGTGAGTACCCTCTTTAGTGGATGCGACGCGACCTCTGAACTGTCATACTAGGAATGCATGAAGGCCCTATTTATACTTTTTAATTTATACTGAAAATAATGTATTTAAGTATAAATTAAAAAAATTCTTAATCGATAAATGTTATTACAATGTATGTGAATTCTTTCATGATAAAATTTGACAAAACGAATATTTATTTGTATTTATTAACATTGTTCTTTTATTCTTGCCTGATAATTATTATTTATTTAAATGTATTTAAAATTGGAATGTGATGACGATTAATGGTATAAAATGGACTTGGAATTTGAACTATCTGTGTAACCACATATTTTTGTATGCCGTACAGCCTAAACATGTCGAACGGTATTATATTGTCAATATCTGCATGTATTTATATGCATGTTTTACAAATAAATAAATCTTGAATCTTGAACATCTAACTATATATTAGAGCAGTCTAATTAATTATAATTATTATATGTAGGTATATGCATAGATGTAGGTATATATTTATGTATATGTATGTGTGTATTTGTACTATAAAATATAATCTAATTAATTTAATTTTGGCTGTTTAAAAATTGTACACTGCTGTATCCGCTGACATTGATGCTCCTTTCCACTTTGGGTTTGCTGGAAGAAAACTCTATCGGAGTTAAGCTCGCCTTTGTACTTTTGTTTACCTCTGTCATATTTTTATAACTAATGTGTACAATAAAGTATTAAATAAAATAAATAAAAATAATTTTAAACTACCTCAACATGGTTATCATTTAACAAAATCTTACATCTAAACAGGCCATATGTATTGTCCACAGTGCATGGCAGATCAAATATGGCTATGGGCAATAAACAACGTGAGAACTTACATGTCTCCCACAACACCAAATGACAGATGACTCCACACCATAAAGAGCGTCCAGTTATGAATATCAAACAGGAACCGTTCATTGAACAAGATGATTATCAGCATGGCATAGACGGAGCGGGAGTTGTAAAGACAGAGTATGTTGATGTTGTTGAAGAATTGGAAGCTAATCAAAAAATATACAGTGGTGAGGCAAATGATCCCTTGAAGCTGTATGAGGATCATGAAATAAAGAGTGAGTTGGTTATAGGACCCACAGTTGTACAAGGAGTGACCACCGTTGGAACTACTGAACATTCAAAACCTGATTCTGGACAAGTTCTGTATAATGAAGATGAGGAGCATAATGTCTTTAAACCTAAGCACCAGAGAAGAAGAATATCATGTGATAAAGTTCATTCATGTAAGGTATGCAGTAAGACATTCGAGTCCTACAATACACTGAAATGCCATATATCAGTTCATACTAAACAAGAAATATATTTGTCTAATGAAAAGCCATACACTTGTTATGTATGTAATAAATGTTTTGACAGAAAATCAAAATTGCAACGGCATTTGTTGATACATACTGGTGAGAAGCCATACAGTTGTGATGTATGTAATAAATGTTTTAGTGATATATCAACATTGCAACGGCATTTGATTATACATACTGGTGAAAAGCCATATAATTGTGATGTATGTAGTAAATGTTTTAGTGATACATCAACATTGCAACGGCATTTGTCAACACATACTGGTGAAAAGCCATATAATTGTGATGTATGTAATAAATCTTTCAGGCAAAAAGCAAAATTAACACAACATTTTTCGACACATTTTGATGATAAACCATACACTTGTTATGTATGTAATAAATGTTTTGACAGAAAATCTAAATTGCAACGGCATTTGATTATACATACTGGTGACAAGCCATATAGTTGTGATGTATGTAGTAAATGTTTTAGTGATACATCAACATTGCAAAGGCATTTGTTAATACATACTGGTGAAAAGCCATACAATTGTGATGTATGTAATAAATCTTTCAGGCAGAAAGCAAAATTAACACAACATCTTTCAATACATTTTGATGATAAACCATATAGTTGTAATGTATGTAGTAAATGTTTTAATCTAAAATCAACATTGCAACGGCATATGTTGATACATACTGGTGATAAGCCATATACTTGTGATGTATGTAGTAAATGTTTCAACAAAAAATCAACATTGCAAAGGCATTCATTGATACACACTGATGATAAGTTATATAATTGTGATTTATGTAATAAAGGTTTTAACATAAAATCAACATTCCAGCGACATCTGTTGATACATACTGATGTTAAGCCGTATATTTGTGATGTATGTGATAAATGTTTCAGCAGAAAGTCATATTTAACACGGCATTATTTGATACATACTGGTGAGAAGCCATATAGTTGTAATGTATGTAATAAATGTTTTAATCAAAAAGGAAGTTTAACACAGCATTTTTTAATACATACTGGAGATAAGCCACATAGTTGTAACATATGTAATAAATGTTTTAATCACAAATCAAGTTTAACAAAGCATTATTTAATGCATACTGGCAATAAGCCACATAGATGTGATGTATGTAATAAATGTTTTAGAAGAAAGTTTAATTTAACACAGCATTTATTGAAACATACTGATGCCAAGCTGTATTGAATGTATAATTCATGTAGATGTAAGTATCTGTAAGACAAGATAAAGTTCAGAGGTACAAACAGCGACACCTTATGTAGCAAGCATTATGTGTGATATATCACGTGATTATATATATTGTGGAAAGCAACAGATGTCATTGTACATAATATGTAGATGTGTGTATAACGTTACAAAGTTTTGATAAATTTATTATTATATAATATGAAACTAATGGTTTTCTTCACAAATAAATAGAAATTATTTTTTTTACCTCTGAGTAGAAAAGATATGTGTTACCTTTGCCTAATATGACTGACTTTGCCTAATATGATGCTGTTTTGTTTAGAATTGAAAAGTCTATCTGTATATCTTGATTTTGGAGTTTCAAGTCCTAAAAACGGGTGAACTGTTAGCTAATGGTCAAATTAAACGTCTCTTTTTTTCAAATAGTGTTTCATAGTCATTTCTTACTCCCATAACTTATCTATAATATTTAATATATAAAATAAGTTTTTGCACATTAAATAGGACCAAAATTATAAAAAATAGAACTAGTAAGCATAAATAGTAATTCATTTCCTATAAAAGAATTCGCGCTATTTTTAGTGTTGCAAGTATCTAAAAAACTTTCCCACAATTGAATTAAAATTCCCCATTTGAAGTGGATTTTATCAACATCTACACTAATATTATAAAGAGGAAAGATTTCTATTTTTGTGTGTTGTTTTGTATGTTTGTTTATACTAATATTATAAAGAGGAAAGACTTGTATTTTTGTGTGTATGTATATTTGTAATGAATAAACTCAAAAACTATTTTGCCAATTACAAAAATTCTTTCACGATGAGAAAACTATATTTACTCTGAGTAATATAGGCTATAATTATTGCTAGAAAAGATTAGATTTCCTTACTAAAACTTTTATAATATAACTAAAGGTGTAGAAAAATGCTATAAAATATCTTTGGTCGCGTGCGCTGCGGAAACTATTGGTGATAGAACAAAAGTATGTTCTACAATATTGAAGGAAATATAAATACTTAACTACAAAAAACTTCGCGACACTATATGTCCAACTATTATCGTTATGTCACAATAATCACTTTTACATTTTAAAAGTTGAGAGAAATACCGACCAAAATTATACCATGTTATTCATACTACTGTCTAAATCTTTATCCAAATAAATTTTTGGAAACAGTTTTGAAAAAAATTGTTTTCAAAACTGTTTCAATTTTTTAATTATAATAGATATTACGAATTTAATAAGTCATGGAAATAGAAAAAATAACGCTGTCGCGTTGTACACGTTATTCATACCTATTTATTAATCCTTATCTGAATAAATTATTTTGTATTCATAATTGTTTCAATACCTGCAGATTACTTTTAGAATTTTTCATATCGTATATTCCATTCGAAAGACATGTTAAAAAGTCAGATATAGAAAAGGCGCCGCCCGTCGCCCGCGCCGTGTCAGCCGTGTGGTTACCTAGTCAGGCATTTTAGCGGTGGGAGAGAGGGGCAGGTGGGGGCGGGCACATCTATGAAATAGGTAGCTAGGTAGGATCAGATAAAAATGTAAAATGTTGTAAAAATGTTCATGCGTGCAAAGCCGGGACGTGCCGCTAAATTATATATATATATATATATATATATATATATATATATATATATATATATATATATATATATATATATATATACATACATATATGCATATTCTACTAAAATGCTCTTACTTTGCTGTGGATATAACTCTTTTGAAGGACATAGAGGCAGAGCTGTACTACTTTTTAAGTACACTGTGTTAAGATCTCTAGACATCACAGTTTTGGCCCAGGCTAGGAAGCACTCCTGATTCAAACGAGATGCTGTTCTACAAGAGGCTCCATACCAGGGTTTGGATTTTCTACCGACGGGCACCACAGACTAAGGAATAAGTAATGAGTTAAATTATTCCATTCCCTGGAGCACCACATCGGCGATGGCATCGGAATCATTGAGTGTAAAGCAGAGCTGCCTCCATGGGTAATGGACCTGCTTTCATCCTCACTTATCATTCCTCACTGGTTGCCCGCCAGCATATACCTATAGCACAGGGGGAGTTACCATTCCATCATCACCCGTTAAAAATCCTATTAAATGTTTTTACTCGCAAAAGCGAGTGCCATGATTAAAATATTTATTTGTCTTTTTTAATAACGCTAGTAGCAAACGAGCATGTGTTGAATATTTGCAAGTTCACGTTAAATCCGGATTTTAGTATATAAATGAAAATAAAGATGAATTGGTAATAAAACGTCTACTTATAGTAGCTTGTACAACACATTTACTTTGTACAAAAGTCGATCGCTTGGGTACCTCTGTATCATGAGCGAAACAGTATATTCTGTTATATCCATGGTACTTACTCATGTCTACGGGCGACGGTTGCCACTTTCCATCAGGTGGGCCGTCAGCTTGTTTGCCATTCTAAGTTGTATTATTATTGGTTTCAAAATTAATGTGAGAGCCAATTTAAAAAGGTACCAGGAGATAATAACCATACTAGAAATTAACTTACCAACAGTGGTATGTGTTGTTGGGGATATTTATTTATAATAAAATAAATAATAATTTTATAATGCTATTACTTTATTCATTTATATTCCACAGACAATATCTATATATTACTTTTATTACTATAGACTGACAGTAGGCAAAAGCATAAACTTATACATTCTTAACAGTATGAAGTATACTTTGTACAAAAGTCGATTGCTTGAGTACCTCTGTCCCATTCGTGTTTCAACCGTGAAGCAGTTGTGTTTGTATGGCTGTGTTTCGGTTTGAAGGGTGGGATATAGCGTGAATTTATTGGATACAATGGAATAACATCCGAGTCTTCAGGTATGGCAACGCATGGGGGTATCATGGGCGAAACAGTATACTCTGTTATGTCCATGGTACTGCTCATGTCTATAGGTGACGGTTACCACTTTCCATCAGGTGGACCGTCAGCTTGTTTGTCATTTTGAGTTGTATAAAAAAAAATTCATACATTATAATAAACCTTTACAGAAGTACAAAACTAAGGTACAAAAGCAGCAATGGCGCCACCATCGTATGACACAATGTATGAGGTGCGTTCTAGATATTTAACAACATGCGACTGACTTGAAGGTAAGTGACTACCATCGCCCATGAATACTTACAATACCAGAGGCATAGCAGGTGCGCTGCCGGCCTTTTAAAAATGAATGTGCTCTTTTCTGGAAGGTTAACTCTTTTTATGGGTGAAAATGGTATGGTAACCCCGCCTGCGCTAACGGAATAAGCTGGCGGAGCACCAGAGAAGGGTGATAGATGAGAATGAAAACGGGCCAGTTAGCCCATCATGATGAATTCATCAGGAATTAACCATGATAGTTTCCAGGGGAAACCGCGAGGAGGTCGACCTGGCTGGGTATATTGTTAGCAATGGGATTCTCAGTCTCCATTACTAACAATCCCTTTCCCCCCTTTCTGGAAGGTTAGGATATCGTATCGGTTCTAGAGCAAGTGCCCGTGAGGATTAACCCTTCGTTATATCATAAAAACTGAAAATTTCTCTACGCATGCTCCTAACACAGGTAAGAACAGTCAAGGAGTATGTATTTTAGATCATCGTGGCTTTGGCAGGTAACAGGTGACAAAGGTGTAAAAGATCGCACTCGAAAATCGCTAATCTATAAAAGAGGCATATTTTTAATCCTTTTTTGCATAATGGTGAAAATTTCCATCATAACATTGAATGCCCAAAAAATATTTAAAAGAACAAGTTCACTTTAAGTTGATCATGTCTGGATACCTTTTTAATGTCCATTGCAGAAAAAAAAAACATAGCTGTCAAATTTATTTTTTAACCATTTTTCCTTTAATTTTGAACTTGAATTATATCACCTTGATTTATATCACCAATAAAAAATTCTAAAATTATTTTGAATATTAAATGTTGTTTTTTATTATTCCCCAGAGTTGAGATACAATTTAATTTGAAAAATGTTCCCATATTACAAATTTTGTTATTTAGTAAAATTTTCTCCTTTTCTACATTAATGGTAATAATTTACTATTTATGATAGATACAGTTATGAATTGTACCATTGTAAAATCTACTTGAAACAGACATTATTTTAAAATTATTGGTCATCCATGTATTCATAAATTTTTTATACGCAAGAGGTTTGAACTTTGTTTAAAAAATATTATTTTGCATAATGTTCAAAAATAAATTTGTTCGCGTATTAAAAAAAAAACTGCAATAGTTAGTCATACTATTCACTTTCTGTCTATCAGCACAGTTAGTGTATAATAATAAAACAACCAAAAAACCAATAGAATTCATTAATTTCTTGTAATAGTGATCAGAACAGTAAAATAAGATAGAAAAAATTTACTTTCTTTGAAATAAAGATAACAAAGGTACTACTTATGATATATTTATTTTGTTTCGGTTTTTGTTCATGATGGCCATAAGTTGAACTATAAGATGTTTCAAGGTTATCCCTTCATTACCGGACATCCTGTATGTAGTAGAATTTAAAATGTTCATTTTGAAGTCGCTTGAGAATGGTACCTGTTTTATTAATAATTCAAGTAACTGTGTCGTAAAATTTTAATTAATATGAATAGCATTAGATATTCTGCATAATATTAAATAAAACTCTATGTACATACTAAGATCAATTTTATATTATGTAAGAAAATAACACAAAATACAAATAATAATTAAAAACAATTCACATCTTATTGAATAAATTTACCTGATTTCGGAAATTTTAATTCAATTGTAGGGATTTTTTCGGATACTTGCAACACCAAAAAACCCCCGGCAGAAGTATGGTCAGCCGGGATTCACGGCCTCAGGGAGAGTTATCAGCGTACAATGCGAGCAATATCTAAAAGCATCGCTCTCTGCATCTTACCCGGGATAATTTTAATGAAGTGTTTTGGTTATCTGGTTGTGTCTGTGCAAGTACTCAGTGTTGGTAAGAGCTGGTCAACCCGAAAGTATGTGTCCGAGTGACTCTCCTGGATGGTGACATGCCCGACATGTGTCTTATTATAGCTCGCACTTCTAAAATTGCCGCGACGATCTTATAGGCGAGCCTAGGTCTGCCACGGAAGGGTTACGGCAATGCCGTGATGGTGGACGACCACGTTATAATTGTAAAGAATGCTTAAAAGCGTCTCCATACAAATGCATACTGTTTGCTTTCCCATTGTATCGTGACGGTAAAATCGTAGATTTTTCTGATACAACTTAGAATGGCAATCAAGCTGACGGCCCACCTGATGGAAAGTGGTAACCGTCGCCAATATACATGAGCAGAGTATACTGACATAACAGAGTTTCGCCCATGATACCTTCCACGCGTTGCCATTCCTGAGGACTCAGGTGTTATTCCTCTGTACCCTGTAAAGTCACGCCATATCCCACCCTTCAAACCGAAACACAGCCATGCAAACAGAGCTGCTTCACAGTTGAAACACGAATGGGACAGAGGTGTCCAAGTAAGTAGAATACCGTGAAGTTCCACGTAAAAGTTTAAAAACGCCTAATGGCAATGTCGGACCCCTTTACTTTTACTAACAATATTTTCCCCACTGTTTCATATCACTATGGTATGGCACATGCGTTACAGATGAGCGATAAAAATGGCTTTTACATTGGTTTATGTGCAAAAATAAAAAAATACAACAAATAAGTAAAAGAATTTTATTTCGTTAATTATTGCATTGATTAATTAATAATTATACAGATCGTAAGACTGTTCAATTTTGAACAAAATAACATAATTAAGTTATATTAGCCAAAAGGGATAGTTACGTCTTTTCTACTCAAATTCTTTAGTTTTATATTATATAATAATAAATTGATCAAAACTTTGTTACGTTATACACACATCTACATATTATGTACAATGACATCTGTTGCTTTCCACAATATATATAATCACGTGATATGTCACACATAACGCTTACTACTTAAGGTGTTGCTGTTTGTACCTCTGAACTTTATCTTGTCTTGTAAATACATTATACATTTAACATGGCTTGTCATCAGTATGTTTTAACAAATGTTGTGTTAAAGTAAACTTTCTACTAAAACGTTTATTACATACATCGCAATTATATGGCTTATCACCAGTATGTATTAAATAATGTCGAGTTAAACTTCCTTTTTGGATAAAACATTTATTACATACATCACAACTATATGGCTTATTATCAGTATGTATCAACAAATGCCGTGTTAAACCTCTTTTTTGTGAAAAACATTTATTACATACATCACAACTATATGGCTTATCGCCAGTATGTGTCAATAGATGCCGTTGCAATGTTGATTTTCTGTTAAAACATTTACTACATACATCACAACTATATGGCTTCTCACCAGTATGTATCAACATATGCCGTTGCAGTGTTAATTTACTGTTAAAACATTTACTACATACATCACAACTATATGGCTTTTCACCAGTATGTATCAACATATGCCGTTGCAGTGTTAATTTTATTTTAAAACATTTATTACATACATCACAACTATATGGCTTCTCACCAGTATGTATCAACATATGCCGTCGCAGTGTTAATTTACTGTTAAAACGTTTACTACATACATCACAACTATATGGCTGCTCACCAGTATGTATCAACATATGCCGTTGCAGTGTTAATTTTATTTTAAAACGTTTACTACATACATCGCAAGTATATGGCTTTTCATTAGACAAAAATATTTCCTGTTCAGTATGGACTGACATATGGTATTTCAGTGTATTGTAGGTCTCGAATGTCTTACTGCATACCTCACATGAATAAACTTTATCACATGATTTTCTTCTTTTCTGTTGCTCAGATTTAAAGACATTATTCTTATCATCCTCATTATTAAGAACTCGTTCAGAACCAGGTTTTAAATATTCAGTAGTTCCAAAGGTGACATCCGATTCTCCAGTGACATCAACATACTCTGTCATTACAACTCCCGCTCCGTCTATGCCATGCTGACAGTTATCTTGTTCATCTAACGGTTCCTGTGTGGTATTCATAACTGTACAGCAGTCTGGACCCTCTTCATGGTGTGGAGTCATCTGCTGTTCAGTGTCATGGCTGACATGTAAATTCTCACCTTGTGAATTGTCCGTAGCCATATTTTGTCTGATATGCACGGTGGACACTACGGGAATATACTTAGACTTGCTTAGCTGTAATTTTCTGTTAAATGATAACAATGCTGATTCAGTTCACTATTACAGTACGACTGCTAAACTAGAAATGTTCATTCATGCATTCCTTGTACGACAGATCTGAGGTCATTTCGTGTTTACTAAAGAGGGTACCCACTGAAAATTTGCTGGATATCTACATCTCCAGTACGAGTCTTTTGGACATGACACTGTCACAAGTGGTCGTAAAAATAACAACCGATTGCCATAAAAGGAAAACAAAACAGAATAGATAGACTGCCGTAGGTTTAAGTGTACAAATAACATGAATCGCTCTAATGGCCGGTATTACCTTTATTATTATCGAGTCTGAGAAATAAAGCACTCACAAAATGCACAAAGAATAAACAGTAAAATATGTCGAATAAGTCAGCAGTATAGTAACATTAAAGAGGTTGTGATTATGTTTAAAACCGAAATCTTTGCTCTAAGGACAGATAGGAAACTCTTGTACAGATAAGTGTACGTTAGTGATTTGACCAGGGGCTGGTATCTACCCTACAGATTTTTTTCCAATAAAAAAGGTTTGTGTATGCGTTGAGGAGTATTACTTTTAAGTATTGCTACTTTAAAATACATATATAGTAAAAGGAAGGTATGAAAATTAAGTTATAATTATTTATAAATATAATAGAATAGTGTTTTATATTCATAGTCATATTTTTTAAACATTTCATCACTATTTTAGTATAGATAGAATGCAATTATGTAACAAACCACCAATTTTCTTCGAATGTAGTGAATTGCTCATGATCATATGGCAACCCCACAACCTGTTGTCAGTAAAGATTTTTTTTTTATTTTATTTTACTCTTAAGTTTTTTTCTGGCGGAAACATTCGAATAAAAAAGGCACACTTTCGCAAATAATTCAAAAACATATTTATTTGTTATTTATTTTGTACATATTTGTAAATAACCTTTTATATACGTAGCAAGTCTTCAAGCGGGTAGATAATTTTACATAATGGGGAGTGGGAAAAACGAAATAAAGAAGATGGTATAGGTGTTGAGGACAATAATTCAGGGTCGGATGAAAAAAACGATCAAGACAAATATAAATTCTATAAAGTTCTTAGTTATAGCCGAAAATATCCTGAAAATTCTAACAAATAAGAATTTATCGTCTTACTCTCTCATAAACAACCCAACACTACTTTTTCGGATAAAGATAGGCTAAAATTATCCCAGGCTGTCAGAAAGCACTGCGTGTCAGGAATTCTACACCTTAGACCTGTAAATAGGTTTAAAGTAGGAGTAACCTTTGATATCTCGAATAATGTTAATGTCTTTTTACAAAATCACAAATTACTGGAAGAGCTGAATATGTTGGCGACAATTCCTGCTGCAGATATGTAAGTCACGGGAGTCCTGACTTATGTTCGCATTCAGCTCAGTAATAAACAGATATTTTCGTTAATGGGCAGTTCCAGAAATATTATCCAAGTCCGGCGTTTTATGCGACGAGTGCAAGGTGATGGTGATGCAGTCTCTTACCAGCCAACGCAAACGGTCGCAGTCACCTTCGCTTCAACCCAGCTCCCAGAGTATGTATATCTGGATCATTGGAGATATAAGGTAAGTCAGTATGTTCCTACATGTCAAACAATGCCTACGTTGTATGCGTTTTGGTCATATAGTCAAATATTGCAATAATGAAGTTTGCTCAACATGTACAGCAAAACAAGCAAAACATAATTTTCTTGTATGTACACTAAAATCAGTAGATGCTAAATGTGCCAACTGTGGCGAAAATCACGTCGCCGTAGCAAATGTATGTCCATTAAAAAAAACAGAAAATAGAAGAAAACAAAATTAAATCCCATGCACTTGAACACTCTGATGTATTAAATGAAAAATCGTTTCCTTATTTATCAGCAAAGTCAATAGAAACACAAATTAATAAATTAACAAAATCAGATATATTTATGAATTTATTAGTTTAATCTATTATGAAATTAGTCTCTAACAAAAATGTGTCTCATAACACAGGTTCATTAAAAGATAGTTTAATTTCTACATTTAGTAACTCATCTTTAGTTAAATAATGGATAAGATAAACATAGTACAATGGAACGCTCAGAGTATAGTCAGTAACAGGCTTGTATTATTAAAATTTCTTTACGATTATAACATTCATATTAATAATAATAATAATAATCTTTATTGGAATTATCTCTGAAACTTGGTTTAGACTTAATCAAAAGTTTAACATACGCGGTTATAACATTGAAAGGAACGATACTGGTAAGAAACATAATGGAGTAGCTATACAACAAAATTTCATATTCTAGAATCAATACGAATTTCGACAATTCTATTTAGAATATTTGTGTATGTATTGTTGTAGGTAATAAAGAAATAAACATTGTTAGTTTTTATAGTCCAACCAACTGCAATCCTCTATTTAATAAAAATAAACTTGATGATTTAATAAAGTCTATTCACAGTTTCCTGATTTTTGCTAGCGATTTTAACGCCCATCATATTGCTTGGGGGTGCAATTCTAGTTCTCCTCATGGTAGAGATGTCTTGGATGTTATTAATAACAATGACTTGATTCTTCTTACTAATGGTCAACCAACTATAGTGGGAACGCTATCATGGCATCCCAATGTACTTGATTTGACGTTAGTTACTTCATCAATGGCTTTATGTTGTGACTGGTCTGTTCATGATGACCCGCTTGGTAGTTGCCACCTCTCTGTAAAATTAAATATCACTATAAATAGTAATTAAAATGCTAATAAACAGAATGACGGTTCAACACCTTTTCCAAACTTTCCAAATCTTAGATTAGTAGACTGGAAAAAGTAGCAAAAAAACGTTGATACTTTATTAATGGAATTTAAATATCAATGTTATTCTCCAATAGAATGTTGTTTTAGTAAAATACTTTATTGTGCTATAGAAATGTCTCTTCCTTCTAATTGTAAATCTATAACTAACTCACCTACTGATCGAAAATTATATATAAAACCTAGGATACCATGGTGGAATACCAAATGTTCAGAAGTTGTGAGTAACTCAAAGGAAGCATATATTAAATTTAAAAATAATCCTTCTGATTCCACACATTTAGAATTCAAGAGATTACAAACACTTAAAAAACTCACTTTGAAACAGGAAAGAACTAAAAGCTGGCCATCACTATGCAATTCTTTTCAGCGCTACACTGCTTTATCTGGAAACATATGCGTAAATTTAATAAGACTTTCTTACTATTCACTGGTACTAATGATAACTGGGCCCAAACTACCATATCAGATAGACTTGCGCAATACCAGGATCTTGCAATAGCATGGAAACCCAATGGCAAATCCATACAGTACCTACATATTGTATCCATACAGTACATTGTGGCGATGGAGAATGCTATAGTACATTGTACAATAGCGTTCTCCACCGGTGTAATCCCAAATAAACTAAGTACTCGTAACAGCTTCAACGCTTAGGTATTCTACGATATCTCCGTAAAACTTGCACATCCACAATTATATTTTGATGAGCAGCGCAGGCAGGCACACGCTTACTCACTTTTCTTATACCACTAAGGTGGCAACCTAATCAAACCTGAACGTTTGTGCGAGAAAACATCTCTGAAAGCAAGTTGTACGCGACCACCTAGGCTCTAGGATATGAAAGTAAACTTGTCGATTCGAGCTGTACGATGGTAGAAAGTGGCCGAATTGTGTGTTGAATGATTATGATATGAGTGAATGATGCCTAATCATATCGAACATTTCCTCTGAGCAGATTCCATTGTACAAGTAGTAGAATATGCAAAGTGAGGCAAAATCTCTCCTTAAGACTTAAGGGTTCATTACCGTTTGTAAGACAAGGATCATCGATAATTCTTAGAGATTTATTATATCTTTTATTAATTATTGTAACTTTTGTTTTCAATATTTGCACGCTTGATCTAAGTAGATAGTGGAAGGTAAAATTTAATTTATAAGATCTAATATTTTATACCCAAAATCATAGCAAATAAAAATATTATTACTATTATTTACAAAATTCACATCTCCCCTCTTAAGGAGAGGAGATGGCAAACTAAACCCTGGCAGAAGCATAGTCGGACGAGATTCATGGCTTTATTTAAGTCTTAGGAGAGATTTTGCCTCACTCTGCGTGTTCTACCGCTTATACAACGGATTGTGCTCAGAGGAACTGTTCGATATGATGCCTACGGCCACTTTCTATCATCGTACGGCTCGCCATCGACAGGGAGTTCACCCTCATACCTTACAGCCTAAATGGTCGCGTACAACGCGGTTTCAGAGATGCTTTTTCCCACGAACACTCAGGTTATGGAATGAGCTCCCTGCCGAGGTTTTCCCGAGAGACTACAGCATGGGGTTCTTCAAAAGGGGGGTAAAGAGGTTTCTTCAGGGTCGGCAACGCGCGCGTAATACCTCTGGTATTGCAGGCGTTCATAGGCTACGGTAACCGCTTACCATCAGGTGGGCCGTATGCTTGTTTGCCACCACAGTGGTATAAAAAAAAAAAAAAAAAAAAAAAATGGCCCCAGAGAGAGAAATGAGTGTACAATGCTTACCAGAGGGCGACTTTGTACAAGTCGATTGCTTGGATACCTCTGTCCCATTCGTATTTCAACCGTGAAGCAGCTGTGTTTGCATGGCAGTGTTTCGGTTTGAAGGGTGGGATATGGCGTGAATTTACTGGGTACAGAGGAATAAAACCTGAGTCCTCAGGAATGGCAACGCATGGGGGGTATCATAAGCGAAACAGTATACTCTGTTATGTCCATGGCACTGCTCATGTCTATAGGCGACGGATACCACTTTCCATCAGGTGGACCGTCAGCTTGTTTGCTATTCTAAGTTATATAAAAAAAAAAGAGCAGTATCTAAGAGCACCGCTCTCTGCATCTTACCGGGGGTGAGCCGCCTCGCACTCCCAACCGTCTGAGATGTTGTTTCAGACTGGTTAGGATAAGACCGTTCACTGACAGAACTCTTTCTCGGTTTAGGCTTTCACGAGGTTCTCGTCTTGCGGTATAGTGACGTCCACCAAAAACACCCTCAAGAGTGTCCGATCCTTCACCATGATATTAGATTTATTCGCAGGAACTGTTTGCGCTCCCATTGTTCGTGACGGTAAAATCGTACGATACCGTGAAGTTCCACGTAAGAGTTTAAAAACGCCCAATGGCAATGTCAGACTCCTTTACTTTTACTAACAATATTTACCCCGCTGTTTCATATCACTATGGTATGGCACATACGTTACAGATGAGCGATAAAAATAGCTTTTGCTTTAGTTTTTGGTTTATGTAAAAAAATAAAAAAATACAACAAATATGTAAAATAATTATATTTCATTAATTACTGCTTTGATTAACATAATTAATAATTATACAGATCCCAAGACTGTTCAATTTTGAACAAAATAACATCATTAAGTTAAAAAGTCCAAAAGGGGTAGTTACGTCTTTTCTACTCAAATTCTTTAGTTTCATATTATATAATAATTAACTGATCAAAACTTTGTAACGTTATACACACGTCTACATATTCTGTACGATGACATGTATTGCTTCGCTATTCTATTTTAAGGTGTCGCTGTTTGTACCTCTGAACTTTTGTCTTATAGATACTTACATTTACATGAATTGTTATATTTATGAATAATTACATTTAACATGGCTTGTTATCATTATGTTTCAATAAATGCTATGTTAAATTAAACTTTCTGCGAAAACATTTCTGTATACAGTGTAAGACTTACCTACATTACAATTATATGGTTTATCACCAGTATGTATCAACAAATGTTGTGTTAAACTAGCGTTTGATTAAACCCTTTATTATACATCGGAACTATATGGCTTATCACCAGTATGTATCAAATAATGTCGAGTAAAATTTCCTTTTTGTGAAAAACATTTATTAGATACATCACAACTATATGGCTTCTCACCAGTATGTATAATCAAATGCCGTTGCAATGTTGATTTTTGGTTAAAACATTTACTACATACATCACAACTATATGGCTTCTCACCAGTATGTATCAACATATGCCGTTGCAGTGTTAATTTTATTTTAAAACATTTATTACATACATCACAACTGTATAGCTTTTTATTAGACAAAAATATTTCCTGTTCAGGATGGACTGTCATATGGTATTTCAGTGTATTGTAGGTCTCGAATGTCTTACTGCATACCACACATGAATAAACTTTATCCTCATCCTTATTATACAGAACTCGTTCAGAATTAGGTTTGGAAGGTCCAGCAGTTTCAAATATGGTCCCTCCTTGTTCAGTCACCGGTTCCTGTGTGGTATTCATAACTGTGTTGCAGCCTGGACGCTCTTTACGGTATGGAGTCATCTGTTGTTCGGTGTCGTGCGAGACATGTAAATTCTCACCTTGTGTATTGTCCGTAGCCATATTTTGTCTGACATGCACGGTGGACACTACTGGAATATACTTAGACTTGTTTAGCTGTAATTTTCTGTTATATCATAACCATGCTGAGGCAGTTCACTATTACAGTCAGACTGCTAAACTAGAAATATTCATTCATGCATTCCTTGTACTACAGATCTGAGGTCACTTCGTGTTTACTGAAGAGGGTATCCACTGAAAATTTGCTGGATATCTACTTCTCCAGTACCATTCTCTTGTACATGACACTGTCACAAGTGGTCATAAAAATTACAACCGATTGCCAGAGAAGGAAAATAAAATAGAATAGGTAGACTGCGGCAGGTTTGTCTACAAATAATATGTCTCGGTCTAGTGGTCGGTACTACTTTTGTTATTATCGAGTCGGAGAAATAAAGCACACACAAAATGCACAAGGAATAAATAATACAATAAATTGAATAAGTCAGAAGTGTAGTAATATCAGAGAAGCTATAACTATGACTAAAACCGAAGACATTGATCTAAAGACAGTTAGAAAACTCTTGTACAGATAAATGTACGTTAGTGATTTGACCAGGGGCTTGTATCTACCCTACAGAATTTTTTGTCAAGGTTTGTGTGCGTTCCAGTGTATTGTTTTTAAGTATTGCTACTTAAAAATACATGTAATTAAAAGGGAGGTACGAATACAGAATTGTAATTGTTTGTAAATTTTGTTACTAATAATAAAGAATAAAATATTCACTCATATCCATAGTCATAGTTTTTAAACATTTCATCACTATTGTGATATGGGTACAATGTAAAAAAAACAATAAACTAACAATTTTCTTAGTATGTAGTGCATTTCTCATGATCATCTGGCAACCCCACATAGTGTTGTCACTGAACAAATTTTTTTACATTAGGGAAAAGTCCTCCAGTACCGGCCAGATGCAATTTCCGTAATATTATAATAGATAGCACTAATATTAATTTTCATATCAAGCTTCCACATGGACATGAGTGTTTACCTCGCAGAGGAAGATTGAGTCGCGACGTGTTTTGTTTCAGTGGACTGATTTGTTCATTACGTGACGTTTGTTCAAAACACAAGTAAAGTTCAGAGGGTGATTACTGCGATTAGAGAACGAGTTCACTAATTATTTTAGCTTGGTATGTACACAATAATATATATAATTATTATAACAAAATGTAAAATTGATTATTTATAGTGTTACTTTAATTACGTTCAAATATATATTTGATTCCGTTTCCTACAGTATCGGCCACGAAATTGTCCTCCAGTACCGGCCACTGTGTCTGTTGAATTTTAACAAGGTTAATTTGCTTTTAGGTGCTTAAAGATGTCTGGTGATGAGAATAATGATAAGAGATTGAAGAAGAAAGGTACTTGGCATCCTGAGAATATGCATAAAGCAGTGCAAAAGGTGTTGAATAAAGAAATAAGTGCACGTCAGGCAGCTGATCGCTATCGGGTACCAAGGACTACCTTAAATGATAGAGTAAATGCTGTTAAAAATAACAAAGAGATATATATGAAGCCGGTTATGGGTCACTTTCATAAAACTTTTTCATCTGAACATGAAGAAATATTAGCTGAACATATTAAAGACTTGGCAAATAGATTAATGCCTTTAAATAAACAGGAATTTCTTCACCTTGCTTTCCAAATTGCTGAAAAGTTGAAATTACCAGTCATTTTCATTAGTCGGCAAGAAAAGCAAAAAATCCAGAAATGATAAAGAAAACCAATACCGTCCACACAATCAATCTACTCAGGAACTGACAACTTGTCCTTTGTGCCTAGAAACTCACGAGGAAGATTGGATACAATATGGAAATTGTAAGATCTGGGTCCACGAAGCTTGTGCAAATATATCAGAGCTGTTAAACCAATATATTTGTGACTTTTGCCATGTATAACTATACATATTTTTATTGGCCGGTACTGGAGGACAGTTTTATAACAGTTGATTTTTTAATGTCTTAAAATATAATTAATAAAGTTACTATTTTTAAAATATCTCAATACTTTATTTTTTTTATTTGTAGCAAAAGGGTTGTTCTATATATATGAATAGGTATAATACGGAACATGTCAAAGAAATTTATATTATTTTTAAAAAACCTTAGGTTGACGGTACTGAAGGACTCTCCCCTATATATACTTTTAAAATATTTTCCTAGTTTTAATCATTTTATTTCACCTATTGGATATCAAATTCTTGAATTTTGTATATTGGGTATAGTTGCACGCTAGAGCTTATTTGCGATAACTTTTTGTTGGTATTTTGCTGGATATTAGACCATAATAGAACAATGGAGATTACTTGCATTAACAACAAAAATACAGTCAATATCAGCGATATCCTTCCTTGACCGTTATATTAATCCACTTTCAACTACTTGCTAACACACTATCGATGCATAATCATCGAATTTCCATAAATATTTCATATGCATTCAAGTTCGATGACAATGCAGAATAACTGCGACTAAAATAATAATATCGTAGCTGTTCTGATGAGGTAATTATAAGAACTACGTAACAAAGAATGCATCCTCATCAGTATGTGTTGATTATAGTTTATTTTGGTCATTGTTCTTGTGATGTTACGTTTAACTGCTGGATTATGTACAAAATTATAATTTTATCTATTATTGGCGATTTGACTTGTCAGTAAAGTGTGAGTTGTTGTATGTACATATCACAGACATAAATACATACGTATAAATACAATAGAATGAAGTAAACAGAACGAAGAGGCGAAAGAGGTTTGTTTGAATCGAAGCGTTTGGCGTTCCATTGTTTTTGCCTAGCCTAATGGGAGACAGGCGTGACAGATATGTATGTATGTATGAAGTAATGTGAAATGTTTTTTTTTAATAAACCATTATCTAATAATATAAGATTTTGTTTTATTTCTATAATTAGGTGAAGAGAATTCCGGTCATCTCGTCGCTCGGTGGATGGCATAGAACATAGTTTAATGATTAAAATAAAAACATTAGTTTGAAACGACTGTCGTACAATCTGTTATTCTATGCTTGTCATATTTAATATAAGCACGGACAGTCAGATTATACGATAGTATCAATTATATCGAAATCACGGGACATTTGACATTACCGCCACTATTAGTTCTAAATTATATTTTTTTGCTCTAGTGTAGCCCTGGTTTTCCTATGAATAAATAAATACATTAATAAAAATAAATTATTCCGCGCAGAATTTTGCGCTGGTAGTATCAGTGTGATTCAAATATTTCGATAATAGAATGGATAGTAAGTTTCTCGTTATATTTATGATATTGCCAATGCGTTAGAGAGGGATAAACATATATTAAAATTAAATAGCCTGTTGGCTAGTCTGCAGAAGTTAAATTTATAGAAATAGTAAGAACAAAGAATTACATAGAAGGAATGATAAAATAAAAACTGTAAATTATATGGTTGCCTCCTTTCTTCTTCTCCAAATATGATTAGTAAGAAGAGGACGAAGGATACACCATCAGTTGCTATTTTTCTCAACTCATAGCAAGCTAGTGTATAGAAAATGTTCGATATGTCCATTATTTGTCAATAACAAATTTTACATTACTAGATTATATATTCGACACAGTTTATGTAGAAAGTATGCAAGTAGGTTGTATCTGAATTTGGTTGTGTAATATGGCCGTAATAACATGTAATAACATTTTCAATTAAATTAGTAGTCAAACAATTTGAAAATCTTTCCAATAATTCCAATGAATTGCTCATCGAATAATTAGAAGATTAGTTGCCTGTTAAAGCCACGATGATCTAAACTATATACTCTCTGATTCCGTTGTGTTCGTCACGGCGTTTTTAGTACCAATGCGACATCCTAACCTTCCCGAAAAGAGCATATTCATTTTTAAAGACTGGAAACACCTGCAATTCCTCTAGTGTTGCAGGTGCTCATGGGCTCCTTGTGTTATAAGAAAAGAAAAATATTCTGAAATATTCTTGTTTTTGTGAAGGAAAACCATTAGTATCATATTATACAATAATAAATTGATCAAAACTATGTCACGTTACGAGGGGAGATCAAAAAGTTCGCGGAATGGAGGGGTTGGTGGGGGTTGATTTACTCATCCAAGTAGCTACTTGTTAAGCATCTCATTAAAAGTATATATACCAAGTTTGAACCAAATCGGGTAATTAACTTTTGAGATATCGACCTTGAAACAAGTGAATCTGGAAGAAGTCAGCGAGTATGGAGAAAATTGAACACCATGCCGTTATTAAGTTCCTCACCAAGCAAGGAAAATCCGCTTAGACGATTTTTCAAGAGCTGTTAGCAGTTTACGCGGACTCTGCCCCTGGTAAAACCATGGTCTTTTCAAATAAGGAAAAAGAGAGTCTATTGAAGACGACCCCCGCTCCGGATGGCCAATTGAGGCCACCATACCGGAAATCGTCGCAAAAGTAGAAAAACTTGTATAAGAAGATACCCGGCTGAAGAAGAAGCAACTTGCAGCAATGGTTGGAATATCCGACACATGTATTTTAAATATTCTACATCATCATCTTGGCATGACTAGGGTCCGTGCAAGATAGTTCCAAAAATGCTCACGCCACTTAAAAAAGTGAGCGTGTCGAGTGTTCTTGCTAGGTTTTGAAGCTCTATGGAGAGAGTAGGGAAGAAGTTATGGCCCGAATTGTTACTGAAGATGAGACCTGGGTTCACCACTATGGACCTGAATCGAAGCAAGAGTTGATGCAGTGGCATAAAAAAGGCACGACTTCTCCGAAGAAGTATAAAGAGAAAGATCATGACGACTGATGAAGAAATATCAAAGAAAAAAGAAGAGGAAAGATGTCAAAAGGTATGCTCCTGTTGCACGACAACGTTACGTGCCACGCAACCACACGTGCCATGTTGCTATGACTGTCATCCATTAATACGAGTTTAAAAATTTAGACCACACACCTTACAGTCCAAAATTGGTCCCCAGCGACTATTATTTATTCCCAAAAGTGAAAAAAGAGCTGCGTGGAAAACAAATTGGTGATGATGAAAAAATCAAGGCTGCAATTTTATAAACAAATTAAATAAGAGATCCGAAAAATGTATTAAAGTTAACGGAGAATACATAAAGAATGAAAAATAGTTTCATGTTTAATTTCAACTCCCTTTCCCCTCATTCCGCGAACTTTTTGACTTCCCCTCGTATACACACATTTACATATTATGTACAATGACATTATTACTTTCCACAATATATATAATGACGTGATATTTTAAACATAATGCTTGTTACTTAAGGTATTGCTGTATGTACCTCTGAATTTTACCTTTTTTATTAATACTTACACCTACATGAATTATACATTTAATACGGATCGTCATCAGTATGTTTCAACAAATGCCGTTGCAGTGCTGATTTTCTGTTAAAACATTTACTACATACATTACAACTATATGGCTTACCACCATTATGTATCAAAAAATGTTTTGTTAAATATCCTTTCTGTCTAAAACATTTATTACATACATCACAAGTATATGGTTTCTCACCAGTATGTATCAATAAATGTCTTTGCAATGTTGATGTATCACTAAAACATTTACTACATACATCACAACTATATGGCTTATCACCAGTATGTATAATCAAATGCCGTTGCAATGTTGATTTTTGGTTAAAACATTTAGTACATACATCACAACTATATGGTTTATCACCCTTATGTATCAAATAATGTCGGGTTAAGTTTGCTTTCTTATTAAAACTTTTATTACATACATCACAACTATATGGCTTCTCACCAGTATGTATCAACATATGCTGTTGCAATATTGATTCTCTGTTAAAACATTTACTACATACATTACAACTATATGGCTTATCACCAGTATGTATCAACATATGCTGTTGTAATATTGATTTTTGGTTAAAACATTTATTACATACATGACAAGTATATTGCTTATCACCAGTATGTATCAAAACATGTCGCGTTAAATGTGTTCTCTGACTAAAACATTTATTACATACACTACAACTATATGGCTTATCACCAGTATGTATCAACATATGCTGTTGTAATATTGATTTTTGGTTAAAACATTTACTACATACATCACAACAATATGGCTTATCACCAGTATGTATCAACAAATGCCGTTGTAATGTTGATTTTTGTTTAAAACATTTATTACATACATCACAATTATATGGCTTCGCAACTGTATGTATCAACGAATGCTGTTGCAATGTTGATTTTCTGTTATGTATCAAAACATGTCGTGTTAAATGTGTTTTCTGACCAAAACATTTACTACATACATTACAACTATATGGCTTATCACCAGTATGTACAATCAAATGCCGTTGCAATGTTGACTTTTTATTAAAACATTTATTACATACATCACAACTATATGGTTTATCAGTAGTATGTATCAAAACATGTCGTGTTAAATGTGTTTTCTGACTAAAACATTTACTACATACATCACAACTATATGGCTTATCACCAGTATGTATCAACAAATGCCGTTGTAATTTTTGTTTAAAACATTTATTACATACATCACAATTATATGGCTTCGCAACTGTATGTATCAACGAATGCTGTTGCAATGTTGATTTTCTGTTAAAATATTTACTACAAACATCACAACTGTATGGAGTCATCCGCTGTTTGGTGTTGTCGGAGATCTGCAAATTCTTACTTTGTGTATTGTCCATAGCCTTGTTTGATCTGCCATGTACCCTGGACACTGCGAATACATATGATCTGTTTAGCTGTAAGTTTTTATTATACGATAGCCATGCTGAGGCAGTTTAATTATAGTTAGACTGCTCATATACAGATCGATGTTCTTTGACCCTTCATGGACTTCTAGTACGACAGTTCTGAGGTCGCGTGGCGTCTATTAAAGAGGATACCCTCTGACCGTGTTGTGATATCATAAACACAAATTTTGGAATTTTCTATACATTTTACGTCTCCAGGTCGAGTCTCTTGTACGTGCCACTACCACAAGTGGTCGTAAACACAATAACTAATTGCCAGAGAAGGAAAGTAAAACAGAATAGGAAGATTACTGCAGGTTTAAGTCTACGAATAATATGTATCGGTCTAGTGGCCGGTATTACCTTTGTTATTATCGAGTCGGAGAAATAAAGCACACACAAAATGCACAAGGAATAAAATGTACAATATGTCGGGCAAGTCAGCAGTATAGTAAGATTCGGGAGAAAAGAAATCTTTGCTCTAAGAATAGGTAGGAAACTCTTTTACAGATATGTATACGTTAGTGATTTGACCAGGAACTTGTATCTACCCTACAGAAATTTTTATCAATGAAGGTTTGTGTGTGCGATGCGGATTTTTAAGTATTGCTAATTAAATATTCATACCTCATGAATATTTAATTATAATTTTAATTTTTTTTAATAATAATATAAAATAAATATTCATTCTATTATATCCATAGTAATATTTTTAAACATTTTATCACTATTGTGATATAGGGACAATGTAAATGTTTAATTAATTAAAAATCGTCATAGATTTAGTGCATTGCTCGTGATCATGTGGCAACCCCATGCCCTATTGTCGTTGTATATCATTCTTTTTCAATTTATACCTATTTATATACACTTTTTATATCTTTTCCTGCTTTTAATCAGTTTTATTTGTCGTATTGGATATTAGATGTTTGTATTTTGTACATCGGATCATAGCTGCATGCTAGAGCTTACTCGGAACAACCGTTTATTTATTTATTTTTATTTTATTTATTAGGCGCACATAACAGAAGTTTACAAATACAAACTTAAATTATAATATGCAAGTACATAATGTATTGATCAGGTAAACTTGCCACAACATGTGCGCACAGCACGATCCAATAATAATAAATCCAAAAATAATGCGACTGCGACGAAGCCATTAGGTTGCAACTATTAATGAATAATTTAAACATAAAAATAAATATAAATATAAAAAAAGTTAAATAAAAAACAAAACAAAATTATTTAAGAAATTTCTAAATATTACATTATTTTATATAATTGTCTGCGAAATTGATAATAACTGAGTCCAAATATGTCGAAGTCATTTTGATGAGCGTCATTATATGATCTACACATATTCGCTATAGGGTTATTTAAAGAAATATTTGGTACTTTGCTAGATATTGGACTGTAGTACTACAATGGAGATTCTTTGTATCAACAACAAAATATACTTCACAGTTATCAGCCATATCCATTCCTAAACTTGGAAAAATAAATATTGGGCGGTATGGTCATTTTAACGTATAATTAATAGGTATTTATTACATAAATTTCAATTTTTATAGTTTTATTTATTTTTTTAATATGGTTATATTTATCGATAGACTGTGTTTACTTCTATTTAAGGTTTTTTACATACATGCTATTACGGTAGATTGTAATTGCATGAGATTTTTAAGGAACTATTTATGATACGGAAGATCTATTCACCCCGTATATATTTAGCTGTCAATATAGTGTAGTCACAGGGTAGTCGAATAATAAATATCATCAATAAAATGTAGGTACATAAAGATGAGATGATGACAGCAGACGGCGTGTGTGGAGAGGTGGAGTAAGGAAAGTTATCAAGTGGTTTAAACTGACCTAATTGAGTTTCGTTATTATAATACTAGTGTACAGAAACAGTATTTAAATGTTATCGGCATTAGTAAGTCACTGTTTTTTTTTTTTTTTGATGGGTGAAAATGGTTTGGTAACTCCGCCCGCGCTAACGGGATACGCTGGCGGAGCACCAGTGAAGGTAGATAGATGAGAATGAAAACAGGTCAGTTAGCCCATCATGATGAATTCATCAGGAATTAAACATGATAGTTTCCAGGGGGAACCACGAGGAGGTCGACCTGGTTGGGTTTATTGCTAGCAATGGGATTCTCAGTCTCCATTACTAACAATCCCTTCCCCCCAGTAGGTCACTGTTAAACAAGTTCTCCAATCTTAAGTGATTTTAGTTGATTATTTATTTTATTTATTTATTTAATACTTTATTGTACACATCAGTTATAAAAATATGACAGAGGTAAACAAAAGTACAAAGGCGAGCTTAACTCTGATAGAGTTTTCTTCCAGCAAACCCAAAGTGGAAAGGAGCATCAATGTCAGCGGATACAGCAGTGTACAATTTTTAAATAGCCAAAATTAAATTAATTAGATTATATTATATAGTACAAATACACACATACATATACATAAATATATACCTACATCTATGCATAAACCTACATATACATACACATATACATACAATATACCTACACATATAGATAAATAAATATATGTTCATAGAGATAGAAGATGCTCTTTAAGTCTACTCTTAAAAATATTTAGGGATTGACTGTCACGGATAGATATGGGAAGAGAATTCCACAATCTAGCAGCATGGACGGTAAAAGATCCACTATAGCGCGTAGATGAGTGTGAAGGGAGTTTGAGGATAAGAGATTTCGTCGAACGGGAGGACACGTCATGGGGAACTAGAAAATCAAAACGTTCACGAAGATAGGAGGGAAAAGTAGGGTTATATAGAACGGAATATAAAAACGACATTATATGAAAGTCTCGACGCCTTCGAATTGGCAGCCAATTCAATTTTGTTCTATAAGCGGAGACATGATCATATTTACGCAGACCATATATGAAACGTATACACAAATTCTGTAATCTCTCTAATTTGTTTAAAAGCTCTTCAGTTGCATCAAGGTAGGATATGTCGGCATAATCAAGAAGAGATAACAGTAGAGCTTGTGCCAAAGTAAGCCTTGTCTTAAATGGTAAGAATTTTTGCAATCGTTTAAAAGAATGAAATGAAAAACATAGCTTTTTGCTGACCCCATAAATGTGTTCATTCCAGGATAAATTGCAATCAATTATAACACCTAGGTTTTTTGCTTTCTTAGCATATGCAATTAACTCATTTTCATAGTAAACAGGAGGCAAAGCATCATGATCAAGCATTTTATAATTACGATGACTACCTATAATGAGAGCTTGGGATTTTCGCGGGTTAACTAGAAGCCCAAAGGATCTAGCCCATTCCGATATTTTAAGCAGCTGAAAATTCATATCATCAATTGCTTCAGATATGTCGCAAAGATTAAATTGAAAATATAATTGCAAATCGTCTGCGTAGAGATGGTAGGAAGAAAAAATTACATGAGTTATAGCATTGATAAATGCAGAGAAAAGAAGAGGAGATAATACGCCGCCTTGAGGGACTCCTGCAGTAACCGCACACCGATCTGAGGTATCCTCACCATGGCGAACACACTGCAGTCGACCCCGAAGATAAGAGTTAAACCAATTGATTACAGGTGGAGATATGTTAAGGGATGAAAGGATATTTAAAAGAATATCATAATCTACAGAGTTAAAGGCACTGCTAAAGTCTAGGAGAACAAGGAGTGTGAGGGAGTGGTTGTCCATAGCCCGGCGTATGTCGTCAGTGACTTTGACAAGAGCACTGACTGTACTGTGACCAGGGCGGAAACCAGATTGCAAAGGACTTAGCAGATTATTACTAGACAGATAAACGGACAATTGTTTATGAACTATTTGCTCTAATAACTTTGACAAAGCGGGTAGAATCGAGATAGGTCGATATGATATATATATATATCGAATAGGATAGATTACATACCGGAGGAGTAAGTTCAGACTTACAAATTGATATACCTAATTAACAGTTACATGGAATAGATAATATCACAGTTAATAACGATATGTCTTCATTGTTGTAGCCTAAGGACATGCCCTTGATTGAATCCTGAAGTTATACTTTAATTATCCCCGAGGATAGCCGTGGTTTGGTTTTGGCAGAGTTCCGCAGCAACATAAAAACTCTCCTGGCGCCAAAAATTTGTTTTAGTCCAACATAGATTTAAGTTGTGGTTTAATTTACGTTATTATATATATATATAACCAACAAATGTTCCTTTTATTTGCAAGATAACCAAAAGATAAAAATACATGTTTTAAATTGGGTTGTTTATAAAGGATTATGTTCATGTTGACAGGTGTTAAAAAAAATGGATAATAACAAACAATGCCAGTAACATTTTATTTTTCTGTTTTTCATAATTAAAGAAATATAGATTTTTATAATATCCAATTATTGATAATTAATCTTTTTCAGAGAAAACTAATGTACCTAACATACATATTATATTACAATCATATTATCTTTCAGGTATTGCATGAAAGTTGAAAGACAAGGCTGATTGTGGTAGCAACATTATGTGACTTATCAAGAGTCAACATAAAATCAAGACAAATTTCAAGTCAATGATAATGATAATTTTAAAAAGTTTTTATTGTCAACTGAAATACAATCAGATGTGCATTCCAGCGAGTGTTCTACTATATATCTAGAACCACTAATTGCTGACGCAACTGCTGCGATAGAGCAGGTGTCTGGTGAAGTTCAGGCATGCCATATGTCTGTGAATTTATATGTAAAACATACAATGTAATAAGGACACTACTTGTAAAGAAATATTTTTGGCGTCGGGACCCGCATGCAATGTTAACCTTAATTTATTTAACAAGACAAAAAGACAAATACATACGTATAAATACACTAGAATGAAGTAATGTAAAAGTTTTCTTTATTAAAGCATTACCTAATTATATAAGGATTTCTTTTATTTCTATAATTAGGTAAATAGAGTCCCTGTCATCTCGTCGCCTTGTGGTTAACTGTCGTTAACTGTCCACTGCTAAACACAGTCTCTTCCATAAAGGGGGTTTTGCTAGTAATTGCTACAATTAGCAGGCGCTGCTACCCATCCCTCCACCGTAAGTTCACTTGATGGCCTCTTACGATACCTATGAAGAAAAGGGGTGACTTTTATACCACTGAGGTGACAATCAAGCATACGGCCCACCTGATGGTAAATGGTTGCCGTAGCTTATGAACATCTGCAATAACAGGAATATTACGCGCGTATAAGATATCTTTTTAATTATATTATTTTTCTAAACTTAAGAAATAAGAGAAATTAAGTCTTATAGATATTGTACTGTGATATATTATGTACTTCGAAAGCGAAGTACATTTCAGAATGGCCGTGTTAGATATATATTTTAAATTATATCAATTTTCTTAAACATATTGTGTCGAAATGTGTACCTTACCTTGTAATTTATTAATAAAAATCAGACTAATTACTTCAAATATAATAAAATATTAAAATTGTTATTATACCAAATTTTGTAATGAATTATTCTTGTAATGCATATAAAACACGAATTTATATTTTAATTGATTTTACAATTATTTATAATCATGATACTTAAATAAAGAGTAATAAAATTGTAAGAACACGTGGTCTCACTGACCTGTTTACTCGAATTCGGCCCTATAATATATGATATTAAAAATTGTTATTTGGACGGGGTAACACTTCTTGTCCAACCGTTGAATAGAGCGGAGCTTCCTAACGTATCAAGAGTGAACAAGTAAACCACGTGGTCCTTATATAAAATATATCACAATTATTGTTAATGGAAATCCTAAAGAAACTATAGTTCAATAAGTGTCAATGGATTAATAGAAGGAGGAAATTTCTATTATATTACTTAGTTATATACTAATTAAAATAAGTAAATATATGATTTAATAGTATGGTGTCTAAATTAAATGCGCTAAGTGAACTTGTGCTTTATTTCTATTTATTACTAAGAGGCTTACAAACTTTATATTGCTAAAGAATATATCACATACGTGTAAAGTTAGTATTACATGGTACCCCACATATCATATTATATATATATTAAATATTATAAATAATAATACCTTTTTGAGACGCGCATTGCCGAACTTGAAAAAACCTCTTTAATCCCCTTTTTAAAAACACCACGCTGTAGTTTTTTGAGGAAACCTCGGCTAGCAGCTCATTCCATAACCTGTGTTCTTGAGGGGAAACATTTCTGAAACTGCGTTGTACGTGACCATTTTGGCTGTAGGATATGAGGGTGAACTCCCTGTCGATGGCGAGCCCTACGATGGTAGAAAGTAGCCGTGGGCATCATACTAAATAATTCCTCTAAGCACAATCCGTTATACAAGCGGTAGAATACGCAGAGTGAGGCAAAATCTCTCTTAAGACTTAAGGGTTAGATACCGCTTGTAAGCCTGGGATCATCGACAATTCTCGTAGCTTGCTGTTGCACCGAGTCGAAGGGTTCAAGCCGGTATTTATCTGTTCCCACCTATAAGTGACAGCAATACTCTACATGGGGCCGGATTTCCAATTTGTAGAGCATTAATCGCTGATCCGGCGAGAAGTAATGCTTCACTCTATTAAGGACACAGAGTTTTTTGGATGCCAGCTTTACCATATCTTCGAGGTGGCAATAAAACGATACGTCACTAGAGATGTCGACACCAAGGATCAATGCTTTTAAAGATGTTAAGAGACATGCCTTGGAACTGTGGAGCCACAGCAAATGGTTCTTTTAGCGGTGTGCGTGTTCACCGCTAAAAAAACCATTTGCTGTGGCTTGTGTTTAAGTGAGGTTAAACTGAACTAAGTTTTGTCATCCCCAATCAGAGACTCCAGTTAACGTTCTTGTTTTGAATCAAAGCTTTTTGTATTTATTTGAATTCAGACACTGTTCACGAGGGGGGAAAGGGATTGTTAGTAATGGAGACTTAGAATCCCATTGCTAGCAATATACCCAACCAGGTCGACCTCCTCGCGGTTCCCCCTAGAAACTATCATGCTTAATTCCTGATGAATTCATCATGATGGGCTAACTGGCCTGTTTTCATTCTCATCTCTCACCCTTCACTGGTGCTCCGCCAGCGTATCCCGTTAGCGCAGGCGGGGTTACCATTCCATTTTCACCCATCAAAAAAGACACTGTTCGCGATTGTCCTCCATGGTGGAACGAGGGACATTTGTACGACCCGTATAATGGGCATCCCCAGTGCTGTCATCCGCATAACAATGAATGTCAACTAAGGTTTGTATTGACTTGGTAATAAATGACAACGACTTGTTTAATAATTATTGGTTTGATTATAGAGACCGACATTAGTACAATGGTGATGACATATATATTGAGAGAGGACGCGACAATAGTGATACGCCATTCCATTAGTGATGTGACCTTAACTACTTAAATCTATATTCATAACAAGGTTAACAAATCATTAATATACAGCAGAAACGGCGTTGGGGAAAGCACAGAGCCCTGCGAGACGCCAGTGTTAATATCCATGTCATATGACATGTTCAATGCAGGGATCTAGACGGCAGAAAATGTTTGATAGGATCTTTTTAATTGATAACGCTGACGTAGTATCAGTGAGGGATGATAGGTGAGGATGAAAGCAGGTTAGTTAGCACCTCGTAAGGAAATAAAAGAATAACCAATATAGTTTCAAGGGGAGACAGCGTGGAGATCGATCTGATAGAGTATATTGCTAGCAATGACAATGCTAGACCCTACTACTAACACTCCCTTTCCCCCTGTTTAATAAGATTATGATAAACCACAAACGTTACAAATGCAAGACAAAAGTGGCGTCATTATTTTTCAAAAAAAAATAAAAAATATGAGGTCTAAATGAATTTTTATTAATAAATAAATATACAGATAGTTAGACTGTAAAATTCTGAACGAAACAGCATTAAGTTATATCAGCAAAAAGTGGCACAAATGTCTTTTCTACCCTGAGGAAACAAAATAATTTTCACTTATCAATAAGAAAAACTAATATTATACAATAGTAAATTGATCAAAACTGTCACGTTACGAGGGGAAGTCAAAAAGTTTGCGGAATGGAGTGGTTAGTGGAGGTTAGTTTACTCGTCCAAATAGTTACTTGTCAAGCACCTCATTAAGAGTACATATACCAAGTTTGAACGAAATCGAATCATTATCTTTTGAGTCATCGACCTGCAAACAAGTTAATCTGGAAGAAGTCAGTGAGTATAAAGAAAATTGAACACCACGCCATTATTAAGTTCAACCAAGCAAGGAAAATCCGTTCAGACGATTTTTCAAGAGCTGTTAGCAGTTAACGCGGACTCTGCCCCTGGTAAAACTATGGTTTAAAAGTGGCATGGTCTTTTCAAACAAGGAAGAGAGTTTATTGAAAATAACCCCCGCTCCGGCGGAGCTTTGTAGAGAAAGTAGGAAAGAAGTTATGGCCCGGATTGTTATTGGAGATGAGACCTAGGTTCACCACTATAAACCTGAGTAGAAACAAGAGTCGATGCAGTGGCATAAGAAAGGCACAACTTCTCCGAAGAAATTTAAAGCGTCACAATCGCCCAGAAAGATCATGACGACTGATGAAGAAGCTGTCAAGGAAAAAGGAAGAGGAAAGCTGTCAAAAGATACGGGTTTAAAAATTTAGACCACCCACCTTACAGACCAGACTTGGCCCCCAGCGACTATTATTTACTCCCAAAAGCGAAAAATGAGCTGAGTGGATAAAAATTGGAGACGATGAAGAAGTCAAGTCTGCAATTTCGGCTTACTTTGACAGCAAAGATAAATCTTTTTTTTTCGATGAGATAGACAAATTATTTGAGAGATCAGAAAAATGTATTAAAGTTGAGCGAGAATATACAGAGAATAAAAAATAGTTTCATGTTTAATTTCAACTCCCTTTCTCCTCATTCCGCGAACTTTTTGACTTCTCCACGTATACACACATCTACATATTATGTATAATGACATTATTACTTTGCACAATATATATATAATCGCGTGATATGTCAAACATAATGCTTGTTATTTAAGGTATTGCTATTTGTACCCCTGAACTTTATCTTGTCTTACAAATACTTATACCTACTTGAATTATACATTTAATAAAGCACGTCTTCAATATGTTTGAACACATGCCGTTGCAGTGTTGATATTCTTTTAAAACATTTATTACATACATCACAAGTATATGGCTTGTCACCGGTATGTATCGACAAATGCTGTTTTAAATACCATTTATGCCTAAAACATTTATTACATACATCACAACAATATGGTTTATCGCCAGTATGTATAATCAAATGCCGTTGCAATGTTGATTTTCGTTTAAAACATTTATTACATATATCACAACTATATGGCTTGTCACCAGTATGTATCGACAAATGCTGTTTTAAATCACATTTATGCCTAAAACATTTATTACATACATCACAAGTGTATGGTTTATCACCCGTATGTATCAACAAATGCTGTTGCAATGTTGATGTTCTGTTAAAATATTTATTACAAACATCACAACTATATAGCTTATCATCAGTATGTACCGACAAATGCTGTTTTAAATAACATTTATGCCTAAAACATTTATTACATATATCACAACTATATGGTTTATCACCCGTATGTATTAACAAATGTTGTGTTAAGTTTGCTTTCTGACTAAAACTTTTATTACATACATCACAACTATATGGCTTGTCACCAGTATGTATCGACAAATGCTGTTTTAAATGCCATTTATGCCTAAAACATTTATTACATATATCACAACTATATGGCTTGTCACCATTATGTATCGACAAATGCTGTTTTAAATAACATTTACGCCTAAAACATTTATTACATATATCACAACTATATGGTTTATCACCCGTATGTATTAACAAATGTTGTGTTAGGTTTGCTTTCTGACTAAAACTTTTATTACATACATCACAACTATATGGCTTGTCACCAGTATGTATCGACAAATGCTGTTTTAAATGCCATTTATGCCTAAAACATTTATTACATATATCACAACTATATGGCTTGTCACCAGTATGTATCGACAAATGCTGTTTTAAATGGCATTTATGCCTAAAACATTTATTACATATATCACAAATATATGGCTTCTCGCCTGTATGTATCAACAAATGCTGTTGCAATTTTGATTTTCTGTTAAAACATTTATTGCATACATCACAACTATATGGTTTATCAGTAGTATGTATCAAAACATGTCGTGTTAAACATGTTTTCTGACTAAAACATTTACTACATACATCACAACTATATGGCTTATCACCAGTATGTATCAACATATGCTGTTGCAATATTGATTTTCTGTTAAAACATTTACTACATACATCACAACTATATGGCTTATCACCCGTATGTATCAACAAATGCTGTTTTAAATACCATTTATGCCTAAAACATTTATTACATATATCACAACTATATGGCTTGTCACCAGTATGAATCAAAACGTGTTGTGTTAAATTTCTTTTCTCTCTAAAACATTTATTGCATACATCACAACTATATGGCTTCTCACCACTATGCAACAACAAATGTCGCTGCAATACTGACTTTTGGTTAAAACTTTTATTACATACATCACAAGTATATGGCTTGTCATCAGTATGTATTAGCAAATGCTGTTGCAATGTTGATTTTCGTTTAAAACATTTACTGCATACATCACAACTATATGGCTTCTCGCCAGTATGTATCAACATATGCTGTTGTAATATTGATTTTTGGTTAAAACATTTACTACATACATCACAACAATATGGCTTATCACCAGTGTGTATCAACAAATGCCGTTGTAATGTTGATTTTTGTCTAAAACATTTATTACATACATCACAATTATATGACTTATCACCAGTATGTGTTAACATATGCCTTTGGAACATTGATTTTCTTTTAAAACATTTGTTACATACATCACAACTATATGGTTTATCAATAGTATGTATCAAAACATGTCGTGTTAAAAATTCTTCCTGACTAAAACATCGATTACAAATATCACAACTATATGGCTTCGCAACTCTATGTATCAACAAATGCTGTTGCAATGTTGATTTTCTGTTAAAATATTTACTACATACATCACAACTGTATCGAGTCGTCCGCTGTTTGGTGTTGTCGGAGACATGCAAATTCTTACTTTGTGTATTGTCCATAGCCTTGTTTGATCTGCCATGTACCCTGGACACTGCGAATACATATGATCTGTTTAGCTGTAAGTTTTTATTATACGATAGCCATGCTGAGGCAGTTTAATTATAGTTAGACTGCTCATATACAGATCGATGTTCTTTGACCCTTCATGGACTTCTAGTACGACAGTTCTGAGGTCGCGTGGCGTCTATTAAAGAGGATACCCTCTGACCGTGTTGTGATATCATAAACACAAATTTTGGAATTTTCTATACATTTTACGTCTCCAGGTCGAGTCTCTTGTACGTGCCACTACCACAAGTGGTCGTAAACACAATAACTAATTGCCAGAGAAGGAAAGTAAAACAGAATAGGAAGATTACTGCAGGTTTAAGTCTACGAATAATATGTATCGGTCTAGTGGCCGGTATTACCTTTGTTATTATCGAGTCGGAGAAATAAAGCACACACAAAATGCACAAGGAATAAAATGCACAATATGTCGGGCAAGTCAGCAGTATAGTAAGATTCGAGAGAAAAGAAATCTTTGCTCTAAGAATAGGTAGGAAACTCTTTTACAGATATGTATACGTTAGTGATTTGACCAGGAACTTGTATCTACCCTACAGAAATTTTTATCAATGAAGGTTTGTGTATGCGTTGCGGATTTTTAAGTATTGCTAATATAAGGGAGGTATTTAATTATAATTGCTTGTAATTTTTTTTTAATAGTAATAAAAAATAAATATTCATTCTATTATATCCATAGTAATATTTTTTAATCATTTTATCACTATTGTGATATAGGGACAATGTACATGTTTAATTAATTAAAAATCGTCATAGATTTAGTGCATTGCTCGTGATCATGTGGCAACCCCATGCCCTATTGTCGTTGTATATCATTCTTTTTCAATTTATACCTATTTATATACACTTTTTATATCTCTTCCTGCTTTTAATCAGTTTTATTTGTCGTATTGGATATTAGATGTTTGTATTTTGTACATCGGATCATAGCTGCATGCTAGAGCTTACTCGGAACAACCGTTTATTTATTTATTTTTATTTTATTTATTAGGCGCACATAACAGAAGTTTACAAATACAAACTTAAATTATAATATGCAAGTACATAATGTATTGATCAGGTAAACTTGCCACAACATGTGCGCACAGCACGATCCAATAATAATAAATCCAAAAATAATGCGACTGCGACGAAGCCATTAGGTTGCAACTATTAATGAATAATTTAAACATAAAAATAAATATAAATATAAATATAAAGAAAGTTAAATAAAAAACAAAACAAAATTATTTAAGAAATTTCTAAATATTACATTATTTTATATAATTGTCTGCGAAATTGATAATAACTGAGTCCAAATATGTCGAAGTCATTTTGATGAGCGTCATTATATGATCTACACATATTCGCTATAGGGTTATTTAAAGAAATATTTGGTACTTTGCTAGATATTGGACTGTAGTACTACAATGGAGATTCTTTGTATCAACAACAAAATATACTTCACAGTTATCAGCCATATCCATTCCTAAACTTGGAAAAATAAATATTGGGCGGTATGGTCATTTTAACGTATAATTAATAGGTATTTATTACATAAATTTCAATTTTTATAGTTTTATTTATTTTTTTAATATGGTTATATTTATCGATAGACTGTGTTTACTTCTATTTAAGGTTTTTTACATACATGCTATTACGGTAGATTGTAATTGCATGAGATTTTTAAGGAACTATTTATGATACGGAAGATCTATTCACCCCGTATATATTTAGCTGTCAATATAGTGTAGTGACAGGGTAGTCGAATAATAAATATCATCAATAAAATGTAGGTACATAAAGATGAGATGATGACAGCAGACGGCGTGTGTGGAGAGGTGGAGTAAGGAAAGTTATCAAGTGGTTTAAACTGACCTAATTGAGTTTCGTTATTATAATACTAGTGTACAGAAACAGTATTTAAATGTTATCGGCATTAGTAAGTCACTGTTTTTTTTTTTTTTGATGGGTGAAAATGGTTTGGTAACTCCGCCCGCGCTAACGGGATACGCTGGCAGAGCACCAGTGAAGGGAGATAGATGAGAATGAAAACAGGTCAGTTAGCCCATCATGATGAATTCATCAGGAATTAAACATGATAGTTTCCAGGGGGAACCGCGAGGAGGTCGACCTGGTTGGGTTTATTGCTAGCAATGGGATTCTCAGTCTCCATTACTAACAATCCCTTCCCCCCAGTAGGTCACTGTTAAACAAGTTCTCCAATCTTAAGTGATTTTAGTTGATTACATACCGGAGGAGTAAGTTCAGACTTACAAATTGATATACCTAATTAACAGTTACATGGAATAGATAATATCACAGTTAATAACGATATGTCTTCATTGTTGTAGCCTAAGGACATGCCCTTGATTGAATCCTGAAGTTATACTTTAATTATCCCCGAGGATAGCCGTGGTTTGGTTTTGGCAGAGTTCCGCAGCAACATAAAAACTCTCCTGGCGCCAAAAATTTGTTTTAGTCCAACATAGATTTAAGTTGTGGTTTAATTTAAGTTATTATATATATATATATATATATATATATATATATATATAACCAACAAATGTTCCTTTTATTTGCAAGATAACCCGTAACAGGATCCGACAGGATAAGATACAATATTCGAAATACATGTTTTAAATTGGGTTGTTTATAAAGGATTATGTTCATGTTGACAGGTGTTAAAAAAAATGGATAATAACAAACAATGCCAGTAACATTTTATTTTTCTGGCAAATCTGTACCTTCAGACACATTGTTTTTCATAATTAAAGAAATATAGATTTTTATAATATCCAATTATTGATAATTAATCTTTTTCAGAGAAAACTAATGTACCTAACATACATATTATATTACAATTATATTATCTTTCAGGTATTGCATGAAAGTTGAAAGACAAGGCTGATTGTGGTAGCAACATTATGTGACTTATCAAGAGTCAACATAAAATCAAGACAAATTTCAAGTCAATGATAATGATAATTTTAAAAAAATTTTATTGTCAACTGAAATACAATCAGATGTGCATTCCAGCGAGTGTTCTACTATACATCTAGAATCACTAATTGTTGATACAACGGCTGCGATAGAGCAGGTGTCTGGTGAAGTTCAGGCATGCCATATGTCTGTGAATTTATATGTAAAACATACAATGTAATAAGGACACTACTTGTAAAGAAATATTTTTGGCGTCGGGACCCGCATGCAATGTTAACCTTAATTTATTTAACAAGACAAAAAGACAAATACATACGTATAAATACACTAGAATGAAGTAATGTAAAAGTTTTCTTTGTTAAAGCATTACCTAATTATATAAGGATTTCTTTTATTTCTATAATTAGGTAAATAGAGTCCCTGTCATCTCGTCGCCTTGTGGTTAACTGTCGTTAACTGTCCACTGCTAAACACAGTCTCTCCCATAAAGGGGGTTTTGCTAGTAATTGCTACAATTAGCAGGCGCTGCTACCCATCCCTCCACCGTAAGTTCACTTGATGGCCTCTTACGATACCTATGAGGAAAAGGGGTGACTTTTATACCACTGAGGTGACAATCAAGCATACGGCCCACCTGATGGTAAATGGTTGCCGTAGCTTATGAACATCTGCAATAACAGGGGTATTACGCGCGTATAAGATATCTTTTTAATTATATTATTTTTCTAAACTTAAGAAATAAGAGAAATTAAGTCTTATAGATATTGTACTGTGATATATTATGTACTTCGAGAGCGAAGTACATTTCAGAATGGCCGTGTTAGATATATATTTTAAATTATATCAATTTTCTTAAACATATTGTGTCGAAATGTGTACCTTACCTTATATAAAATATATCACAATTATTGTTAATGGAAATCCTAAAGAAACTATAGTTCAATAAGTGTCAATGGATTAATAGAAGGAGGAAATTTCTATTATATTACTTAGTTATATACTAATTAAAATAAGTAAATATATGATTTAATAGTATGGTGTCTAAATTAAATGCACTAAGTGAACTTGTGCTTTATTTCTATTTATTACTAAGAGGCTTACAAACTTTATATTGCTAAAGAATATATCACATACGTGTAAAGTTACTATTACGTGGTACCCCACATATCATATTATATATATATATTAAATATTATAAATAATAATACCTTTTTGAGACGCGCATTGCCGAACTTGAAAAAACCTCTTTAATCCCCTTTTTAAAAACACCACGCTGTAGTTTTTTGAGGAAACCTCGGCTAGCAGCTCATTCCATAACCTGTGTTCTTGAGGGGAAACATTTCTGAAACTGCGTTGTACGTGACCATTTTGGCTGTAGGATATGAGGGTGAACTCCCTGTCGATGGCGAGCCCTACGATGGTAGAAAGTAGCCGTGGGCATCATACTAAATAATTCCTCTAAGCACAATCCGTTATACAAGCGGTAGAATACGCAGAGTGAGGCAAAATCTCTCTTAAGACTTAAGGGTTAGATACCGCTTGTAAGCCTGGGATCATCGACAATTCTCGTAGCTTGCTGTTGCACCGAGTCGAAGGGTTCAAGCCGGTATTTATCTGTTCCCACCTATAAGTGACAGCAATACTCTACATGGGGCCGGATTTGCAATTTGTAGAGCATTAATCGCTGATCCGGCGTAAAGTAATGCTTCACTCTATTAAGCACACAGAGTTTTTTGGATGCCGGCTTTACCATATCTTCGAGGTGGCAATAAAACGATACGTCACTAGAGATGTCGACACCAAGGATCAATGCTTTTAAAGATGTTAAGAGACGTGCCTTGGAACTGTGGAGCCACAGCAAATGGTTCTTTTAGCGGTGTGCGTGTTCACCGCTAAAAAAACCATTTGCTGTGGCTTGTGTTTAAGTGAGGTTAAACTGAACTAAGTTTTGTCATCCCCAATCAGAGACTCCAGTTAACGTTCTTGTTTTGAATCAAAGCTTTTTGTATTTATTTGAATTCAGACACTGTTCACGAGGGGGGAAAGGGATTGTTAGTAATGGAGACTCAGAATCCCATTGCTAGCAATATACCCAACCAGGTCGACCTCCTCGCGGTTCCCCCTGGAAACTATCATGGTTAATTCCTGATGAATTCATCATGATGGGCTAACTGACCTGTTTTCATTCTCATCTCTCACCCTTCACTGGTGCTCCGCCAGCGTATCCCGTTAGCGCAGGCGGGGTTACCATTCCATTTTCACCCATCAAAAAAGACACTGTTCGCGATTGTCCTCCATGGTGGAACGAGGGACATTTGTACGACCCGTATAATGGGCATCCCCAGTGCTGTCATCCGCATAACAATGAATGTCAACTAAGGTTTGTATTGACTTGGTAATAAATGACAACGACTTGTTTAATAATTATTGGTTTGATTATAGAGACCGACATTAGTACAATGGTGATGACATATATATTGAGAGAGGACGCGACAATAGTGATACGCCATTCCATTAGTGATGTGACCTTAACTACTTAAATCTATATTCATAACAAGGTTAACAAATCATTAATATACAGCAGAAACGGCGTTGGGGAATGCACAGAGCCCTGCGAGACGCCAGTGTTAATATCCATGTGATATGACATGTTCAATGCAGGGATCTAGACGGCAGAAAATGTTTGATAGGATCTTTTTAATTGGTAACGCTGACGTAGTATCAGTGAGGGATGATAGGTGAGGATGAAAGCAGGTTAGTTAGCACCTCGTAAGGAAATAAAAAAATAACCAATATAGTTTCAAGGGGAGACAGCGTGGAGATCGATCTGATAGAGTATATTGCTAACAATGACAATGCTAGACCCTACTACTAACACTTCCTTTCTCCCTGTTTAATAAGATTATGATAAGCCACAAACGTTACAAATGCAAGACAAAAGTGTGGTCATTATTTTTCAAAAAAAAATAAAAAATATGAGGTCTAAATGAATTTTTATTTATAAATTATTACATTTGTTAATAAATAAATATACAGATAGTTAGATTGTAAAATTCTGAACGAAACAGCATTAAGTCATATCAGCAAAAAGTGGCACAAATGTCTTTTCTACCCTGAGGAAACAAAATAATTTTCACTTATCAATAAGAAAAACTAATATTATACAATAGTAAATTGATCAAAACTGTCACGTTACGAGGGGAAGTCAAAAAGTTTGCGAAATGGAGTGGTTAGTGGAGGTTAGTTTACTCGTCCAAATAGTCACTTGTCAAGCACCTCATTAAGAGTACATATACCAAGTTTGAACCAAATCGAATCATTATCTTTTGAGTCATCGACCTGCAAACAAGTTAATCTGGAAGAAGTCAATGAGTATGAAGAAAATTGAACACCACGCCATTATTAAGTTCAACCAAGCAAGGAAAATCCGCTCAGACGATTTTTCAAGAGCTGTTAGCAGTTAACGCGGACTCTGCCCCTGGTAAAACCATGGTTTAAAAGTGGCATGGTCTTTTCAAACAAGGAAGAGAGTTTATTGAAAATGACCCCCGCTCCGGCGGAGCTTTGTAGAGAAAGTAGGAAAAAAGTAATGGCCAGGATTGTTACTGGAGATGAGACCTAGGTTCAACACTATAAACCTGAGTAGAAACAAGAGTCGATGCAGTGGCATAAGAAAGGCACAACTTCTCCGAAGAAATTTAAAGCGTCACAATCGCCCAGAAAGATTATGACGACTGATGAAGAAGCTGTCAAGGAAAAAAGAAGAGGAAAGCTGTCAAAAGATACGAGTTTAAAAATTTAGACCACCCACCTTACAGACCAGACTTGGCCCCCAGCGACTATTATTTACTCCCAAAAGTGAAAAATGAGCTGAGTGGATAAAAATTGGAGACGATGAAGAAGTCAATTCTGCAATTTCGGCTTACTTTGACAGCAAAGATAAATCTTTTTTTTTTTCGATGATATAGACAAATTATTTGAGAGATCAGAAAAATGTATTAAAGTTGAGCGAGAATATACAGAGAATGAAAAATAGTTTCATGTTTAATTTCAACTCCCTTTCTCCTCATTCCGCGAACTTTTTGACTTCTCCACGTATACACACATCTACATATTATGTATAATGACATTATTACTTTCCACAATATATATATATATATATATATATATATATATATATATATATATATACAATCGCGTGATATGTCAAACATAATGCTTGTTATTTAAGGTATTGCTATTTGTACCCCTGAACTTTATCTTGTCTTACAAATACTTATACCTACTTGAATTATACATTTAATACAGCACGTCTTCAATATGTTTGAATACATGCCGTTGCAGTGTTGATATTCTTTTAAAACATTTATTACATACATCACAAGTATATGGCTTATCACCGGTATGTATCGACAAATGCCGTTGCAATGTTGATGTATTTCTGAAACATTTATTACATACATTACAACTATATAGCTTATCATCAGTATGTATCGACAAATGCTGTTTTAAATACCATTTATACCTAAAACATTTATTACATATATCACAACTATATGGTTTATCACCCGTATGTATTAACAAATGTTGTGTTAAGTTTGCTTTCTGACTAAAACTTTTATTACATACATCACAACTATATGGCTTGTCACCAGTATGTATCGACAAATGCTGTTTTAAATGACATTTATGCCTAAAACATTTATTACATATATCACAACTATATGGTTTATCACCCGTATGTATTAACAAATGTTGTGTTAAGTTTGCTTTCTGACTAAAACTTTTATTACATACATCACAACTATATGGCTTGTCACCAGTATGTATCGACAAATGCTGTTTTAAATCACATTTATGCCTAAAACATTTATTACATATATCACAACTATATGGTTTATCACCCGTATGTATTAACAAATGTTTTGTTAGGTTTGCTTTCTGACTAAAACTTTTATTACATACATCACAACTATATGGCTTGTCACCAGTATGTATCGACAAATGCTGTTTTAAATGCCATTTATGCCTAAAACATTTATTACATATATCACAACTATATGGCTTGTCACCAGTATGCATCGACAAATGCTGTTTTAAATGCCATTTATGCCTAAAACATTTATTACATATATCACAAATATATGGCTTCTCGCCTGTATGTATCAACAAATGCTGTTGCAATTTTGATTTTCTGTTAAAACATTTATTGCATACATCACAACTATATGGTTTATCAGTAGTATGTATCAAAACATGTCGTGTTAAACATGTTTTCTGACTAAAACATTTACTACATACATCACAACTATATGGCTTATCACCAGTATGTATCAACATATGCTGTTGCAATATTGATTTTCTGTTAAAACATTTACTACATACATCACAACTATATGGCTTATCACCCGTATGTATCAACAAATGCTGTTTTAAATACCATTTATGCCTAAAACATTTATTACATATATCACAACTATATGGCTTGTCACCAGAATGAATCAAAACGTGTTGTGTTAAATTTCTTTTCTCTCTAAAACATTTATTGCATACATCACAACTATATGGCTTCTCACCACTATGCAACAACAAATGTCGCTGCAATACTGACTTTTGGTTAAAACTTTTATTACATACATCACAAGTATATGGCTTGTCACCAGTATGTTTTAGCAAATGCTGTTGCAATGTTGATTTTCGTTTAAAACATTTACTGCATACATCACAACTATATGGCTTCTCGCCTGCATGTATCAACAAATGCTTTTGCAATGTTGATTTTCTGTTAAAATATTTATTACATACATCACAATTATATGGTTTATCAGTAGTATGTATCAAAACATGTCGTGTTAAATGTGTTTTCTGACTAAAACATTTACTACATACACTACAACTATATGGCTTATCACCAGTATGTATCAACATATGCTGTTGTAATATTGATTTTTGGTTAAAACATTTACTACATACATCACAACAATATGGCTTATCACCAGTATGTATCAACAAATGCCGTTGTAATGTTGATTTTTGTCTAAAACATTTGTTACATACATCACAACTATATGGTTTATCAGTAGTATGTATCAAAACATGTCGTGTTAAAAATGCTTCCTGACTAAAACATCGATTACAAATATCACAACTATATGGCTTCGCAACTCTATGTATCAACAAATGCTGTTGCAATGTTGATTTTCTGTTAAAATATTTACTACATACATCACAACTGTATCGAGTCGTCCGCTGTTTGGTGTTTTCGGAGATCTGCAAATTCTTACTTTGTGTATTGTCCATAGCCTTGTTTGATCTGCCATGTACCCTGGACACTGCGAATACATATAATCTGTTTAGCTGTAAGTTTTTATTATATGATAGCCATGCTGAAGCAGTTTAATTATAGTTAGACTGCTCATATACAGATCGATGTTCTTTGACCCTTCATGGACTTCTAGTACGACAATTCTGAGGTCGCGTGGCGTCTATTAAAGAGGATACCCTCTGACCGTGTTGTGATATCATAAACACAAATTTTGAAATTTTCTATACATTTTACGTCTCCAGGTCGAGTCTCTTGTACGTGCCACTACCACAAGTGGTCGTAAACACAATAACCAATTGCCAGAGAAGCAAGTAAAACAGAATAGGAAGATTACTGCAGGTTTAAGTCTACGAATAATATGTATCGGTCTAGTGGCCGGTATTACCTTTGTTATTATCGAGTCGGAGAAATAAAGCACACACAAAATGCACAAGGAATAAAATGCACAATATGTCGGGCAAGTCAGCAGTATAGTAAGATTCGAGAGAAAAGAAATCTTTGCTCTAAGAATAGGTAGGAAACTCTTGTTCGTACGTTAGTGATTTGACCAAGAGCTTGTATCTACCCTACAGAAATTTTTGTCAATGAAGAAGGTTTGTGTATGCGTTGCGGATTTTTAAGTATTGCTAATATAAGGGAGGTATTTAATTATAATTGCTTGTAATTTTTTTTTAATAGTAATAAAAAATAAATATTCATTCTATTATATCCATAGTAATATTTTTTAATCATTTTATCACTATTGTGATATAGGGACAATGTACATGTTTAATTAATTAAAAATCGTCATAGATTTAGTGCATTGCTCGTGATCATGTGGCAACCCCATGCCCTATTGTCGTTGTATATCATTCTTTTTCAATTTATACCTATTTATATACACTTTTTATATCTCTTCCTGCTTTTAATCAGTTTTATTTGTCGTATTGGATATTAGATGTTTGTATTTTGTACATCGGATCATAGCTGCATGCTAGAGCTTACTCGGAACAACCGTTTATTTATTTATTTTTATTTTATTTATTAGGCGCACATAACAGAAGTTTACAAATACAAACTTAAATTATAATATGCAAGTACATAATGTATTGATCAGGTAAACTTGCCACAACATGTGCGCACAGTATGATCCAATAATAATAAATCCAAAAATAATGCGACTGCGACGAAGCCATTAGGTTGCAACTATTAATGAATAATTTAAACATAAAAATAAATATAAATATAAATATAAAGAAAGTTAAATAAAAAACAAAACAAAATTATTTAAGAAATTTCTAAATATTACATTATTTTATATAATTGTCTGCGAAATTGATAATAACTGAGTCCAAATATGTCGAAGTCATTTTGATGAGCGTCATTATATGATCTACACATATTCGCTATAGGGTTATTTAAAGAAATATTTGGTACTTTGCTAGATATTGGACTGTAGTACTACAATGGAGATTCTTTGTATCAACAACAAAATATACTTCACAGTTATCAGCCATATCCATTCCTAAACTTGGAAAAATAAATATTGGGCGGTATGGTCATTTTAACGTATAATTAATAGGTATTTATTACATAAATTTCAATTTTTATAGTTTTATTTATTTTTTTAATATGGTTATATTTATCGATAGACTGTGTTTACTTCTATTTAAGGTTTTTTACATACATGCTATTACCGTAGATTGTAATTGCATGAGATTTTTAAGGAACTATTTATGATACGGAAGATCTATTCACCCCGTATATATTTAGCTGTCAATATAGTGTAGTGACAGGGTAGTCGAATAATAAATATCATCAATAAAATGTAGGTACATAGAGATATATATATATATAAACCAATAAATGTTCCTTTTATTTGCAAGATAACCCGTAACAGGATCCGACAGGATAGATTACAATATTCGAAATACATGTTATAAATTTTGTAAAGGATTATGTTCATGTTGACAGGTGTAAGAAAAAAAAATGGATAATAACAAACAATGTCAGTAACATTTTATTTTTCTGGGAAATCAATATCTTCAGACAAATAGGTTTTCATAAATTCCAAATTTCCTAATTTCATATAATACCTGAAAGACAAAATAATTATATAGTGTAAGTATGTTAGGTACATTAGTTTTCTCTGAAATATATTAATTATCAATAATCAGATATTACAAAAAAAAATCCTATTTCATTAATTATAACAGCTAATTTGTCTAAAGTTACTGATTTCCCAGAAAAATAAAATGTTATTGGCTATTTCCATTTTATTCTCACACCTGTCAACATGAACATAATTCTTTACAACCAACTCAATTTAAAACACGTGTTTCGATTATTGTATCCTATGCGTCTATGTAAAATACCTTAAATAGAAGTAAACACAAAACTTTGTCTATTGATAAAAATAACCATGTTATTAAAAAAAATATTTAAAACTATACGATGGTATAAAAATTTAATTTTATGTAATAATTACCTAACAATTATACGCTAAAATGACAATACCGCCCAATATTTGTTTTTCCAAGTTTAGGAATAGATGTGGTTGATAACAGTATAGTACTACATTTTGTTGTTAATTTGAGTAATTTTGATTGTAGTACTATGACCTAATAATATATAATATCCACCAAAGTACCAATAAACGGTTGTCATGAGTAAGCTCTAGCTACAACTATGATTCGATATACAAAATACAAACATTGGATATTCAATACGAGAAATAAATGATAAAAAGTAGGAAAAGAATTTAAAAGTATATATAAAGTAAAATAAGAATTTATATTAAATGACAGCATGGCGTGGGGTTGCCACATGATCACAAACAATGCACCAAATTCCAAGACAATTGTTAGAGTATTAAATAATTACATTGTACCTATATCACAATAGCAATGAAATGTCTAAAAAATGTGACTATGAATTAAAAGGATATTTTAGTTTTTTTATTAGTAAAAATGTTTACAAACAATTATAATTCAATATTAGTACCTCCCTTTTACTTTATATGTATTTTTAAGTAGCAATACTTAAAAATCCGCAACGTACACATGAGCATATTCATTGCTAAAAAATTCTGTAGGGTAGATACAGACACACATATCTGTACAAGAGTTTCCTAACTATCCTTAGACCAAAGATTTCGATTTTAGATATAGTCATTGCTTGTCCAATCTTACTACATTGCTAACTTGTTCGACATATTGTACTGTTTATTCCTTGTGCATTTTGTGTGTGCTTTATTTCTTCGACTCGATAATAACAAAGGTAATACCGGCCACTAGACCGATACATGTTATTTGTAGACTTAAACCTGCGGCAGTTACCTATTCTGTTATATTTTCCTTCTCTGACAATCGGTTGTTATTTTTCATATGTATAACAGGTCATATGTATTTCCAGTGTCCACAGTGCATGACAGATCAAACATGGCTACGAGCAATAAACAAGGTGAAAATTTGCATGTCTCCCACAACACCAAACAGCAGACGATTACACACCATGAAAAGCGTCCAGACTGCTGCACAGTTATGAATACCACACAGGAACCGTTGATTGAACAAGATGATTTTCAGCATGATACTGATGGAGCGGGAGTTGTAAAGACAAAGTGTGTTGACGTCACTGAAGAATCGGAAGCTAATCAAATAATATGCTGTGATGAGGGAAATGATCTCTTGAAGTCCTATGAGGATAATGAAGTAAAGAGTGAGTCGGTTATAGGGCCCACAATTGCACAAGGAGTGACCATCTTTGGAGCTACTGAATATTCAAAACCTGGTTGTGAACGAGATCTTAACAATGAGGATAAGGAGCATAATGTTTTTAAATTTGAACACCAGAAAAGAAGAATATCATGTGATAAAGTTCATTCATGTGAGGTATGCAGTAAGACATTCGAGACCTACAATACACTGAAATACCATATGACAGTCCATACTGAACAGGAAATATATTCGTCTAATGAAAAGCCATATAGTTTTGACATTTAAGACAACATGTTTTAATACATACTAATGGTAAACTATATTGTTGTGATGTATGTAATAAATGTTTTAGTTATAAATGTTATTTAAAACAGCATTTGTTGATACATAGTGGTGAGAAGCCATATAGTTGTGATGTATGTAGTAAATGTTTTAACAAAAAATCAACATTGCAACGACATATGTTGATACATACTGGTGATAAGCCATATAGTTGTGATATTTGTAGTAAATGTTTTAGTCAAAAGGCACATTTAACACAACATTATTTAATACATACTGGTGATAAGCCATATAGTTGTGATGTATGTAATAAATGTTTTAAACTAAAATCAACATTGCAACGGCATATGTTGATACATACAGATGACAAACCATATAGTTGTGATGTATGTAGTAAATGTTTTAAACTAAAATCAACATTGCAACAGCATTTTCTGATACATACTGATGAGAAGCCATATGGTTGTAATAAATGTAGTAAATGTTTTAAACTAAAATCAACATTGCAACAGCATTTTCTGATACATACTGGTGAGAAGCCATATGGTTGTAATAAATGTAGTAAATGTTTTAAACTAAAATCAACATTGCAACAGCATTTTCTGATACATACTGGTAAGAAGCCATATAGTTGTAATGTATGTAGTAAATGTGTCAACCAAAAATTTACATTGCAACGACATATGTTGATACATACAGGTAATAAGCCATATAGTTGTGATGTATGTAGTAAATGTTTTAAACTAAAATCAACATTGCAACGGCATATATTGATACATACAGATGACAAACCATATAGTTGTGATGTATGTAGTAAATGTTTTAAACTAAAATCAACATTGCAACAGCATTTTCTGATACATACTGGTAAGAAGCCATATAGTTGTAATGTATGTAGTAAATGTTTTAACCAAAAATCAACATTGCAACGACATATGTTGATACATACAGGTGATAAGCCATATAGTTGTGATGTATGTAATAAATTTTGTAGGCAAAAATCAACATTGCAACGGCATTTGTCGAAACATACTGATGACAAGCCTTATTAAACGTATAATTCATGTAGATGTTAGTATTTATAAGAGAAGATAAAGTTCAGAGGTACAAACAGCGACAGATTTTTTTTGTGCCTACCACATAGCAGTGCCACCGTGGAAAGTTTATTTTCAGCTATAAATATTACGAAAATCAAATTACGCAACAGAATATCGACTATTAAAGAAGTATTACATACTAATTTCCAAATAAACGATTGCTACTCATGTGACGCCACGGAAAGAGACATGAAGAAATTTAACAAAAATATTTATGAAATGAGTATGAAAATACTGAAGATGAGGCAATTGAGAATGAACGTGGAAAATAATTTTACTTTGATTTTTTTAATTATATTGTGATTATTAATATAACAATGTATGTGAGTCCTGGTAACTAAGAAAATTTATTATTGTTTTAATTATATGAATAAAGTATGAAATGTGCCTTTTTCTACCAGATATTACAAAAAATTCATACTTCCTTAATTATGGCAGCTAATTTGACTAAAATTACTGATTTCCCAGAAAAATAAAATGTTATTGACTGCTTCCATTTTTTTTTTTCTCACACCTGTCAACGTGAACATAATCCTTTACAACCAACTCAATTTAAAACATGTATTTCGATTATCGTATCCTATGCGACTACGTAAAATACCTTAAATAGAAATAAACACAATACTTTGTCTAAAAATTTAAATTTATGTAATAATTACCCATCAATTATACGCTAAAATGACAATACCGCCCAATATTTGTTTTTCCAAGTTTAGGAATGGATATGGTTGATAACTGTATAGTACATTTTGTTGTTTTTTTTTACAACGCAGGGGGCAAACGAACATGCGGCTCACCTGATGGTAAGTGACTGCCGCCGCCCATGATCACTCACGGCACCAGCGGCATTGCAGGTGTGCTGCTGGCCTTTTAAAAAGGAATTTACTCTTTTGTTGAAGGTTATATTGTCGTATCGGTTCGGAAATACTGCTGCTGGAAGTTGATTCCAAAGAATGGTTGTGCGTGGAAGAAAGTGCCTTGAAAAACACACGGTAGAAGATCCACTAACAAAACAAGACACTAGACACTAGACACTAGACACTAGACACTAGACACTAGACACTAGACACTAGACACTAGACACTAGACACTAGACACTAGACACTAGACACTAGACACTAGACACTAGACACTAGATACTCAGACACTAGACACTCAGACACTAGGCACTAGACACTTGACACTCAGACACTCATACACTAGACACTCAGACACTAGAAACTCAGGCACTAGACACTCAGACACTAGACACTCAGACACTAGACACTCAGACACTAGCCACTAGACACACAGACACTAGACACTGGTCACTCAGACACTAGACACTTGACACTCAGACACTAGACACTCAGACACTAGACACTAGACACTAGATACTGGACACTCAGACACTCAGACACTAGACACTCAGGCACTAGACACTAGACACTAGATACTGGACACTCAGACACTAGACACTAAACACTAGACACTCAGACACTAGACACTCAGACACTAGACACTCAGACACTAGACACTCAGACACTAGACACTCAGACACTAGACACTCAGACACTAGACACTCAGATACTAGACACTTGACACTCAGACACTAGACACTAGACACTATACACTAGACACTAGACACTAGATACTCAGACACTAGACACTCAGACACTAGGCACTAGACACTTGACACTCAGACACTCATACACTAGACACTCAGACACTAGAAACTCAGGCACTAGACACTCAGACACTAGACACTCAGACACACAGACACTAGACACTCAGACACTAGACACTCAGACACTAGACACTCAAACACTAGCCACTAGACACACAGACACTAGACACTGGACACTCAGACACTAGACACTTGACACTCAGACACTAGACACTCAGACACTAGACACTAGACACTAGACACTAGACACTAGATACTGGACACTCAGACACTCAGACACTAGACACTCAGGCACTAGACACTAGACACTAAACACTAGACACTCAGACACTAGACACTCAGACACTAGACACTCAGACACTAGACACTCAGACACTAGACACTCAGACACTAGCCACTAGACACACAGACACTAGACACTGGTCACTCAGACACTAGACACTTGACACTCAGACACTAGACACTCAGACACTAGACACTAGACACTAGATACTGGACACTCAGACACTCAGACACTAGACACTCAGGCACTAGACACTAGACACTAGATACTGGACACTCAGACACTAGACACTAAACACTAGACACTCAGACACTAGACACTCAGACACTAGACACTCAGACACTAGAAACTCAGGCACTAGACACTCAGACACTAGACACTCAGACACACAGACACTAGACACTCAGACACTAGACACTCAGACACTAGACACTCAAACACTAGCCACTAGACACACAGACACTAGACACTGGACACTCAGACACTAGACACTTGACACTCAGACACTAGACACTCAGACACTAGACACTAGACACTAGATACTGGACACTCAGACACTCAGACACTAGACACTCAGGCACTAGACACTAGACACTAAACACTAGACACTCAGACACTAGACACTCAGACACTAGACACTCAGACACTAGACACTCAGACACTAGACACTCAGACACTAGCCACTAGACACACAGACACTAGACACTGGTCACTCAGACACTAGACACTTGACACTCAGACACTAGACACTCAGACACTAGACACTAGACACTAGATACTGGACACTCAGACACTCAGACACTAGACACTCAGGCACTAGACACTAGACACTAGATACTGGACACTCAGACACTAGACACTAAACACTAGACACTCAGACACTAGACACTCAGACACTAGACACTCAGACACTAGACACTCAGACACTAGACACTCAGACACTAGACACTCAGATACTAGACACTTGACACTCAGACACTAGACACTAGACACTATACACTAGACACTAGACACTAGATACTCAGACACTAGACACTCAGACACTAGACACTAGACACTAGACACTAGACACTAGACACTAGACACTAGACACTAGACACTAGACACTATACACTCAGACACTAGACACTCAGACACACAGACACTAGACACTCAGACACTCATACACTAGACACTCAGATACTAGACACTCAGACACTAGACACTCAAACACTAGCCACTAGACACACAGACACTAGACACTGGACACTCAGACACTAGACGCTTGACACTCAGACACTAGACACTCAGACACTAGACACTCAGATACTAGACACTTGACACTCAGACACTAGACACTAGACACTATACACTAGACACTAGACACTAGATACTCAGACACTAGACACTCAGACACTAGGCACTAGACACTTGACACTCAGACACTCATACACTAGACACTCAGACACTAGAAACTCAGACACACAGACACTAGACACTCAGACACTCATACACTAGACACTCAGATACTAGACACTCAGACACTAGACACTCAGACACTAGCCACTAGACACACAGACACTAGACACTTGACACTCAGACACTAGGCACTCAGACACTAGACACTAGACACTAGACACTAGACACTAGACACTAGACACTAGACACTAGACACTAGACACTATACACTAGACACTAGACACTAGATACTCAGACACTAGACACTCAGACACTAGGCACTAGACACTTGACACTCAGACACTCATACACTAGACACTCAGACACTAGAAACTCAGGCACTAGACACTCAGACACTAGACACTCAGACACACAGACACTAGACACTCAGACACTCATACACTAGACACTCAGATACTAGACACTCAGACACTAGACACTCAGACACTAGCCACTAGACACACAGACACTAGACACTGGACACTCAGACACTAGACACTCAGACACTAGACACTCAGACACTAGACACTCAGATACTAGACACTTGACACTCAGACACTAGACACTAGATACTGGACACTCAGACACTAGACACTAGACACTCAGGCACTAGACACTAGACACTAGATACTGGACACTCAGACACTAGACACTAGACACTAGACACTAGACACTAAACACTAGACACTCAGACACTAGACACTCAGACACTAGACACTCAGATACTAGACACTTGACACTCAGACACTAGACACTAGACACTATACACTAGACACTAGACACTAGATACTCAGACACTAGACACTCAGACACTAGGCACTAGACACTTGACACTCAGACACTCATACACTAGACACTCAGACACTAGAAACTCAGACACACAGACACTAGACACTCAGACACTCATACACTAGACACTCAGATACTAGACACTCAGACACTAGACACTCAGACACTAGCCACTAGACACACAGACACTAGACACTTGACACTCAGACACTAGACACTCAGACACTAGACACTAGACACTAGACACTAGACACTAGACACTAGACACTAGACACTAGACACTAGACACTATACACTAGACACTAGACACTAGATACTCAGACACTAGACACTCAGACACTAGGCACTAGACACTTGACACTCAGACACTCATACACTAGACACTCAGACACTAGAAACTCAGGCACTAGACACTCAGACACTAGACACTCAGACACACAGACACTAGACACTCAGACACTCATACACTAGACACTCAGATACTAGACACTCAGACACTAGACACTCAGACACTAGCCACTAGACACACAGACACTAGACACTGGACACTCAGACACTAGACACTCAGACACTAGACACTCAGACACTAGACACTCAGATACTAGACACTTGACACTCAGACACTAGACACTAGATACTGGACACTCAGACACTAGACACTAGACACTCAGGCACTAGACACTAGACACTAGATACTGGACACTCAGACACTAGACACTAGACACTAGACACTAAACACTAGACACTCAGACACTAGACACTCAGACACTAGACACTCAGATACTAGACACTTGACACTCAGACACTAGACACTAGACACTATACACTAGACACTCAGACACTAGACACTCAGATACTAGACACTTGACACTCAGACACTAGACACTAGACACTAGACACTATACACTAGACACTAGACACTAGATACTCAGACACTAGACACTCAGACACTAGGCACTAGACACTTGACACTCAGACACTCATACACTAGACACTCAGACACTAGAAACTCAGGCACTAGACACTCAGACACTAGACACTCAGACACACAGACACTAGACACTCAGACACTAGACACTAGACACTAGACACTAGACACTAGACACTAGACACTAGACACACAGACACTAGACATTTGACACTCAGACACTAGACACTAGACACTAGATACTGGACACTCAGACACTAGACACTAGACACTAGACACTATACACTAGACACTAAACACTAAACACTAGACACTAGACACTAGATACTCAGACACTAGACACTAGATACTCAGACACTAGACACTAGACACTAGATACTGGACACTCAGACACTAGACACTAGACACTAGACACTAGACACTAGACACTAGACACTAGACACTAGACACTATACACTAGACACTAGACACTAGATACTCAGGCACTAGACACTCGGACACTAGGCACTAGAAACTAGACACTAGATACTCAGGCACTAGACACTTGACACTTACTCGTCCAGATGTTTGGGATGAAACTTTAGTTTGTGGCGGGTTGTACGGTGGTGAAAATCAGCAGCAGGTATCAATCCGAACAATTCCTCAGAACACTCCCCATGATAAATTCGGTAGTAGATGCACAGAGATGCAACATCTCTGCGCAGTTTCAGTGGGTCAAGTCGGACAGTAAGGCGTTGACTATGAATAATTCGAGCCGCCCGACTTTGAATGCGGTCTAACGGAAGGAGTTGGTACTGTGGCGCTCCTGCCCATAGGTGAGAACAGTATTCCATATGCGGCCTGACTTGAGCTTTATATAATTTCAGACGGTGTTCTGGCATGAAATACCGTCTCACCCTATTGAGCACTCCTAACTTTTTGGAAGCTATCTTATAGCCTTCTCCTCCAGATGACCGCAAAACTGGACGTCGCAAGATATATCAACGCCCAGAATTCTTAGACTCGACTTTTTATCAAGGGAAGTGCCCTGAAAGTGAGGAGATACGACAAACGGCGTCTTTTATGCGGTGAACGCGCAGACTTGTGTCTTCTTAGGGTTAAATTGGACAAGATTTTGTTTACCCCAGATCGAAATTTGATGGAGTGATGTTTCGATTTCAAACACAAGTCTGTTCCGGCACTAATCAGTATGTGCCCGCGAGATCTTTGCATGACCGCAATGCGTTCAAATTGCATAGCGATGAATATCACTGATCTGTAACATATCATTGATATGCAGAAGAAACAGAGTCGGAGATAGTACACAGCCTTGCGGGACACCAGCATTCACAGGTTTTAAATCAGAGCATGCTCCGTCGATTACGACCTTAATGCTACGTTCCTTGAGAAAGCTGGCGACCCAAGTGCACAGTCTTGCAGGCAACCCAAATGAAGATAGCTTTGAAAGCAGCGTTCTATGCCACACCCGATCAAAGGCTTTCGCAATATCCAGACTAACAACTAAGGCCTCTCCCTTACTCTCGATTGCCACTGCCCATCGGTGCGTCAAGTAAGCTAAAACATCACCGGCCGAACGTCCCTGTCGAAAGCCGTACTGGCGCTCACAGGCTCACAGGTCGCTGGTGCTTTTCTAGATACCGGAACAGTTGACGGTTAATGATAGATTCCATAACCTTCGAGAATAAGTAAGTGATAGCTATGGGCCTGTAGTTATCTGGATCTGAGCGATCTTCCTTTTTAGGGATCGGATGTACTAGAGCAGTCTTCCAAAAATTTGGGACTATGCCCGATGAGTAGCAAAGCCAAAAAAGACGCGTAAGAACCGGAGCCAACTCTGGTGCGCACGTCCTAAGCACAACTGGAGGAATACCATAGGGCCCACTCGACTTATGGATTTTAAGGGAGAAAAGTGCTCTACGCACTGAGCTATGCGTGAATTTAATGTCAGGCATAGAGCTTCTACAACACGGGATGGTCGGTGGTGGTTTCTCCCCATCATCCAATGTCGAGTTTGACGCAAAGATGGATCCAAGAAGATCGGCCTTTTCTTTAGCGTTCAGAGCCAACGAGTCATCTTCCCTACGCAATGGTGAAAAAGATGACTTACAGAAATTTCCTTGTGCAGCTTTGGCAAGAGACCAGAAAACTCGAGTTCCCGAACGCAAACTAGCCAATCTCTTGTCATTTCTACTAATATCTAATATAATTACTATGATCTAATATCCACCAAAACACCAACAAACAGGTCATCATATCACCACTATGTATGAAAGTAAACTCCTTGTCGATGGCGAGCTGTACGATGGAAGAAAGTGGCCGATGTTGTGAATGATGATGATGTGAGTAAATGATGCCTAATCATATTGAACATTTCCTCTGAGCACATTCCATTGTACAAGTAGTAGAACATGCAGAGTGAGGCAAAATTTCTCCTTAAGACTTAAGGGTTCGTTACCGTTTGTAAGCCTAGGATCATCGATAATTCTCATAGCTTTATTATATCGTTTATTAATTATTGTAACTTTAGTTAGCACGCTTGACCTAAGTGGATAGTGGAAGGTATTTTTAACTTATAAGATCTAATATTTTATACCTACTCAAAATCATTTCAAATAAAAATATTATTATTATTATTTACAAAATTCACATCGACCCTCTTAAGGAGAGGAGGTGGCAAACTAAATCCCAAACGGAATCCCCTAAAAACAGAATCCCAACCGTCTGAGATATTGTTTCAGACTGCTTGGGATAAGACCGTACACTGATAGAACTCTTTCTCGGTTTAGGCTTTCACGAGGTTCTCGTCATGCGGTATATTGACATCCACCAAAAACACCCTCAAGAGTGTTCAATCCATCACCACGATATTAGGTTTATTCGCAGGAACTATCATATCCGTGATGATGACTCGGTCCCAGTAGAGAGTGACGCTGTCGCTTTCGAGGACTGTACTTCAGGGATAACTCTTGATGGGGTGCTTTTCAAGTACTCAGTGTAGGCAAGAGCTGAACAACCCGAAAGTACATGTCCGAGTGACTCTCCTGAATGGCGTCATGCCCGACATATGTCTAATTATAGCTTGCACTTGTAGAATTGCTGCGATGGTCTTGTAGGCGAGCCTAGGTCTGCCATGCAAGTGTTACGACAGTGCTGTGATGGTGCATGACCACGTTATAATTGTAGAGAATGCTTAAAAGCGTCTCCATACAAATGCATACTGTTTGCTTTCCCATTGTATCGTGACGGTAAAATCGTAGATTTTTTATTTCATAAAATAATAGTTTTCGAAGAAAGAAATTTTCTTATATATTTTTTTTAAAAATTCTTAAACCTTTTTTTGTCTATCCATCATTCATCATAATTTCCTTTTTTTTATACATCTTAGAATGGCAAATAAGCTGACGGCCCACCTAATGGAAAGTGGTAACCGTCGCCTGTCTATAGACATGAACAGTACCATGGACATAACAAAGTATACTGTTTCGTCCATGATACCCCCCCATGCGTTGCCATTCCTGAGGACTCAGGTATTATTCCTCTGTATCCTGTAAATTCACGCTATATCCCACCCTTCAAACCAAAACACAGCCATGCAAACACAACTGCTTTACGGTTGAAACATGAGTGGGACAGAGGTATCCAAGTAAGTAGAATATCGTGAAGTTCCACGTAAAAGTTTAAAAACGCCTAATGGCAATGTCAGACCCCTTTATTTTTACTAACAATATTTTACCCACTGTTTCATGGCACTATGGTATGGCACATACGTTACAGATGAGCAATAAAAATAGCTTTTACATTGGTTTATGTGCAAAAATAAAATAATACACCAAATAAGTAAAAGAATTTTATTTCGTTAATAATTATTGCATTGAATAATTAATAATTATACAGATCTCAAGACTTTTTAATTTTGAACAAAATGACATCATTAAGTTATATTAGCCAAAAGGGGTAGTTACGTCTTTTCTACTCAAATTCTTTAGTTTCATATTATATAATAATAAATAGATCAAAACTTTGTTACGTTATACACACATCTACATATTATGTACAATGACATATGTTGCTTTCCACAACATATATAATCACGTGATATGTCAAACTTGCTACTTAAGGTTACTGTTTGTACCTCTAAACTTTATCTTGTCTTATAAATACTTACACCTACATGAATTATACATTTAACATGGCTGATCAGCAGTATGTTTCAACAAATGGTGTCGCAATAATGATTGTATTGTATTGTAAAATCTTGTTCATAACTCAGATTAAAACTGGTAAATGATTTAATAAACAATATATGATTTATGCCTAAAACATTTATTACATACATCACAACTATATGGCTTATCACCAGTATGTATAAACAAATGCTGTGTTAACTTCCTTTTTGTGAAAATCATTTATTACATACATCACAACTATGTGGCTTGTCACCAGTATGTATCAGCAAATGCTCTTTTAGTGTTGATTTTCTTCTAAAACATTTATTACATACATCGCAACTATATGGCTTATCATCAGTATGCGTTAACAAATGCTGTGTTAAACTTTGTTTTTTTAAAAAACACATATTACATATATGACAACTATGTGGCTTTTCACCACTATGTATCAGCAAATGCTCTTTCAGTGTTGATTTTCTGGTAAAACATTTACTACATACATTACAACTATGTGGCTTATCGCCAGTATGTATCAACAGATGCCGTTGCAATGTTGATTTTCTATTAAAACATTTATTACATACATCACAACTATGTGGCTTATCACCAGTATGTACCAGCAAATGCTCTTTCAATGATGATTTTTGTTTAAAACATTTACTACATACATCACAACTGTATAGCTTTTTATTAGACAAAAATATTTCCTGTTCAGGATGGACTGTCATATGGTATTTCAGTGTATTGTAGGTCTCGAATGTCTTACTGCATACCACACATGAATGAACTTTATCCTCATCCTTATTATACAGAACTCGTTCAGAATTAGGTTTGGAAGGTCCAGCAGTTTCAAATATGGTCCCTCCTTGTTCAGTCACCGGTTCCTGTGTGGTATTCATAACTGTGCTGCAGCCTGGACGCTCTTTATGGTGTGGAGTCATCTGTTGTTCGGTGTCGTGCGAGACATGTAAATTCTCACCTTGTGTATTTTCCGTAGCCATATTTTGTCTGACATGCACGGTGGATACTATGGGAATATACTTAGACTTGTTTAGCTGTAATTTTCTGTTAAATGATAACCACACTGATGCAGTTCACTATTACAGTCAGACTGCTAAACTAGAAGTGTTCATTGGGCCTTCATGCATTCCTTGTACGACAGGTCTGAGGTCACTTCATGTTTACTAAAGAGGGTGTTCACTGAAAATTTGCTGGATATCTACATCTCCAGTACGAGTCTCTTGGACATGACATAGCCACACGTGGTCGTAAAAATAACAACCGATTGCCAGAGAAGGAAAATAAAACAGAATAGATAGACTGCCGCAGGTTTAAGCTTACAAATAGTATGAATCGCTCTAGTGGCCGGTATTACCTTTATTATTATCAAGTCGAAGAAATAAAACACTCATAAAATGCACAAGGAATAAACAGTACAATATTTCGAACAAGTCAGCAGTGTGGTAATATTAGAGAGGCTATGACTATGTCTAAAACCGAAATCTTTGCTCTAAGGACAGGTAGGAGACTGTTGTACAGATAAGTGTACGTTAGTGATTTGACCAGGAGCTTGTATCTACCCTACAGATTTTTTTTCCAATAAAAAAGGTTTGTGTATGCGTTGAGGAGTATTGCTTTTAAGTATTGCTACTTAAAAATACATATATATTAAAAGGAAAGTACGAATATTAAGTTATAATTGTTTATAATTTTTTTTACTAATAATAAAAAATAAAATAGTGTTTTATATTCATAGTTATATTTTTTAAACATTTCATCACTATTTTGGTATAGGTTATTGTTTAATAAACCACCAATTTTCTTCGAATGTAGTGAATTGCTCATGATCATCTGGCAACCCCACACCCTGCTGTCAGTGGAGACAAATATTTTTTTTACTTTATATATATATACTATTAAAATGTTTTCCTAATTTTGCTCATTTTTATATTTTGTACTGGATATCAAATATTTGTGCTTTGTATATCGGATCATAGCTGCACGCTAGAGCTTACTCGCGACAACCGTTTGTTGGTATTTTGGTGGATATTAGACCGTAGTACTACAATGGATTTGACTCGTATCAACAACAAAAATACAGTTGTCAGTCGTATCCATTCCTAAACCTGGAGAAACAAATATTGAACGATATGGTTACTTTAACTTATAGTTAATAGGTATCTATTACATAAGTTTATTACTATAGTTTTATATAATTTTTTTAATGACATGGTTATTTTTATCAATAAACAAAGTAGTGTGTTTACTTCTATTTAAGTTTTTTTTATATACATGCATAGGATACAATATTCGAAATACATGTTTTAAATTGAGTTGGTTGTAAAGGATTATGTTCATTTTGATAGATGTAAGAAAAAAAAAGGATAATAACAAACAATGCCAGTAACATTTTATTTTTCTGAAAATCAGTACCTTCAGACAAATTCATAATTAAAGAAATATAGATTTTTATAATATCCAATTATTGATAATTAATCTTTTTCAGATAAAACTAATGTACCTAACATACACATTACATTACAATTATATTATCTTTCGGGTATCGCATGAAAGTTGAAAGACAGGGCTGATTGTGACAGCAACAGTATGTGACTTATCAAGAGTCAACATAAAAGCTCTAGATATTCGCGGTGTTGTGAAGAAGATAAATTTCAAGTCAATGATAATAATTCTAAAAAGGTTTTATTGTCAACCGAAATACAATCTGATGTGCATTCCAGCGAGTGTTCTACTATACATCTAGAATCACTAATTGTTGATACAACGGCTGCGATAGAGCAGGTGTCTGGTAAAGTTCAGGAATACCATATGTTTGTGGATTTATATGTGAAAAATTATACAATGTAATAAGGGTACTGCTTGTAAAGAAATATTTTTAGCGTCGGGATCCACATGCAATGTTAACCTTAATTTATTTAAAAGTTTCTGAAAATATAATGAGATACACAGAAGTCTAAATAATGTAAACACATTTTATGCATTGTGGGGTGATATGCTCTTGGGCAGTGAATAAAATATTAAGTGAATGGAGATGCTTTGAAAAAGAAGTTTTAAAATAATGTAGATAATGATTTTCGATTTTTTTCCTTTACATGTGCTATACGACATTGCTTATTGCCAAATTTCATTATTCTAGGCCAATGGAAAGTATTTTATAGGTTTTGTTTCTCTTTGCGAATAGCAAAATATGCGATATAAGTGGAACATAAACGGCCGTATCTCTTGATTGTGTCAATTTAGAAAATTGATTTTTTCACTGCTTTAAGAGATTGCAGACCTGAGTATATGATACTAATTTCGTCTTGATACCTCCATGAGTTTCTAAGTATAATATACATCAAAGTGATCCTAAAGAGTTCCGTTTTTTCCTTTAGAGGCACATGACCCTAAAAAGCAAAGTTATAAACAAAATTCTAACACTAAGAAATATATAATCTTTGTACACATATTAGTATACGAGCATAATATATATTTTTACAGGTTTTTGTTTTATTTGCTTTGTACTCGTATATCTTTTCCATTCATGCTGGTTCATTTTTAATTCGCTTTCAAATACTTGCTAACACATATTAAATTACAATTCTTGATAGCTATCTATACATCGATAATAGTTTTTATATATTTCTACTAATAATTATGGCAAATAAAAAATAAACAAAGATTAATCACTCAGCGCAATTGAGTGTACAATATTTTTGGTCAATGCGTTTTTAGCCAATACAACCAATCTGGATGGTTTCCCCACGCGAAAACATATCACATGTAAGTTGTCCTTGGGAAAAGCATGTTGTACCCAAATCTAAGCTATAGACAACGTTTAGCCTTGTGACTTGTTGATCGTCATTACGAATGCTAATCTAATTGGGAATTGAATGCGTTTGAATTCAATTAGCACATCTGTAGGAATTATAAGGATTCGTGGTAGCAATACATTTTCGCTTCTGAACTTGCCATTCAAAATGCTGGCTTCGATAACGTTACTAATAAATGTGAAAACTATAGAAAACTAAAAGTCTGCGTATTGACCAAATCAACTTTACTTATATATAACAAACTGTTAATAAACAAACGAATTCAAAAATAACACTACCAACAACCGTTCCGCTGACGACCTAGCCAAAGTGAAGTCGCGGACGTCCCGCTGGCCCGTGAACAGCAAGCTCCTATTCAATATTGTTTACACAGGATAGAATCTGGATCCGTACCGATAAGTAAACCGTGCAATGGTTCAGGTGGTGTTTTAATTTCCGTTAGTTTCACTTTCCTGATGAGCAACACATCCCATCCCATCCCATTTAATCCCATTTAAGTTCATGACAATGCAATGGCATGCCTTGTCCATAATACCAATGACCACTAAATAGCAACTTAAAAATAATAATAAATTCACTATGAGAATAAAATTAACATGAGAGTTGCACTGAAAAGTTAAAATGATATAATAACGTATAACAGTGACTGCTATGATCCAGACAAATAATCCAAAAAAAAATTGACGAAAATTGTAAAGACAGTGAGAGAAAGAAGGCCGGCTTCGTCCTCATCCCTACTCCGTAATGTAACTGATCGATTGGTAGTTGATCAATTATCGACCGGTGAGGGTTGATGATTAATTTAAATTAGGAAAAAGATATAATTAAAGCAAATTGTAATTATAAACAATACATGAAAATTATATTCGATTGCTATCTTGCAACCCTATAGCGGAATATAAAAATTGCGATTAAAAAATGATCGTAAAAGGGTGAAAATTTGAAGTTGTATGTATTTTTCAATGCTAAATCATATTAAAATTAAAATAAAAAAAATTGTCAAAAAAATTAAAAACAATTTTTTAGAGGTGGGTCACCCTTATCATTGAGGGGTATAAAAAAATAGATGTTGGCCGATTCTCAGACCTATCCAATATGCACACAAAATTTAATAAAAATCGATAAAGCCGTTTCGGAGGAGTTTGGTAACAAACACCGCGACACGAAAATTTTATATATTAGAAATTCTATAATTAGGTAAAGAGAGTCCCTGTCATCTCGTCGCTTGGTGGATGGCATAGTTACATTACTAACAATCCCTTTCCCCCTGTTTAATAGGATTTTGATAAGCCACAAACGTTACAAATGCAAGACAAAATTGGTGTTTACATTCTTCAAAAAATAAAAAATATGAGGTCTAAATAAATTTTTATTTATAAATTATTACATTTATTAATAAATAAATATACAGATTAATTAATAAATTGTAAAATTCTGAACGAAACAGCATCATTAAGTAATATTAGCAAAAAGTGGCTCGCTAATGTCTTTTCCACCCTGAGAAAACAAATAATTTCCACTTATTAATAAGGAAAACCATTACTTTCATATTATACAATAATACATTGATCACAAATATGTCACGTTACGAGGGGAGGTTAAAAAGTTCGCGGAATGGAGAGATTAGGGGGGCGGGATTAGTTTACTCGTCCAAGTAGTCACTTATTAAGCACCTCATTAAGAGTATATATACCAAGTTTGAACCAAATCGGATCATTAACTTTTGAGTTATCGACCTGCAAACAAGTTAATCTGGAAGAAGTCAGTGAGTATGAAGAAAATTGAACACCACGCCGTTATTAAGTTCAACCAAGCAAGGAAAATCCGCTCAAACGATTTCTCAAGAGCTGTTAGCAGTTTACGCGGACTCTGCCCGTGGTAAAACCATGGTTTATTAGTGGCATGGTCTTTTCAAACAAGGAAGAAAGTTTATTAAAGATGACCTCCGCTCCGGCGGAGCTCTGTGGAGAAATTAGGGAAGAAGTTATGGCCCGGATTCTTACTGAAGATAAACCTGAATAGAAGAAAGAGTCGATGTAGTCTACCAGAGGGAGACTTTGTAAAGTGGATTGTTTGAAAAGTCGATTGCTTGGGTATCTTTGTCCTATTCGTGTTTCTACCGTGAAGCAGTTGTGTTTGTATGGCTGTGTTTCGGTTTGAAGGGTGGGATATGGCGTGAATTTACAGGGTACAGAGGAATAACATCTGAGTCCTCAGGAATGGCAACGCATGGGAGGTATCATGGGTGAAACAGTATACTCCGTTATGTCCATGGTACTGCTTATGTCTATAGGCGACGGTTACCACTTTCCATTAGGTGGGCCGTAAGCTTGTTTGCCATTCTAAGTTGTATAAAAAAATTGTAGCACAAAAAAGGTACAACTCCTCCGAAGAAATTTAAAGCGACACAACCGCGCAGAAAGATCATGACGACTGATGAAGAAGCTATCAAAGAAAAAAGAAGATAAAAGTTGTCAAAAGATGTGCTCTTTTTTGCACGACAACGCTCCCGTCCACACGTGTCATGTTACTACGACTACTTCCCAAAAATGAAAAAGGCGCTGCGTGGAAAAAAATTATAGACGATGAAGAAATCAAGTCTGCTATTTAGGCTTATTTTGATTATTTTATTATTTGAGAGATCAGAAAAATGTATTAAAGTTAAGGGAGAATACATAGAGAAGGAAAAATAGTTTCATGTTTAATTTCAACTCTCTTTCCCCTCATTCCGCGAACTTTTTGATTTCCCCTCGTATACACACATCTACATATTATATACAATAATATTACTACTTTCTACAATATATATAATCACGTGATATGTAAAACATAATGCTTGTTACTTAAGGTATTGCTGTTTGTACCTCTGAATATTATCTTGTCTTATAAATACTTACACCTACATGAATTATACATTTAATACGGCTCGTGATCAGTGTTTCGACAAATGCCGTTGCAGTGTTGACTTTCTGTTAAAACATTTACTACATACATCACAACTATATGGCTTATCACCAGTATGTATCAACATATGCTGTTGTAATATTGATTTTTGGTTAAAACATTTATTACATACATCACAACTATATGGCTTATCACCAGTATGTATCAAAACATGTCGTGTTAAATGTGTTTTCTGACTAAAACATTTACTACATACATCACAACTATATGGCTTATCACCAATATGTATCAACAAATGCCGTTGTAATGTTGATTTTTGTTTAAAACATTTATTACATACATCACAACTATATGGTTTATCACCAGTATGTATAATCAAATGCCGTTGCAATGTTGACTTTCTATTAAAACATTTATTACATACATCACAACTATATGGCTTATCACCAGTATGTATCAACATATGCTGTTGCAATATTGATTCTCTGTTAAAACATTTACTACATACATTACAATTATATGGCTTATCACCAGTATGTATTAACATATACTGTTGTAATATGGATTTCTGGTTAAAACATTGATTACATACATCACAACTATATGGCTTATCACCAGTATGTATCAAAACATGTCGTGTTAAATGTGTTTTCTGACTAAAACATTTACTACATACATCACAACTATATGGCTTATCACCAGTATGTATCAACAAATGCCGTTGTAATGTTGATTTTTGTTTAAAACATTTATTACATACATTACAATTATATGACTTATCACCAGTATGTATCAACAAATGCCGTTGTAATGTTGATTTTTGTTTAAAACATTTATTACATACATCACAACTATATGGCTTATTACCAGTATGTATAATCAAATGCCGTTGCAGTGTTGACTTTCTATTAAAACATTTATTACATACATCACAACTATATGGCTTCGCAACTGTATGTATCAACAAATGCTGTTGCAATGTTGATTTTCTGTTAAAATATTTACTACATACATCACAACTGTATCGAGTCGTCCGCTGTTTGGTGTTGTCGGAGACATGCAAATGCTTACTTTGTGTATTGTCCATAGCCTTGTTTGATCTGCCATGTACTGTGGACACTGCGAATACGTATGATCTGTTTAGCTGTAAGTTTTTATTATGCCATGCTGAGGCAGTTTAAAATTATAGTTAGACTGCTCATTTATAGTTCGATGTTCTTTGGCCCTTCATGGACTTCTAGTACGACAGTTCTGTGGTCGCGTCGCGTCTATTAAAGAGGATACCATCTGACCGTGTTGTGATATCATAAACACACATTTTGAAATTTTCTAGACATTTTACGTCTCCAGGTCGAGTCTCTTGTACATGCCACTACCACAAGTGGTCGTAAACACAACAACCAATTGCCAGAGAAGGAAAGTAAAACAGAATAGGAAGATTGCTACAGGTTTAAGTCTACAAATAACATGTATCGATGTGGCCAGTATTACCTTTGTTATTATCGAGTCGGAGAAATAAAGCACACACAAAATGCACAAGGAATAATATGCACAATATGTCGGCAAGTCAGCAGTATAGTAAGATTCGAGAGAAAAGAAATCTTTGCTCTAAGAATAGGTAGGAAACTCTTTTACAGATATGTATACGTTAGTGACTTGACCAGGAGCTTGTATCTACCCCACAGAAATTTTTGTCAATGAAGAAGGTTTGTGTGTGCGTTGCGGAATTTTAAGTATTGCTAATATAAGAGAGGTATTTAATTATAATTGCTTGTATTTTTTTTAATAATAATAAAAAATAAATATTCATTCTGTTATATCCATAGTAATATTTTTTAATCATTTTATCACTATTGTGATATAGGGACAATGTAAATGTTTAATAAATTAAAAATCGTCATAGATTTAGTGCATTGCTCGTGATCATGTGGCAACCCCATGCCCTATTGTCGTTGTATATCATTCTTTTTCAATTTATACATATTTATATACACTTTTTATATCTTTTCTTACTTTTAATCAGTTTTATTTGTCGTATTGGATATTAGATGTTTGTATTTTGTATATCGGATCATAGTTGTACGCTAGAGCTTACTCGGGACAACCGTTTGTTGGTATTTTGCTAGATATTAGATTGTAGTACTACAATGGATATTCTTCGCATCAACAACAAAATATACTTCACAGTTATCAGCCATATCCATTCCTAAACTTGGAAAAACAAATATTGGACGGTATGGTCATTTTAACGTATAATTAATAGGTATTTATTACATAAATTTCAATTTTTGTAGTTTTATATATTTTTTTAATATGATTATATTTATCGATAGACAAAGTACTGTGTTTACTTCTATTTAAGGTTTTTTACATACACGCTATTACGGTAGATTGTAATTGCATGAGATTTTTAAGGAACTATTTATGACATAGAAGATCTATTCATCCCGTATATATTTAGCTGTCAATATAGTGTAGTCACTGGGTAGTCAAATAATAAATATCATCAATAAAATGTAGGTACATAAAGATGAGATGGGGACAGCAAACGGCGTGTGTGGAGAGGTGGAATAAGGAAAGTTATCAAGTGGTTTAAACTGATCTCATTAAGTTTCGTTATTATAATACTAGTGAACAGAAACAGTATTTAAATGTTATCGGCATTAGTAAATCACTGTTAAATGAGTTCTCCAATCTTAAGTGATTTTAGTTGATTACTTACCGAAGGAGTAAGTTCAGACTTACAAATTGATATACCTAATTAACAGTTACATGGAATTTTTTTTTATACAACTTAGAATGGCAACCTGATGGAAAGTGGTAACCGTCGCCTATAGACATGAACAGTACCATGGACATAACAGACTACTGAGAATACATAATATCACAGTTAATAACGATGTGTCTTCATTGTTGTAGCCTATGACATGCCCTTGATTGAATCCTAAAGTTATACTTTAATTATCCCTGATGTATAGTAATATATAATATGGTATCCCAATATAATAATATGGTATCTAAATTAAATGCACTAAGTGAACTTGTGCTTTATTTCTATTTATTACTAAGAGGCTTACAAACTTTATATTGCTGAAGAATATATCACATACGTGTAAAGTTAGTATTACGTAGTACCCCACATATCATATTATATATATATATATATAATAAATATTATAAATAATAGTACCTTTTTGAGACGCGCATTGCCGAACTTGAAAAAACCTCTTTAATCCCCTTTTTAAAAACACCACGCTGTAGTTTTTTGAGGAAACCTCGGCTAGCAGCTCATTCCATAACCTGTGTTCTTGAGGGAAAACATTTCTGAAACCGTGTTGTACGCCACCATTTTGGCTGTAGGATATGAGGGTGAACTCTCTGTCGATGGCGAGCCCTACGATGGTAGAAAGGAGCCGTGGGCATCATACTAAATAATTTCTCTAAGCACAATCAGTTATACAAGCGGTAGAATACGCAGAGTGAGGCAAAATCTTTCCTAGAACTTAAGGGTTAGATACCGCTTGTAAGCCTGGGATCATCGACAATTCTCGTAGCTTGCTGTTGCACCGAGTCGAAGGGTTCAAGCCGGTATTTATCTGTTCCCACCTATAAGTAACAGCAATACTCTATATGGGGCCGGATTTACAATTTGTAGAGCATTAATCGCTGATCCGGAGTGAAGTAATGCTTCACTCTATTAAGCACACAGAGTATTTTGGATGCCAGCTTTACCATATCTTCGAGGTGGCCATGAAACGATACGTCACTAGAGATGTCGACACCAAGGATCAATGCTTTTAAAGATGTTAAGAGACATGCCTTGGAACTGTGGAGCCACAGCAAATGGTTTTTTTAGCGGTGTGCGTGTTCACCGCTAAAAAACCATTTGCTGTGGCTTGTGTTTAAGTGAGGTTAAACTGAACTAAGTTTTATCGTCCCCAATCAGAGACTCCAGTTAACGTTCTTGTTTTGAATCAAAGCTTTTTGTATTTATTTGAATTCAGACACTGTTCACGATCGTCCTCCATGGTGGAACGAGGGACATTTGTACGACCCGTATAATGGGCATCCCCAGTGCTGTCATCCGCATAACAACGAATGTCAACTAAGATTTGTATTGACTTGGTAATAAATGACAACGACTTGTTTAATAATTATTGGTTTAATTATAGAGACCGACATTAGTACAATGGTGATGACATATATATTGAGAGAAGACGCGACAATAGTGATGCGCCATTCCATTAGTGATGTGACCTTAACAACTTAAATCTATATTCATAACAAGGTTAACAAATCATTAATATACAGCAGAAACGGCGTTGGGGAAAGCACAGAGCCCTGCGAGACGCCAGTGTTAATATCCATGTGATATGACATGTTCAATGGAGGGACCTAGACGGCAGAAAATGTTTGATAGGATCTTTTGAATTGGTAACGCTAACGTAGTATCACTGAGGGATGATAGGTGAGGATGAAAGCAGGTTAGTTAGCACCTCGTAAGGAAATAAAAAAATAACCAATATAGTTTCAAGGGGAGACAGCGTGGAGATCGATCTGATAGAGTATATTGTTAGCAATGACAATGCTAGACCCTACTACTAACACTCCCTTTCCCCCTGTTTAATAAGATTATGATAAGCCACAAACGTTACAAATGCAAGACAAAAGTGGCGTCATTATTTAAAAAAAATAAAATAAAAAATATGAGGTCTAAATGAATTTTTATTTATAAATTATTACATTTATTAATAAATAAATATACAGATAGTTAGATTGTAAAATTCTGAACGAAACAGCATTAAGTCATATTAGCAAAAAGTGGCACAAATGTCTTTTCTACCCTGAGGAAACAAAATAATTTTCACATATCAATAAGAAAAACTAATATTATACAATAGTAAATTGATCAAAACTGTCATGTTACGAGGGAAAGTCAAAAAGTTTGCGGAATGGAGTGGATAGTGGAGGTTAGTTTACTCGTCCAAATAGTCACTTGTCAAGCACCTCATTAAGAGTACATATACTAAGTTTGAATCAAATCGAATCATTATCTTTTGAGTCATCGACCTGCAAACAAGTTAATCTGGAAGAAGTCAGTGAGTAGAAAATTGAACACCACGCCATTATTAAGTTATGGCCCGGATTGTTACTGGAGATGAGACCTAGGTTCATCACTATAAACCTGAGTAGTAACAAGAGTCGATGCAGTGGCATAAGAAAGGCACAACATTTCCGAAGAAATTTAAAGCGTCACAATCGCCCAGAAAGATCATGACGACTGATGAAGAAGCTGTCAAGGAAAAAAGAAGAGGAAAGCTGTCAAAAGATGTGCTCCTTCTGCACGACAACGCTCTCGTCCAAACGTGTCATGTTGCTACTACTGGCATCTATCAATACGGGTTTACAACTTAGACCACCCACCTTACAGACCAGACTTGGTCCCCAGCGACTATTATTTATTCCCAAAAGTGAAAAATGAGCTGAGTGGACAAAAATTGGCGACAATGAAGAAGTCAAGTCTGCAATTTCGGCTTATTTTGACAGCAAAGATAAATCTTTTTTTTTTCGATGAGATAGACAAATTATTTGAGAGATCAGAAAAATGTATTAAAGTTGAGCGAGAATATACAGAGAATGAAAAATACTTTCATGTTTAATTTAAACTCCCTTTCTCCTCATTCCGCGAACTTTTTGACTTCTCCACGTATACACACATCTACATATTATGTATAATGACATTATTACTTTCCACAATATATATAATCGCGTGATATGTCAAACATAATGCTTGTTATTTAAGATATTGCTATTTGTACCCCTGAACTTTATCTTGTCTTATAAATACTTATACCTACTTGAATTATACATTTAATACAGCACGTCTTCAATATGTTTGAACACATGCCGTTGCAGTGTTGATATTCTTTTAAAACATTTATTACAAACATCACAACTATATAGCTTATCATCAGTATGTATCGACAAATGCTGTTTTAAATGCCATTTATGCCTAAAACATTTATTACATATATCACAACTATATGGCTTGTCACCAGTATGTATCGACAAATGCTGTTTTAAATGCCATTTATGCCTAAAACATTTATTACATATATCACAACTATATGGCTTGTCACCAGTATGTATCGACAAATGCTGTTTTAAATGATTTTTATGCCTAAAACATTTATTGCATACATCACAACTATATGGTTTCTCACCACTATGCAACAACAAATGTCGCTGCAATATTGACTTTTGGTTAAAACTTTTATTACATACATCACAACTATATGGCTTGTCACCAGTATGTATCGACAAATGCTGTTTTAAATACCATTTATGCCTAAAACATTTATTACATATATCACAACTATATGGCTTCTCGCCTGTATGTATCAACAAATGCTGTTGCAATGTTGATTTTCTGTTAAAATATTTATTACATACATCACAACTATATGGCTTATCACCAGTATGTATCAACATATGCTGTTGTAATATTGATTTTTGATTAAAACATTTACTACATACATCACAACTATATAGCTTATCACCAGTATGTATCAACAAATGTCGCTGCAATATTGACTTTTGGTTAAAACTTTTATTACATACATCACAACTATATGGCTTGTCACCAGTATGTATCGACAAATGCTGTTTTAAATACCATTTATGCCTAAAACATTTATTACATATATCACAACTATATAGCTTCTCGCCTGTATGTATCAACAAATGCTGTTGCAATGTTGATTTTCTGTTAAAATATTTATTACATACATCACAACTATATGGCTTATCACCAGTATGTATCAACATATGCTGTTGTAATATTGATTTTTGATTAAAACATTTACTACATACATCACAACTATATAGCTTATCACCAGTATGTATCAACAAATGTCGCTGCAATATTGACTTTTGGTTAAAACTTTTATTACATACATCACAACTATATGGCTTGTCATCAGTATGTATCGACAAATGCTGTTTTAAATACCATTTATGCCTAAAACATTTATTACATATATCACAACTATATGGCTTCTCGCCTGTATGTATCAACAAATGCTGTTGCAATGTTGATTTTCTGTTAAAATATTTATTACATACATCACAACTATATGGCTTATCACCAGTATGTATCAACATATGCTGTTGTAATATTGATTTTCGATTAAAACATTTACTACATACATCACAACTATATAGCTTATCACCAGTATGTATCAACAAATGCCGTTGTAATGTTGATTTTTGTTTAAAACATTTATTACATACATCACAATTATATGACTTATCACCAGTATGTATCAACAAATGCCTTTGCAACATTGATTTTCTTTTAAAACATTTGTTACATACATCACAACTATATGGTTTATCAGTAGTATGTATCAAAACATGTCGTGTTAAATTTCTTTTCTCTCTAAAACATTTATTGCATAAATCTACCCTACAGAAATTTTTATCAATGAAGAAGGTTTGTATGTGCGTTGCGGAATTTTAAGTATTGCTAATATAAGGGAGGTATTTAATTATAATTGCTTGTAATTTTTTTAATAGTAATAAAAAATAAATATTCATTCTGTTATATCCATAGTAATATTTTTTAAACATTTTATCACTATTGTGATATAGAGACAATGTAAATGTTTAATTAATTAAAAATCGTCATAGATTTAGTGCATTGCTCGTGATCATGTGGCAACCCCATGCCCTATTGTCGTTGTATATCATTCTTTTTCAATTTATACATATTTATATACACTTTTTATATCTTTTCCTACTTTTAATCAGTTTTATTTGTCGTATTGGATATTAGATGTTTGTATTTTGTATATCGGATCATAGCTGCACGCTAGAGCTTACTCGGGGCAACCGTTTGTTGGTATATTGCTAGATATTAGATTGTAGTACTACAATGGACATTCTTCGCATCAACAACAAAATATACTTCACAGTTATCAGCCATATCCATTCCTAAACTTGGAAAACCAAATATTGGGCGGTATGGTCATTTTAATGTATAATTAATAGGTATTTATTACATAAATTTCAAATTTTATATAGTTTTATATATTTTTTTTAATATGGTTATATTTATCGATAGACAAAATACTGTGTTTACTTCTATTTAAGGTTTTTTACATACACGCTATTACCGTAGATTGTAATTGCAAGAGATTTTTAAGGAACTATTTATGATACGGAAGATCTATTGACCCCGTATATATTTAGCTGTCAATATAGTGTAGTCACAGGGTAGTCGAATAATAAATATCATCAATAAAATGTAGGTACATAAAGATGAGACGGGGACAGCAAACGACGTGTGTGGAGAGGTGGAATAAGGAAAGTTATCAAGTGGTTTAAACTGATCTCATTGAGTTTCGTTATTATAATACTAGTGAACAGAAACAGTATTTAAATGTTATCGGCATTAGCAAATCACTGTTAAACGAGTTCTCCAATCTTAAGTGATTTTAGTTAATTACATACCGAAGGAGTAACTTCAGACTTACAAATTGATATACCTAATTAACAGTTACATAGAATAGATAATATCACAGTTAATAACGATGTGTCTTCATTGTTGTAGCCTAAGGACATGCCCTTGATTGAATCCTGAAGTTATACTTTAATTATCCCTGAGGATAGCCGTGGTTTGGTTTTGGCAGAGTTCCGCAGCAACATAATATAAATAAAATAAAATAAAATAAAACATAAAAACTCTCCTGGCGCCCAAAATTTGTTTTAGTCCAACATAGATTTAAGTTGTGGTTTAATTTAAGTTATTATATATATATATATATATATATATATATATATATATATATATATATATATATAACCAATAAATTTTCCTTTTATTTGCAAGATAACCCGTAACAGGATCTGACAGGATAAGATACAATATTCGAAATACATGTTATAAATTGGGTTGTTTGTAAAGGATTATGTTCATGTTGACAGGTGTAAAAAAAAATGGATAATAACAAACAATGCCAGTAACATTTTATTTTTCTGGGAAATCAGTACCTTCAGACAAATTCATAATGAAAAATATAGATTTTTATAATATCCAATTATTGATAATTAATCTTTTTCAGAGAAAACTAATGTACCTAACATACATATTATATTACAATCATATTATCTTTCAGGTATTGCATTAAAGTTGAAAGACAAGGCTGATTGTGGTAGCAACATTATGTGACTTATCAAGAGTCAACATAAAATCAAGACAAATTTCAAGTCAATGATAATGATAATTTTTTAAAAGTTTTTATTGTCAACTGAAATACAATCAGATGTGCATTCCAGCGAGTGTTCTACTATACATCTAGAACCACTAATTGCTGACGCAACAGCTGCGATAGAGCAGGTGTCTGGTGAAGTTCAGGCTTACCATATGTCTGTGAATTTATATGTAAAACATTATACAATGTAATGAATGTACTACTTGTAAAGAAATATTTTTAACATTGGGACCCACATGCAATGTTAACCTTAATTTATGTAAAAATTTCTGAAAATATAATGAGATACACAGAAGCCTAAATAATGTAAACACATTTCATGCATTGTGGGGTGATATGCTCTTGGGCAGTGAATAAAATATTAAGTGAATGGAGATGCTTTGAAAAAGAAGTTTAAAAATAATGTAAATAACGATTTTCTAAACATGTGCTATACGACATTACTTATTGCCAAATTGCATGATTCTAGATCCACAGGAAGAATCCTATTGGGTTTGTTTCTCGTTGCGAATAGCAAAATATGCGATATAAGTGGAACATAAAGGGCGGTATCTCTTGATTGTGTCGATTTAGAAGATTGATTTTTTCACCGCTTTAAGAGATTGCAGACCTGAGTATATGATACTAATTTCAATTTAATACCTCTATGTGTTCCTAAGAAAAACAGACATCAAAGTGATCCTATAAGAGTTTCGTTTTTTCATTTGTATTTGCTTTGTATCTTTTCCATTCATGCTGGTTCATATTTAATCCACTTTCAAACACTTGCTAACACTCTATCGATGCATAATCATCGAATTTCCGTAAATATTTCATACGCATTCAAGTTCGATGACAATGCAAAATGACTACAATAATAAGATCGTAGCTGCTCTGATGAGGTGGTTATAAGTTTTTTCAGAATTTTTTCAGCTATGGGAACAGATAAAAGTTGGTCGGTGCTAAATCCGGTTAATATAGGGGAAGAGGTAACATTTCGAAGCCACATTGGATTTTTGCCATGAATTGCACAGAGGTGTGAACGCGCGCATTGTCCTGATGAAACAAGACTTTTCTTCTCAATAAACCTGGACGTTTTTCTTTAATTTCTTCTCTCAAACGACGCAACAGGTTGCAATAGTAATCAGAGTTTATTGTTTCACCCTTTTTTAAATAATCCACGAGAATTATACCCTTTGCATCTCAAAAAACGGATGCTATGACTTTGCTCGTCGATAAAACCACCTTTGCCTTTTTTGAGGTGGGCGATCCTGCTCTTTTCCATTGTTTCGACTGTTCTTTTGTCTCGGGTGTATTGTGGTGAACCCAGGTTTCATCCATAGTTATAAATCTTTCAACAAATTCTATTGGGTCAGCTTCATGTAACTTTAAACAGTCGCGAAAAGTTGTGAGTCGGTTGCGTTTTTATTCCACTGAAAGCAGTCGCGGTACCCACCGCGCAGACACCTTAGAGAATCCAAGTTCAGTAGTAATTATATGATGTGTTTAGATGAGATGCTTACAGTCTTAGCTATCTCCTCGACAGTCAATCTTCGATCAGATAAAATTAAATCACAGATATTTTCTTTGTTTTGATCAGTGGAAGCAGTTGAAGGCCGGCCACTACGGGGCTCATCTTGAATGGTCTCACGACCACGGTTAAACTCTGCCACCCAGTTTTTAACAGTCGCATACGAAGGAGCGGACTCACCCAAAGTAGCAAACATGTGTTTATGTATAGTTTTTGGAGTTACCTTTTAAAGTTTTGGAGTTACCTTTCAAATTCAGGTATTTTATCACTGCACGATGTTCAATTTTATCCATTTTCAAAAATAGCTCTGACTTGACTTACGGTATCACGTGTAAACGAACAATGAGTTACCGTGAATAAACTAAACTGTGCATACTTGTTGCTAAATAATGTAACTACAAAATGAGGGTAGTTATAAAAAAACCAATGACTCACCGTGTTAGACTAAGAACTTTTCAAATGACCCTCGTATGTGTCGCTTAAAAATAAAACTCAACAAAACACTGTTTAATGCCTACTAATTGCCATTGAAATAAAGTAATATCAGAAGTACAAATAAAAACAAAACAAATACTTGCGTGTAGCCTCCAGGGGGGAAAGGGTTGTTAGCAATAGAAATTGACAACTCCATTGCTAGCAATATGCTCTATTAGGTCAGCCTCCACGTGGTCCCCCCTGGAAACCATCGTAAACAATTCTTGTTGAATTCTTCACGATGGGCTAACTGATCTGCTTCTTCCTCACCTGTCATCCTTACTGTTGCCCCGCTGGTGTATGCCGATAGCGCAGGTGGAGTTACCATTCCATTATCACTAATTAAAAAAAAACATAACCTCAATACGATTAACGACGGATGGCGCGAAGCGAATTCAACTTGCCGGTGTCAGAAAAGAAAAGCTTTCAATGAATTAAGATATTTTACTTAGATAAATTATTTACATATACATGAATTATCCATTCAATACGGCTTGGCACCAGTATGTATCAACATATGCTGTTGTAATATTGATTTTTTGTTAAAATATTTACTACATACATCACACCTATGTTATTTGTATGGTTTATCACCAGTATGTATCAAAAAATGTTGTGCTAACTTTGCTTTCTGTTTAAAACATTTATTACATACAGTACAACTATATGGCTTCTCATCAGAATGTATAATCAAGTGCCGTTGAAATGTTGACTTTCTGTTAAAACATTTATTACATACATCACAACTATATGGCTTATCACCAGTATGTATCAACATATGCTGTTGCAATCTTGATTTTCTAATAAAACATTTATTACATACATCACAACTATATGGCTTTACACCAGTATGCATCGACAAATGATCTTGCAATGTTGATTTCCTATTAAAACATTTATTACATACGTCACAACTATATGGCTTGTCACTTATTACCAGAATGTATAATCAAATGCTGTTGCAATGTTATCTTTCTATTAAAACATTTATTACATATATCACAACTATATGGCTTCTCATCAGTATGTATCAACAAATGCTGTTTCAATATTGATTTTGTATTATAACATTTATTACATACATCACAACTATATTGCTTTACACCAGTATGCATCGACAAATGATCTTGCAATGTTGATTTCCTATTAAAATATTTATTACATACATCACAACTATATGCCTTTACACCAGTATGCATCGACAAATGCCGTTGCAATGTTGATATATCACTAAAACATCTACTACATACATCACAACTATATAGCTTCTTAGCACTATGTGTTGACAAATGCCGGTGCCAATTTGATTTTATGTTAAAACATTTACTACATACATCACAACTATATCGCTTATCACCAGTATGTATAATCAAATGCCGTTGCAATGATGATTTTCTATTAAAACATTTATTACATACATCACAACTATATGGCTTCTCACCAGTGTGTATCGACAAATGCCTTTGCAATATTGAGTTTTGGTTAAAACATTTACTACATACACCACAACTGTATGGCTTTTTATTAGACGAATATATTTTCTGTTCAGTGTAAACTGACATATGGCATTCTAGTGTACTGTAGAACTTGAATGTCTTACTGCATACCTCACATGAATGAACTTTATCACATGATATTCTTCTTTTCTGGTGCTCAGATTCAAAGACATTATGCTCCACATCATTATACAGAACTCGTTCAGAATCAGGTTTTGAATGTTTAGTAGTTTCAACGATGGTCACTCCTTGTACAACTGTGGGTTCTATAGTCGACTGTTTCTCCCTTACATAATCCTCATACAGACTTAAGAGCTCATTTGTTTCATCAGAGTATATTATTTGATTAGCTTCCAATTCTTCAGTCAAAGTGTTTACAACTCCCGCTCCTACTATACCATACTGAAAATCATATTGTTCAATCAACGGTTCCTGTGTGGTATTCATAACTGTGCAGCAGTCTGGACGCTCTTTATAGTGTGAAGTCACCTGCTGTTTGGTGTTGTCGGAGATATGCAAATTCTCGCCTTGTGTATTCTTATTATTGTTATTTCGTAGCCATGTTTGATCTGCTATGCACTGCGGACACTGCGAATACATATGATCTGTTTAGTTGTAAGATTTTGTTAATCGATAACTATGCTGGGGCAGTTTAAAATTACAGTTAGACTGCTCATGTACAGTTAGATTTTCATTGGATCTTCATGCACTCCTAGTACGACAGTTCTGAGGTCGCGTCGCGTCCACTAAAGAGCGTACCCACTGCCTGTGTAGTGACATCATTAATACGCAGTGCTCATAAGATCTTGACGTAGTCCTAGTGGGATAGTTCTGAGGTCGCCTCGTGTTTACTAAAGAGGGTACACACTGAAAGTTCGTTGGACATTTACGTCTCCAATACGAGTCTCTTGGAAATGACACTGTCACAAGTGGTCATAAAAATTACAACCGATTGCCTGAGAAGGAAAATAATAAAAAATAACAGAATACTTAGACTGCCGCAGGTTTAAGTTTACAAATAACATGTATCGGTCTAGTGGCCAATATTACCTTTGTTATTATCGAGTCGGAGAAATAAAGCAAACACAAAATGCACAAGGAATAAACAGTACAATATGTCGAACAAGTCAGCAGTGGTAAGATTAGAAAGGCTATGACTATGTCTAAAGCCGAATTCTTTATACTAAGGACAGGTAGAAAATTCTTGTACAGATATGTATACGTTAGTGATTTGACCAGGGACTTGTATCTACCCTACAGAAATTTTTGCCAACGAAAAAGGTTCATGTTTGCGTTGCGGATTTTTAAGTATTGCTACTTAAAAATACATATAAATTAGAAGGGAGGTACGAATATTGAATAAAATTTTGTTTGTAAGTTTTTTTTTAATAATAATAAAGAATTAAATATACTCTTATAATCAAACATTTTATCTCTATTTTGATGTAGGTAGAATGTTTACTATTAATAAATTAATAATATTCTTAGAATTTAGTGCATTTCTCGTGATCTTCTGGCAACCCCACACCTTGCTGTCACTAAATAAATATTTTTACTCTCCATATACTTTTAAATTGTATTCCTTATTTTAATGAGTTTTTTTTTTTTTATAAATTATATTAAGTTTTTGGATCATAGTTGTACACTAGAGCTTACTTGCGACAACCTTTTGTTGGTATTTTGGTGGAGATCGTAGTACTACAATGAAAATTACTCGCATTAACAACAAAATGTACTATACAGTTATCAACCATAGGTATCCATTCCTAAACCTGGAAAAACAAATATTGAACGGTATGGTTACTTTAACTTATAATTAATAGGTATCTATTACATAATTTTCAATTTTTATAGTATCATATAATTTTTTTTATAACATGGTTATTTTTATCAATAGATAAATTGTGTTTATTTCTATTTAAGGTTTTTTTGCATAGATACATAGGATACAATAATCGAAATACATATTTTAAATTGAATTAGTTGTAAAGGATTATGTTCATGTTGTCAGGTTAAAAAAAAATGAAATCGGCCAATGACATTTTATTTTTCTTGGAAATCAGTAACTTCAGACAGATTGGCTGTGATAATTAAAGAAGTGTGGATTTTTTATAATATCCAATTATTGATAATTAATATTTTTCAAAGAACACTAATGTACCTAACATACATATTACATTGCAATTATGTTATCTTTCAGGTATTCCATGAAAGTTGAAAGACAGGGCTGATTGTGACCGCAACAGTATGTGACTTATCAAGAGTCAACATAAAAGCTCTGGATATCCTCGGTGTCGTAAAGAAGTGACAAATTTCAAGTCAATGATAATAATTTTAAAACGTTTTTATTGTCAACCGACATACAATCAAATGTGCATTCCAGCGAGTGTTTACTTTAGAACTAGAACAACTAATTACTGATACAACGGCTGCGATAGAGCAGGCATCTGGTGAAGTTCAGGCATGCCATATGACTGTGGATTTATATGTAAAACCATTATACAATGTAATGAATGTACTACTTGTAAAAACATATTTTAGGCATCGGGATGTACAGGCAATGTTAACCTTATTTGTATTGAAAGTTTCTGAAAATATAATGAGATACACAGAAGCCTAAATATAGTTTACATAAAATACACATTTCATGGATTGTACGGAGGTATGCTCTTGGGCAGTGAATGAAATATTAAGTAAATGGAGATGGTTTGAGAAAAGAGTTTAAAAATAATGTAAATAACGATTTTCGGATTTTTACTGTGTCACTTTGCTTCTTTCCAAATTTTATGATTTTAGGTCAATGGAAATCCAATACATTTTGTTTCTCTTTGTGAAAAGCAAAATATGTGATATAAATGGAACAAAAAGATTGATGTTTTCACTGCTTTAAGAGAGTGCAGACTTGAGTATTTGATACTAATTTCAAATCGGCTCACCATCGACAGGTAGTTCATTCTCATGTCCTGCAGCCTCAATGGTCGCGTACTGCGCGGTTTCAGAGATGTTTCCTCCCACGAACACTCAGGTCGTGGAATGAGCTCCCTGCCGGACCGATGTTTTCCCAAGAGACTACAGCATGGGGCTCTTTAAAAGGGGGGTAGTGAGGTTTCTTCAGGGTCGGCAACGCACGCGTAATACCTCTGGTATTGCTGGTGTTCATAAGCTACAGTAACCACTTACCATCAGGTGGACCGTATGCTTGTTTGCCACCTCAGTGGTATAAAAAAACTTTCAACCTTTATGCATTCTTGAAAAAAACAGACTTCATAGTGATCCTATAAATGTTCCGCTTTTTCCTTTGAATGTACATAACCCTAAAGAGCAGACTTGCAAAAAAATTTTTTTACATCCTTTCGGTTTCACTCGATTCATTTTTTATCCGTTTTTTTTTTTTTCAAAAACTTACTAAAACACTATCGATGCATAATCATCGAATTTCCATAAATATTTCATACGCATTCAAGTTCGATGATAATGCAAAATGACTACGACTACAATAATAAGATCGTAGCTGCTCTGATGAGGTGGTTATAATAACAAAAGTCGATTGCTTGAGTACCTCTGTCCCATTCGTGTATCAACCGTGAAGCAGTTGTTTGCATGGCTTTGTTTTGGTTTGAAGGGTGTCTTATTCCACCATTCCCATCCTACAAAATTCAAATACAACCTGCTTGCATACTTTCTAGGTAAATTGTGTCAAATATATAATGTAGTAATGTAAAATTTGTCATTGACAAATATTTGACATATCAAACAATTTCTATACATTAGCCCGCTATATATTAAAACAAATAGCGACTGATGTATCCTTCGTCCTCTTTTTAGTAATTATATTTGCATAAAAAAAAGGAGGTATTCATATGATTTGGGGGGAAGGGATTGTTAGTAATGGAGACTGAGAATCCCATTGCTAGCTATATACCCAACCAGGTCGACCTCCTCGCGGTTCCCCCTGGGAACTATCATGGTTAATTCCTGATGAATTCATCATGATGAGCTAACTGGCCTGTTTTCATTCTCATCTATCACCCTTCACCGGTGCTCCGCCAGCGTATCCCGTTAGCGCAGGCGGTTACCATACCATTTTCACCTAAAAAAAAAACCATATGATTTAGTTTTTATTTTATCATTCCTTCTATGTAATTCCTTGTTCTTAGATAGAAAACGTGTATGTAAAATTTTTGGTCATTTACATTATAGATTATATATATGACACAATTTACGTAGAAAGTATGCAAGCAGGTTGTATTTGAATTTGGTAGGTTTATACGGCTGTATATCATTTTCTGCACACTAAACGGCTGTGATTAATAAAAATAGCAACTGATATCTAATCTCTTTCTAATGTATCTTTCGTCCTTTTTTTACTAATTATATTTGCATAAGAAGAAAGGAGGCAACCATATGATTTACAGTTTTTATTTTATCATTCCTTCTATGTGATTCCTTTTTCTAAGTATTGAATATGACAAGTTTAGAATAACAGATTATACGGTAGTCGTTATACGGCCGTGTTTATTTTTGTAAACTGTACTCATTTACTGAGTTTTGTACTCTTTTTTTTCGCAAACCGTACTCTTTTCAAATCCTGTACTCTAAAAGTGCTTATTTGTATAATTTTATACTCATTTGTATTTCTAAAACATTTTTTTAGATTATTTTATTTCAATTTTAATCATCAAATATTAAAAATTTAATTAATAAAATTGGCATTTTAGAGTAGAACATATCCCATATGAAAGTATAAAAGATTTAATAGAAATTTCCTTATATCGTCCAGGCACTAATGCTGCTGTTGAAAGAGCATTTTCACTAGGAAATGATCATTAGAGCAGTGAGAAGTCGCAACTTTCTGTAAAAACATTGTCTGCCACCTTAACAGTCAAATTTAATATGTAAAATGAAAGTTGTTCGGATATGGCTACATTATTAGACGAACATATTAATTTAGCCAAAAAAGACCACTCCGAAGAAAAATATGTTTTTAAAAGAAAATAAAGTTATAAAACTTATCGTTTTTTCTTCTTTTTTTCACCTATGAAATTATTGCAAAGTGAACTCTTTTTGAACAAGAAATAGTTGGTCGCCTTATCTATACACTAGCATGCTAAATGAGCTAGTTGCCAATTTTTCAGAAACATGTTTAAAACATGTCTCGTAGTCAAATGTACTATAAATATAAATATTTCAGTAAAATTGAAATGTTTTCATGTTTTATATTTTCATTGAATACATTTAAATTTCGCGCCAAAACAATACGAATTGTCATAACTTCTTGCATGACGTCACGTCCTGACAAACAACAATATGCTTTGTTCACAAAACTATCCGTCTGAGAATTTTACGAAAATGATTACTTCAAAGTTTTATAAGTGCTGTGCTGTGCCATTATGTAAAAATACAACAATCAAAACACCTAATAAACTATTTATTTCCGTACCACAAAACCAAAATGTACGGAAAAAGTGGCTGCAACTAGCAAGACGGGATCGCACTACTTACACAAGTCATAAATTGTATTTTTGTGAAGACCACTTTGATGTAAGTTCTTTGATTTAGGTAAAAGTAGTTTATTGTTGAGTTAGTAATACAAATACGTACTTATCGTGATACAATTTCAATGACTGGATAATATTGTAACAGATCCTTAGATTATTTCTAAAGTGAAAAAAGTGTTGTCCTCTCTCCTACTTGCTGTGCCCAACAGGGTCCATAATTGAAATGTTATCTACTAATTATGTTATGGAATGCAATAAGAAATAAATAAAATAAAATAAAATTCAACTTACGAATTCATTTTGTTTAATAGTTATGTGTACTAATAGGGTATTCATGTTTTCTACAGTTACCGAACGATATGGAGAACTATATGGAGTATCATGTCATGGGACGTGTAACGCAAATACGCACAAAACCAGGATGCCTTCCTAGTAAATTCGTTTGTCAACCAGACAGGTTAAAACGAACGAGTATGCCAAGAGAACGGCCATACATAGTAAAAAAACAAAGAAAGATGACAATTGAAGAATGCCTTAATACATTTAGCTGTAACTCACAAGAACGTACTAAACCAGTTGCAGTTAAACATATTATCTCCGATATCAGTGCAGGTGCCTAACATTATGTATTTTTTAAATTATATTTTGCTATTATTACTAATATTTCACCTATAACCATAATTATGTTTTATTGTTTTTAATCTTTTTCTTCATCTATTACTAACGTCACTGCATATAATTAAGTGTGAACTTTATGCTCCGGGCGGGCATATCTTGCATTTGACGCTGCAAAACTTTCCATTACATTTCAGCTGTACGTAACTTATAACGTCGTCACCATAAGACTTCCGTGATGATCTGGAACCATCATTTGATTTTATATTTCATTATGTTATGATTAGGATGATATAAATAACTTAAAAAAACTTACGCTTAGTAGATATTTAATTACCATAAACAATAACCTTTATTAATCTTTGGGTTTAACTAAGTTATTTTAATAAAAATACTTTTTTTTATACAACTTAGAATGGCATACAAGCTGATGGCCCACCTGATGGAAAGTGGTAACCGTCGCCTATAGACATGAGCAGTACCATGGACATAACGGAGTATATTGTTTCACCCATGATACCTCCCATGCATTGCCATTCCTGAGTCCTCAGGTGCTGTCTTCAGGACTCAACTAACCCATGGGACCCATGGGGACCCTTCAAACCGAAAAACAGCTATGCAAACACAACTGCTTCACGGTTGAAACACAAATGAGACAGAGGTACCCAAGCAATCGACTTTTGTACAAAGTCTCCCTCTGGTAGAAGTTACACAGAAGTTTTAACATTTTGAAATTCTGCAGAGCAGAAATCAGTATTTGATGCAAAAAAACATTCTGAGCATCACAGCATCAGCTTTGGGCTAATTATTGTTACTTGCTTTTGAAAATCCCTTTTCCATCTTCTATAATAATGCTTAAACATTTTTATTAGTGCAAGTTAAACATAGTACGACGTTTGCTCAGAGATACTTCGATTTTCTTGGTCCTTACCTTTAAAACGATTGGCTCGAGAATATCAATCTTCGCCCTCAATAAATATATGTTTAAAAAAATTGTTACAGAGTGGCTTCAGCAGCTAAATTATGACGAAATTGAAAAATTTATGTATCCTACTTCCTAAAATCTTTATTCTCTAATTGTTATTTTTATTTTATTCTTTTCCTGTCTTAGTGATTGATTATTGATTACCTTGCCTTTGTTTGCTAATTTATATCCAGTTTGACTGATTGTTATTTAAGCTGTTAAATATTATATAACTATGTGTGTACATGTATTATCATGTGTTCCTATTGTATCTGCTACGCCTTACAACTTTTATGTTCTCCAACTGTATATATTACCATAAAATGTTTCATGATAGGGAGGGGTCCTGGTGCCTTGTGACACGGGTTCTTCGGATACCCAGTTCAGGCACCAGTTCTCTGCAACTTTAATGTATGTATGGTATTATTATAATTTGTTCATTGTACTCAAAAAAGTTGTCAGAAATAAATAAACATTATTATTATTTAAAACAAATTCAATAAAAAAACGGAAAATATCAAAATAAAAACACCCACAATGATAACCAACAATGACTACAGATTGACAGGAATGTTTGTCAGGCCGTGACGTCACGCATTTCTGATTGGTGTTTGATATCACATGATTTCTGTGTAAAATTTCATGAATTTATTACATTTGTCTGTACCTTATTTCTCTGACTCGATAATAACAAAGGATTGAATAACTAACTGTACATGAGCAGTGTAACCATAATTTCAAAGTGCTTCAGCTACAAATACAGCTAATCAGGCCATATGTATTTGCAGTATCCACAGTGCATGGCAGATCAAACATGGCTACGAGCAATACACAAGGTGAAAATTGCTATGTCGCCCACAACACCAGAGGGCAGATGACTCCACACCATGAAGAGCGTCCAGACTGCTGCACAGTTATGAATACCACACAGGAACTGTTGATTGAACAAGATGATTTTCAGCATGGCACAGACGGAGCGGGAGTTGTGAAGACAGAGTATGTTGACGTCACTGAAGAATCGGAAGCTAATCAAGTAACATGCTATGGTGAGGGAAATGATCTCTTGAAGCTATATGAGGATCATGAAATAAAGGATGAGTTGGTTATAGGACCCACACTTGTACAAAGAGGGTCCGTCTTTGGTATTACTGAACATACAGAATCTGATTCTAAACGAGTTCTGTATAATGAGGATGAGGAGCATAATGTCTATAAACCTGAACACCAGAAAAGAAGAATATCATGTGATAAAGTTCATTCATGTGAGGTATGCAGTAAGACATTGGAGTCCTACAATACACTGGAATGCCATATGTTAGTCCATACTGAACAAGAAATATATACGTCTAATGAAAAGCCATACACTTGTGATGTATTTGGTAAATGATTTAATAGAAAATCGAGATTGCAATGGCATTTGTCTATACGTACTGGTGAGAAAACATATAGTTTTTTTTTAATGGGTGATAATGATATGGTGACCCTGTCTGCGCTATCGGTATACAATGGTGAGGCACCGGTGAAAGATGACTAATGAGGATGAAAGCAGGTCAGTTAGTCCATCCTGATGAATTCAACTAGAATTAGCCACGATGGTGTCCAGGGGGAACCACGTGGAGGTCAACCTGACAGGGTTATTTGACCCAATTACTACCAATCCCTTTCCCCCCGAAGCTATATAGTTACGATGTATGTAATAAATGTTTTAGTCATAAATGTTATTTGAAAGCGGCTAGACATCAGCCTTGACGCAGCGATGAAATACTGAAATGTTATTCAGTAATTCCTAACACGCGACACTAGCGCTAAAGTTAGCAAAGACGAGCGGCATAAACGGGAACTACTCAAAGCTGTGCGATTTGACATTTTGTCATAGTATTTGGTATTCACTAACAAAAGTCAGCCTCGTCTTCGCCGACAGCCTAATCTATGGCCTCATATATCTTATGTCAAAATCAAGAGCTTTGTTTTCTACTCTGTTTGCATAGTATTCCAATAATAAATTTGTTTCTCGAATTCTGTAATTTTTAATTGCATTGAAATTATCAATTTGTGTTTAAAAACAATGGCTGCTCGTTTATGTGTAATGATCCATATATTGGAAGAAGCTAAAATAGAAAATGACTGTAAGAAATGGCGGCAATCATCAACTTTACGTGATGTGGATTATTTTCATCGTCACCAACATTCTGGAGACTTGATCAATATGTTAGAAAGGGAATTTGCACCATGCGGACATTAAGTAAAGTTTAGATTTGCTTAAACTGAGACGCGAAGGTTCGTAACTTAAATTTTATATATTCTTTATTGCACTTGTAAATTACATTGTTAATGCATTTAAAAATATTGTGAGCATGGGTGGACCAATCTCTGACAGAGATCTCTTCCAGTCAACCCAATGCAGTTAGAAAACATGTTGTTAACGGGCAGCTGAAGTGCTACAACTATTAATATTTAGTGTACATAAACAAATATACAATTAAATAAAATATTAAGATTTTATTGATTGATTTTATTAGATACCTAAATAAATTTAGAACAGGAAAAAGAATACTTTGTAGTGATTGTGTGACACTTGTTTATTTTATTGAGACAAGCTTAATTGTGTCAGCAGATGTTTGTGTAGGGAACAACTAGCTAGTCAATAATGGCGTGTAACGAGTATTCTAGTGTGCATAATAATACCTCTGGTGTTGCAAATATCGATGGACCATGGTAACCTTTCCCATTAGGTGGTCCATGTGCTTGGTGGCCTCTGGCTTTGTATAAAAATAACTATGTCTAATATGTTAGAAAGAAACCGACTTAGTTAAACATGTAGTAAATTATTAATTCATGTCAATTAATTCTTAAATAAGACCACTAAATATAGCATTCAGGCTGAACCTTTAATAATAAGCTGTTTCAAAATCATCGTTTTAAAAAACATGACACACAAACATTCAGGTACGGCTATGTGACTAATTAAAAATGTTATAAATGAAATAATTAGTTTAACTTGTTTTTAATTTTTCATTTTACTCGAAGCTCATTTTTCCATGTGATTTTGGGGCTCATTTAGTAGCGTGACAAACCCATGGACATATAAGTAATCCTGCCTGCGCTATCGGTATACGTTGACGGAGTATCAGTTAGGAATGATAGATGAGGAATAAAGCAAGCCAGTTAATCCATCGTAACGACATCAAGAATTAACCAATATAGTTTCAAGGGAGACAGCGTGGAGATCGACCTGATAGAGTATATTGCTAGCAATGGCAATGCCAGACCCCACTACTAACAATCCCTTTCCTCTGTTTAATAGGACTATGATACGCCACTAACTTTACAAATGCACGACAAAACTGGAGATTACATTCTTCAAAAAAAAAATACAAAAAATATGAGGTGTAAATGGATTTTTATTAATTGATTAATAAATAAATATACAGATAGAGTGTAAAATTCATATTATATAATAATAAATTGATCAAAACTTTGTTACGTTATACACACATCTACATATTATGTACAATGACATCTGTTGCTTTCTACAGTGTATATAATCACATAAGTATGTCAAACAATGCTTGTTACTTAAGGTATAGGTATGACAGTAATAAAACACCCCTGGATGTTGTATGCATTACCGAACATAATATGACGAGTGAGAACTTCAAATTATTAAAAATGCCGGATTTGAAATTGGCTGCAATTTTTCCAGGTCTAATAGAAAAGATTACGTATTCTAGTTCATAAGAATTAAAAATATAAAAATATAGATATTATAAATCAATGTAATCGCAACGGAATGTTTGAATGTAGTGCTATGGAATGCTGTTCTGTCAGAACTTAAAATAATTATAAGATATTTCTACAGACCCTCAATGATAATGAATCTTATAAATGCATTCTTCTTTAAACTTGCAGAGTTACTGAATAAATTATGGTTTAAAGAAAAAAAATAATACTATGCGAAGACTTTAATATATTGGATTGGTACATATGACATTGCCAATTGCAAATAATGTAAAACAGTAGGCGCGTATTACCGAACACGTTTTGATTTATTCACTTTTGTTTTGTAAGCAAAGCATCGACACTTGATTAATATTTTAAACACCATCAGAGGATTTAGTCGTTAGACGTGATTTAAGTTATTCTCTCTCACTATGGATTCGAAAAAAATAGAGATATCATGTTTTATAAGTTCAAAGGTGGAAAAAGTGCACGCGAAAGAGAGAAGAAAAGAAATAAGAGATTAGGGGAGAATACAGTTTCTGAAAGAACAGTGAGAAATTAGTTCCGAAAATTTCGTTGTGGAGTAGAGAAGTTTGAAAATGAGACGTAGATAAGAAATCGTTTTATAATTACATGGTATGGTAAAGCGATACCATCGACAAATAACTCAACATTTTCTTAATCACATAGTGACATGCGATGAAAAGTGGATGCTTTATAATAATACATGAACATCTACATCACCGTTAGATAAGAGTGAACGTCCACGTTTGGCTCCAAAACACGCATTTTACCCTCGAAAAGTTATGCTTACGATATGGTGGACATAAAAAGGTATATGGGTTGTTAGTGTTTAGTATGTTTCAACAAATGCTGTTGCAATGTTGATTTTCTGTTAAAACATTTATTACATACAGTACAACTATATGGCTTCTCACTAGAATGTATAATCAAGTGCCGTTGCAATGTAGATTTCAATTTAAAACATTTACTACATACATCACAACTATATGGCTTATCACCAGTATGTATCACCAAATGTTGTGCTAAATTTGATTTTTGACTAAAAGATTTTTTACATACATCACAGCTATATGGCTTAACACCAGTATGTAAAAACAAATGCCACTGAAGTGTTGATTTTCTGTTAAAACATTTATTACATATATCACAACTATATGGCTTGACGCCAGTATGTATAGTTAAATGCTCCTGCAATGTTGATTTTCTGTTAAAACATTTGTTACATACCTCACAACTATATGGCTTATCACCAGTATGTGTTATCATATGCCCTTGTAATGTTGATTTTCTTTTAAAACATTTATTACATACATCACAACTATATGGTTTATCACCCGTATGTATCAACAAATGTTTTGAAAAGTTTGATTTCTGACTAAAACTTTTATTACATACATCACAACTATATGGCTTATCACCAGTATGTAACAACAAATGCTGTTGCAATGTTGATTTTCTGCTAAAACATTTACTACATACATCACAACTATATGGCTTATCACCAGTATGTATCAAAACGTGTTCTGTTAAATTTCTTTTCTCTCTAAAACATTTATTGCATACATCACAACTATATGGCTTATCACCAGTATGTATCAAAACATGTTGTTTTAAATGTGTTTTCCGACTAAAACATTTGTTACATACATCACAACTATATGGCTTCTCACCAGTATGTATCAACATATGCTGTTGCAATGTATATTTTACTTTAAAACATTTACTACATACATCACAACTATATGATTTATCACCACTATGTACGAACATATGTCGATGCAATATTGATTTTTGTTTAAAACATTTACTACATACATGACAACTGTATGGCTTATAACCAGTATGTATCACTAAATGTTGTGCTAAATTTGATTTGAGACTAAATGATTTACTACATACATCACAACTGTATGGCTTATAACCAGTATGTATCACTAAATGTTGTGCTAAATTTGATTTAAAATTAAAAGATTTACTACATACATTACAAAGGTATGGCTTATAACCAGTATGTATCACTAAATGCTGTGCTAAACTTGATTTGAGGCTAAAAGATTTACTACATACATCACAACTATATGGCTTATCACCAGTATGTATCACTAAATGTCGTGCTAAACTTGATTTGACACTAAAAGATTTACTACATACATCACAACTGTATGGCTTATCACTAGTATGTATCAGCAAATGTTTTTGCAATGTTAATTTTAGTTTAAAACGTTTACCACATACGTTACAACTATATGGCTTAACACCAGTATGTACCAACAAATGACATCGCAGTGTTGATTTTCTGTTAAAACATTTATTAGACACATCGCAACTATATGGCTTATCAACAATGTGTATCGACAAATGCCGTTGCAATGTTGATTTTTGTTTAAAACCTTTACCACATACATCACAAGTGTATTCCTTTTCATTAGACGAATATGTTTTCTGTTCAGTATGGGCAGACACATGGCATTCCAGTGTATTGTAGGAGTTGAATGTCTCACTGCATACCTCACATGAATAAACTGTATCACATGATATTCTTCTTCTCTGGTGCTCAGATTTATAGACATTATGCTCCTCACCCTCATTATACAGAACTCGTTTAGAATCAGATTCTGTATGTTCAGTAATACCAAAGACGGTTCCTCTTTGTACAAGTGTGGGTCCTATAACCAACTCATCCTTTATTTCATGATCCTCATATAGCTTCAAGAGATCATTTCCCTCACCATAGCATGTTACTTGATTAGCTTCCGATTCTTCAGTGACGTCAACATACTCTGTCTTTACAACTCCCGCTCCGTCTGTGCCATGCTGAAAATCCCCTTGTTCAATCAACGGTTCCTGTGTGGTATTCGTACCTGTGCTGCAGCCTGGACGCTCTTCATGGTGTGGAGTCGTCTGCTGTTCGGTGTCATGGCTGACATGTAAATTCTCACCTTGTGTATTGCCCGTAGCCATGTTTTATCTAACATGCACGATGGACACTACGGAAATATACTTAGACTTGTTTAGCTGTAATTTTCTGTTAAATAATAACCACGCTGATGCAGTTCACTATTACAGTCAGATTGCTAAACTTGGAATGTTCATTGGCCCTTCATGCATTCCTTGTACAACAGTTTCGAGATCACCTTTTGTTTACTAAAGAGGGTACTCACTGAAAATTTGCTGGATATCTGCGTCTCCAGTACGAGTCTCTTGGACATGACACTGTCACAAGTGGTCATAAAAATAACAACCCACAGATATAAAGCACACACAAAATGGACAAGGAATAAACAGTACAATATGTCGAGCAAGTCAGCGGTGTAGTAAGATTAGAGAGGCTGTCACTATGTCTTAATCCGAAATCTTGACTCTAAGAACAGGTAGGAAACTCTTGTACAGATATGTGTACGTTAGTAATTTGACCAGGAGCTTGTATCTACCCTACAGAAATTATTGCCAATGAAAAAAAAAGCTTGTCTGTGTGTTGCGGATTTTTAAGTATTGCTACTTAAAAATTCATATAAACGAAATGGGAGGTATCAAAATTGAATTATAATTGTTTTTAAAATATTTTTATATTAAGAAAAGTCTTATGTTCATAATCATATTTTTTCAACATTTCATCACTATTTTAATATAGATACAATGTAATTATTAATAAATTAACAATATTCTTAAAGAGAGGGAGACTTTGTACAAAAATCGTTTACTTAGATACGTCTGTCCCATTCGTGTTTCAACCGTAAAGCAGTTGTGTTTGCATGGCTGTGTTTTGATTTGAAGAGTGGGATATGGCGTGAATTTACAGGGTACAAAGAAATAACATCTGAGCGCTCAGGAATGGCAACGCTTGAAGGGTATCATGGACGAAATAGTATACTCTGTTATGTCCATAGTACTGCTCATATCTATAGCCGACGGTCACCACTTTCCATCAGGTAGGCCGTCAGCTTGTTTGCCATTCTAAGTTGTATAAAAAAAATCTTAAACTTCGGTGCATTGTTTGTGATCATTTGGATACTCCACACCCTGCCATTATGTGAACAAAATATTTTTTTTACTTTACATGTATTTTTAAAAGTTTTTCCCAATTTAATCATTTCTATTTATTGTATTTATATCTCGTACTGGATATCAGATATTTGTATATTGTATATCGGATCATAGCTGCACGCTAGAGCTACTCGCGACAACGATTTGTTGGGTATTAGACCATATAACTACAATGTAGATTACTCGCATCAATAACAAAATGTACTATACATTTTATGGGAAATCAGTAACTACAAACAAATTGGCTGTCATTTATTTATTTAAATATTACATCTGGAATTAACAGTTAAAGTATTTTTTTTTTGTACACAGGGGGGCAAACGAACATGCGACTCACCTGATGGTAAATGACTACCGCCGTCCATGATAACCCACAACACCAAAGGCGTTGCAAGTGTGCTGTCGGCCTTTTAAAATGGAACATGCTCTTTTGTTGAAGGTTATGATGGTTATATCTAAAATAATTAAAAATATTATATTTACACTATACATTAGCCAATTACAGATTCTCAATTTGTATACCAGACAATATTGTGCTTATTTTTTGAGGGTAGATTAAGTAGAAAAATAAAGAAATATAATAAAAAGAAAAAAATCTATGGAGATACGTATTTGCAACGTCGCATACTAATAATTAAAAAATTATAGATTTTTTTACAATATCAAATTATTAATAATTAATATTTTTCAGAGAAAACTAATGTACATAACATACTTACATTATACAATTATGTTGCCTTTCAGGTATCGCATGAAAGTTGAAAGACAGGGCTGATTGTGGTAGCAACAGTATGTGACTTATCAAGAGTTAACAAAGCTCTAGATATCGTCGGTGTCGTGAAGAAGTCAAAGTTCAACTCAATGATAATAATTGTAAAAAGTTTTTATTGTCAACCGAAATACAATCAGATGTGTATTCCAGCGAGTGTTCTAGATCTAGAATCACTAATTGCTGACGCAATGGCTGCGGTAGAGCAGGTGTCTAGTGAAGTTCAGGCATGCCATATGTCTATGGGTTTATATGTAAATAAATATACAATATAATGAATATACTACTTGTAAAGAAATATTTTTGGCATCGAGACCCACAGGCAATGTTAATATTAATTGATTTAAAAGTTTCTGAATACATAATGAGATACACAGAAGCCAAAATAATAAGTAAATGGGGATGGTTTGCAAAAGAAGTTTAAAAATAATAAAAATACAATTTTTGGATTTTTTTTCCTTGTGTTATATTGCTTCTTGCCAAATTTCATGATTCTAGGTCAATAGGAAATATCCTATAAGTTTTGTTTCTCTTTGCAAATAGCAAAATATGCGATTTATGTGGAAAAATAAAGGGCGGTATCTCTTGATTGTGTCGATTTAAAACATTGATTTATTCATTGCTCTAAGAGATTGCAGACCTCAGTATATAATACTAATTTCATCTTGATACCTCCATGAGTTTCTAAATAAAACAGACATCAAAGTAGGAACTCTTATAAGAGTTCCGTTTTTTCCTTTGGAGGTACATAACCCTAAAAAGCAAAGTTATAAAAAAAATACTAACACTAAGAAATAAATAATCTTTGTACACATATTAGTATACAAGCATAATATATATTTTTATAGGTTTTTGTTTTATTTGCTTTGTGTATCTTTTCCATTTATTCTGGTTCATTTTTAATTCACTTTCAAACACTTGCTAACACTCTATTGATGCATAATCATCTAATTTCCATAAATATTTCATACGCATTCAAGTTCGATGACAATGCAAAATGCCTGTGACTACAATAATAAGATCGTAGCTGCTCTGATGAAATGGTTATAAGAACTACGTAACAAAGACCATCAGTAGGGGTTGCTTATAGTCTGTTTTGGTCATTGTTCTTGTGATGTTACGTTTAACTGCTGGATTATGTACTAAATTATAATTTTATCTATTATTGACGATTCGATTTGTCAGTAAAGTGTGAGTTTTGTATGTACATATCGCAGACAAATATATATACGTATAAATACAATACAATGAAGTAATTAAGTAATTAATACCTAATTATAAAAAATAAATTCCATAATTAGGTAAAGAGAGTCCCTGTCATCTCGTCGCTTGGTGGATGGCATAGTTACTAACAATCCCTTTCCCCTTGTTTAATAGGATTATGATAAGCCACAAATGTTACAAATGCAAGACAAAATTGGTGTTAACATTCTTTAAAAAAATAAAAAATATGAGGTCTAAATGAATTTATAAATTATTACATTTATTAATAAATAAATATACAGATAGTTAAATTGTAAAATTCTGAACGAAATAGCATCATTAAGTCATATTAGCAAAAAGTGGCACTAATGTCTTTTCTACCCTGAGGAAACAAAATAATTTTCACTTGTCAATAAGGAAGACCATTACTTTCATATTGTACAATATTAAATTGATCAAAACTATATCACGTTACGAAGGGAGGTCAAAAAGTTTGCGGAATGGAGTGATTGATGGAGATTAGTTTACTTGTCCAAGTAGTCACCTGTTAAGCACTTCATTAAGAGTATGTATACCAAGTTTAAACCAAATTGGGTCATTAACTTTTGAGATATCGACCTGCAAACAAGTAAATGTGGAAAAAGTCAGCGAATATGAAGAAAATTGAACACCACGCCGTTATGTTCCTTACCAAGGAAAATCCGCTCAGACAATTTTTCAAGAGCTGTTAGCAGTTTACGCGGGCTCTGCCCCTGGTAAAACCATGGTTTACAAGTAGTATGGTCTTTTTAAACAAGGAAGAGAGTGTATTGAAGAAGACACCCGCTCCGGACGACCAATTGAGGCCACCACACCGGAAATCGTCGCAAAAGTATAAAAATTATTAGAAGATACCCGGCTGAAGAAGAAGCAACTTGCAGCAATGGTTGGAGTATCCGATACAAGTATTTAATATATTCTACATTATCATCTTGGCATGACTAAGATCCGTGTAACATGGTTCTAAAAAAGTTCACGCCATTTAAAAAAATGAGCATGTCAAGTGTTCCCACTAGTTTTTGGTGATCTGTGGAGAGAGCAGGGAAAAAGTTATGGCCCGGATTATTACTGGAGATGAGACCTGGGTTCACCATTATGAACCTGAGTGGAAACAAGAGTCGATGCAGTGGCATAAAAAAGGCACGACTTCTTCGAAAAAGTTCAAAGCGTCACAATCGCCCAGAAAGATCATGACGACTGATGAACAAGCTATTAAGAAAAAAAGGAGAGGAAAGCTGTTAAAAGGTGTGTTCCTTTTGAACGACAACACTCCCATCCACACGTGCCATGTTGCTACGACTGTCATCCACCAATACGGGTTTGAAAATTAAGACCAACCACCTTACAGTCCAGACTCGGCCCCCAGCGACTATTATTTATTCCCAAACATGAAAAAGGAGCTGGGTGGAAAAAATTGGCGACGATGAAGAAGTCAAGTCGGCAATTTCGGCCTATGTTGACAGCAAAGATAAATCTTTTTTTCTTCAATGGGATAAACAAATTATTTGAGAGATCCGAAAAATGTATTGAAGTTAAGCGAGAATACATAGAGAAGGAAAAACAGTTTCATGTTTAATTTCAACTCCCTTTCTCCTCATTTCGCGAACTTTTTGACTTCTCCACGTATACACACATCTACATATTATGTATAATGACATTATTTCTTTCCACAATATAGATAATCACGTGATATGTCAAACATAATGCTTGTTAGTTAAGGTATTGTTGCTTGTACCTCTGAATGTTATCTTGTCTTATAAATACTTACACCTACATAAATTATACATTTAATACAGCACGTCTTCAATATGTTTGAACACATGCCGTTGCAGTGTTGACAATCTTTTAAAACATTTATTACATACATCACAAGTATATTGCTTATCACCAGTATGTATCAACAAATGCCGTCGCAATGTTGATGTATTTCTAAAACATTTATTACATACATCACAGCTATATGGCTTCTCACCAGTATGTATCAACAAATGCCGTTGCAATGTTGACTTATCACTAAAACATTTACTACATGCATCACAACTATATGGCTTATCACCAGTATGTATAATACAATGCCGTTGCAATGTTGATTTTTGGTTAAAACATTTACTACATATATCACAACTATATGGTTTATCACCCGTATGTATTAACAAATGTTGTGTTAAGTTTGCTTTCTGACTAAAACTTTTATTACATACATCACAACTATATGGCTTATCACCAGTATGTATCAACAAATGCTGTTGCAGTGTTGATTTTCTGTTAAAACATTTACTACATACATCACAACTATATGGCTTATCACCACTATGTATCAACATATGCCGTCGTAATATTGATTTTTGTTTAAAACATTTATTACATACATCACAACTATATGGCTTATCACCAGTATGTGTTATCATATGCCCTTGCAATGTTGATTTTCTTTTAAAACATTTATTACATACATCACAACTATATGGTTTATCACCCGTATGTGTCAACAAATGTTTTGTTAAGTTTGCTTTCTGACTAAAACTTTTATTACATACATCACAACTATATGGCTTCTCACCAGTATGTATCAAAACATGTCGTTTTAAATGTGCTTTCTGACTAAAACGTTTATTACATACATCACAACTATATGGCTTCTCACCACTACGCATCAATAAATGCTGTTGCAATGTTGATTGTCTGTTAAAACGTTTACTACATACATCACAACTGTATAGAGTCATCCGCTGTTTGGTGTTGTCGGAGACATGCAAATTCTTACTTTGTGTATTGTCCATAGCCTTGTTTGATCTGCCATGTACTGTGGACGCTGCGTCTACATATGATCTGTTTAGCTGTAAGTTTTTATTATATGATAGCCATGCTGAGGCAGTTTAAAATTATAGTTAGACTGCTCATATACAGTTTAATGTTCATTGCCCCTTCTTGGACTTCTAGTACGACAGTTCTGTGGTCGCGTCGCGTCTATTAAAAAGGGTACCCTCTGATCGTGTTGTGATATCATAAACACACATTTTAAAGTTTGCTGAACATTTTACGTCTCCAGTACGAGTCTCTTGCACATGCCACTGTCACAAGTGGTCGTTAACGTAACAACCAATTGCCAGAGAAGGAAAATAAAACAGAATAGGAAGATTGCCGCAGGTTTAAGTCTACTAATAACATGTGTCGTTCTAGTGGCCGGTATTACCTTTGTTATTATCGAGTCGGAGAAATAAAGCACACACAAAATGTACAAGGAATAAAATGCACAATATATCGGGCAAGTCAGCAGTGTAGTAAGATTAGAGAGATAAGAAATCTTTGCTCTAAGAATAGGAAGGAAACTCTTGTACAGATATGTGTACGTTAGTGATTTGACCGGGAGCTTGTATCTACCCTACAGAAATTTTTAACAATGAAGAGGGTTTGTGAGGGCGATGCGGATTTTTAAGTATTGCTAGTTAAAAGGGAGGTATGAATTATATAATTATAATTGTTTGTAATTTTTTTTTTTTTTTACTAATAATAAAAAATAAATATTCATTCTATTATATTCATAGTAATATTTTTTAAACATTTCATCACTGTTGTGATATAGGGACAATGTAAATGTTTAATAAATTAAAATTTGTCATACATTTAATGCATTGCTCGTAATCACGTGGCAACTCCATGCCTTACTGTCATTGTATATCATTCTTTTTTAATTATATATGTACTTTTAAAATCTTTCTACTTTTAATCAGTTTTATTTCTCGTATTGTACACCAGAGCTTAATCGCCACAACCGTTTGTTGGTATTTTGGTGGATATTTTTTTTATGGGTGAAAACGGTATGGCTACCCCGCCTGCACTAACGAGATACGCTGGCGGAGCACTAATGAAGGGTGATAGATGAGAATGAAAACAGACCAGTTAGCCAATCATGATGAATTCATCAGGAATTAACCATGATAGTTTCCAGGAAGAACCGCAAAAATGTCGACCTGGTTGGGTATATTGCTAGCAATGGGATTCACAGTCTCCATTACTAACAATCCCTTTCCCCCCTTTGGTGGATATTAGACCGTAGTACTACAATGGAGATGACTCGCATTAACAACAAAATGTACTATATAGTTATCAATCACATCCATTCCTAAACTTGGAAAAACAAATATTGAGCGGTATGGTCATTTTAATTTATAATTAATAGGTATTTATTACGTAAATTTCAATTTTTATGGCATTATATAATTTTATATTTTTTTAATAACATGGTTATTTTTATCAGTAAACAATGTATTGTGTTCACTTCTATTTAAGGTGTTTTACAAAGACACATAGAATACAATTGAAATACATGTTTTAAATTGAGTTGCTTGTAACGGATTATATTCATGTTGACAGGTGTAAGAAAAAATGGATAATAACAAACTATCCCTAAAAGATTTAATACTTCAGGGCATACATCTAATGGCTGTAATAATTAAAAAAGTATGGATTTTTTTATAATATCCAATTATTGATAATTAATATTTTTCAGAGAAAACTAATATACCTAACATACATTATACAATTATGGTGACTTTCAGGTATTGCATGAAAGTTAAAAGACAAGGCATATTGTGACAGCAACAGTATGTGACTAATCAAGAGTCAACATAAAAGCTCTAGATATCCTCGGTGTCGTGAAGAGGACAAATTTCAACTCAATGATAATAATTCTAAAAAGTTTTTATTGTCAACCGAAATACAATCAGATGTGTATTCCAGCGAGAGCGTGTTCTAGATCTAGAATCACTAATTGCTGACACAATGGATGCGATAGAGCAGGTGTCTAGTGAAGTTCAGGCATGCCATATGTCTGTGGGTTTATATGTAAAAAAATATACAATGTAATGAATGTACTACCAGTAAAGACATATTTTTGGCATCGGGCAACATTGCCTGTGGGTGGCAATGTTACTCTTAATTAATTTAAAAGTTTCTGAAAACATAATGAGATACACAACTTATATAAAACACACATTTCATGGATTGTATGGAGGTATGCTCTTGGGTAGTGAATGAAATATTAAGTAAATGGGGATGGTTTGAAAAAGAAGTTTAAAAATAATGAAATGACTTTTTTTTTAAATAATGAAATTAATTTTCGGATTTTTTTCTTTACTTGTGCTATATTAAATTGCTTCTTATCAAATTTCATGATTCTAAGTCAATGGGAAGTATTCTATATTTTTTTTTTGTTTTGCGAATAGCAAAATATGCGATATAAGTGGAACATAAAGGGCGGTATCTCTTGATTGTGTCAATTTAGAAGAATGATTTTTTCACCACTTTAAGAGATTGCAGACCTGAGTGTATGATACTAATTTCAACTTAATACCTCCATGTATATCTAAGAAAAACAGTCATCAAAGTGATCCTATAAGAGTTCCGTTTTTTCCTTTGGAGGTACAAAACCTTAAAAAGCAGAGTTACAAAAAAAATACTAACACTCAGAAATAAATAATCTTTGTACACATATTGGTATACAAGCATAATATATATTTTTTACAGTTTTTTTTATTTTATTTGCTTTGTATATCTTTTCCAGTTATGCTGGTTCGTTGTTAATTCACTTTCAAACACTTGCTAACACACTATCGATGCATAATCATCGAATTTCCATAAATATTTCATACGCATTCAAGTTCGATGACAATGCAAAATGACTGCGACTACAATAATAAGATCGTAGCTGCTCTGATGAGGTGGTTATAAGAACTACCTAACAAAGAATGCAACCTCATCAGCATGGGTTGATTATAGTCTGCTTTGGTCATTGTTCTTGTGATGTTACCTTTAACAGTTCGATTATGTTCTAAATTATAATTTTATATATTACTGGCGATTTGATTTGTCAGTAAAGTGTAAGTTTTTGTACATATATACATATCACAGCCATACTTACGCATAAATACAATATAATTAAGTTATGTAAAAGTTTTTTTTATTGAACTATTATCTAATTATATAAGGATTTGTTTTATTTCTATAATTAGGTAAAGAGAGTCCCTGTCATCTCGTCGCTCGGTGGATGGCATAGAACATAGTTTGATGAATAAAATAAAAACATTAGTATCAAACGACTACCGTATAATCTGCTTTTCTATGCTTGCCGCTAGAATAAACTGTAAATTTTATCGAAATAACAGAATATTTGAAATTATCGCCACTATTAGTTCAAAATTATTCCGCGCGTAATTTGTTACGCTAGCATCGGTGTGCTTCAAATATTTCGGAATAGAATAGATGGAATGCATAATTCAGATAGTGTGTTGCTCGTTGTAATCATGACTGATACATGATAATTCAAAATCCGTTGCGTAGTTTTAAAGATTTAAGCATACATAGTGACGGACAGACAGCGATAGCGACTTTGTTTTATACTATGTAGTGATGATGCTGAATTTCAAATTAGCTGCACATTTTTTCCAGGTCTTATAAAAAATGCGGATATGTTCACGCTCACTTTTTATCTTTATCCGAGCAGTAAGTGCTTTATATTATTCTCAAATTCGTGTATAATATAGTATATGTGTAATTATATATGTCATATATGTGTAAGTATATTTGTTATTCATATATATTTATTCGTTTATATATGTAATGTTAGTATGTATGTATATCAATAATTAGTAGTACCGCATTCGAGTATTCTGACACTTCCCTACGGTTGACTGGGAGAGAATGCTTTTAGCATTAAGTCCGCCATGTACACATATTTATACTAATCAATAAATAAATAATGTAAACTAGTTCATAAGAATCAAAAATATAAAAATATAGATAATGTAAATCAATGTAATCGCAACGGAATGTTTGAATGTAGTGCTATAGAAATGACAGAGCATAAAATAATAATAGTATGCATCTACAAACCCTCGAAAATGATAATCAATCTTATTAATACATTCTTCTTCAAACTGTAGAGTTACTGAATTATGATAATAAATTATGGTTTAAAGACATAAATAATACTATGCGGAGACTTTAATATAGATAAATTAAAAAATAACTCTATCGCGAAAGATTTTAAACAAGTGCTAATTTCATACAATCTCAATTTAAACATAAATGAAGCTACCAGATTATGATGCGGAATATATATAGACAATTTGGCCCATAATATAAGAGACTAAGACAACGATACTAGATCTAGGATTATCAGAGCATACTGCACAAGTAATGCAATGCCCAGTGAAAAAGAGCTTTCTCGTGAACTATTGGTATAAATGGATAAGAGATTATAGCATAGAAGATATAATTAAATTTAAAAACTATATGAAACAACTGTCCTTTAGTACGGTATATAAAAACGACAACCCAGAAGAATCGCACAACGTAATTTGAATTACTGTATGATCTTTGTTTACTAATGAAAAAATTAAATTAAATTAACAATCTGTCATCGAGCAAAATGGCTCACTAAGGGCCTAAAAAGATGCACTAAAAGGAAGCGACAACTCTTATACAGGTATAGACGTAAACAAATTGAGAAAAGTACTTTTACTGATTACATTAATAATAAACAAAAAAATATAAAATTGACAAACAAATCAAAAGCGGTATGAAATATCATTAACATTAAAAAAGAAAATATTCTCCCGGAGGAAATTAAAAAAATAATAATCAATGGAGAGTATATTTCAAAACCTGAAGATACTGCGCAGACTATCAACTACTTTTTTTATTGATGACATACAGAACACACAGTACTAACGTAAAATACTCAAGAAGGATAACAGGAGAAATCAGCATCTCTTGTTTCATGGCTCCTACTAACTCTCATGAAATTGAAAAAATAATAAAAACACAAAAATATACCTAAAGTACAGGGTATGATGGCATTTGCACAAAAATAATTAAATATGTATATAATATTGTATCACCATTAATCAGCCACATAATTAATGGAAGTATATAAACGGGTGTATTTATTTATTTTTTTATTTATTTATTTACACTTTATTGCACCAAGTAACAAGAGAAATAACAAATACAGTAAATATTAATGAGAAGTGATACAAAAGGCGGCCTTATCGCTAAGCAATCTCTTCCAGACAACCTTTGGGTAGAGGATATTTCCCAGCAAACTAAATGTTTCTGTAATCAAACCGATATTTATAAAGAATGATAGAGGGAAAAAAAAAACAATTCTGTAAACCTATTACACTACTACAAGTAATAACTAAAATTTTGGAAACAGTTTTTTACAAGTCTATGTTATGAATTCTCGTTTCTTCGAGAAAAATAAAGTTCTTACAGATGAACAATTTGGATTTAGAAAGGGAAAGTCAATAAATTTAGCCATCTATAAACTCTTAGAAAAAAATATGAGTGGTCCAGATAATAAGAAGAATACAACTGCGTTATTTATGACTATGACTAGAGCCTTCGATCAAGTAGACCATGATATCCTTGTTGAAAAATTAGAGATATATGGGATCAGAGGAAATGTACTTAACCTTGTAAAATCATATTTACAAGGTAGGAAACAAATCACAGAAACGACTAGAATAGACACGAATAATAACACTGAAACGAAATATCAGTTGGAACAAAGAACTGTAATGTATGGGGTACCTCAACGAAGTATGTTAGGACCATTATTATTTTTAATTTATATTAACAATCTACTATTACTCCTCCAATGATTCTATATGCTGATGACAGCACAGCAATTTTTACCAATGACGATCCCAAACTTTACAAATATAATATAAATAATTCATTAAAATACATAGTCTCCTGGCTAGAAGTACCAACCTACAGATAAACATAGATAAAACTAACTTTATGACATTTAAAAAGAAAAATAAAATTCTGAATAATATAAATATTAATTATATGGCGGGAAAATTAAGGAAATTCATTGTGTTAACTTTTTAGGTATCCATATTGACGCTGATATGACTTGGAAAACGCAGTTTGATCACATTTGTACAAAAGTAAATCAGCACTCCTATACAATTTACTTGTTACGAAAAGTCACTAATCAACTTGCACTTCTAAGCGCTTACCATACGTTTGCAGGCTCAACACTCAAGTACAGAGTTCTCTATTAGAGAAATTCCTCAGGGAGAGAAAAAGCGTTTAAAAGCAAACAAATGTGTTCGTTCCATATGTGGTAACGTGGAATAGAGTTGTGCAAGCCATATTTTAAGAAATTAAAAATTTTGACATTTCCTGTCTTTGTATCTATAAAGCTGCAATCTTAATAGAATTTAATCTCTAAGTCTCTAATTTAATCTAAGTCTAAAAGTATATAATATATTTCCCCAATATATTAAAGTATATTACACTCTGAACGAATATATGACAAATAGTTTTAAAAATGAAACAAACAACAAATTATTGCACTGTATTCCAAATGTGTTCGTTCCATATGTGGTATACATGTAACAGAGCTGTGAAAGCCATATTTTAAGAAATTAAAAATTTCGACATTTCCTTTCTTTGTATCTATGAAGCTGCAATTTTAATAGAATTTAATATTACAGATTATGAAACGCTAAACAGCAAAAGACATTGTCATATTATTCGTGCCACAAAATGTAACATGCATGCATGGGTCTGAAAGTATAAATTGCCCCAATATATAAAATACATTAACCACTCGCATATATTTAAGAAAGAACCAAGAAAACACTAACTGACAAAGTATATTACACTTTAAACGAATATATGACAAATAGTTTTAAAAATGAAACAAACGACAAATTACTGCACTGTATTCCCATGACACAAGAGACAAGACAAATTTTGATGTAATAATTGTTTTCATTTTTATTCTATTATTATTACGATTAAGACATTGTAATATATGAGACTATAATAACGGCATTGTATCAGTATTTATATTAAAAGTATATTCACATAAGAAGATTTTAATAAAATCTAATAATGTACCATCTGTAACACCCGTATTTGAACAAATAAATTATTATAATTATTGCTGTTTGTATCTCCGAACATTATCTTGTTTTATAAATACTTACATATACATTTACATGTATTACACATTTAATACGGCTTGTCATCAATGTTTCAACAAATGCTTTTTCAATGTTGTTTTTCTGGTAAAACATTTATTACACACATCACAACTATATGGCTTATCACCAGTATGTATCAATAAATGTTGTGCTAAATTTGATTTCACTCTAAAACATTTATTACATACGTCACACCTATATGGCTTATCATCAGTATGTATCGACAAATGTTGTGCTAAATTTGCTTTCTGTCTAAAACATTTATAACATACATTACACCTATATGGTTTATCACTAGTATGTATCAAACAATGTTGTGTTAACTTTGCTTTCTGTTTAAAACATTTATTACATACGTCACAAATATATGGCTTGTCACCAGTATGTATTAACAAATGTTGTGCTAAATTTGCTTTCTTTCTAAAACATTTATTACACACATCACAACTATATGGCTTATCACCAGTATGTATCAATAAATGTTGTGCTAAATTTGCTTTCACATTAAAACATTTATTACATACGTCACAACTATATGGCTTATCATCAGTATGTATCAACAAATGTTGTGCTAAATGTGCTTTCTGTCTAAAATATTTATTACATACGTCACAACTATATGGCTTATCACCAGTATGTATCAGCAAATGTTGTTGCCATGATGATTTTTTGTTAAAACATTTATTACATATATCACAACTATATGGCTTGTCACCAGTATGTATAATCAAATGTTGTTGCCATGATGATTTTTTGTTAAAACATTTATTACATACATTACAACTATATCGCTTATCACCAGTATGTATAGTCAAATGCCGTTGCAATAATGACTTTTTGTTAAAACATTTATTACATATATCACAACTATATGGCTTCTCACCAGTATGTATCAAAACATGTCGCGTTAAATGTGTTTTCTGACTAAAACATTTAGTACATACACTACAACTATATGGCTTATCACCAGTATGTATAGTCAAATGCCGTTGCAATAATGACTTTTTGTTAAAACATTTATTACATACATCACAACTATATGGCTTGTCACCAGTATGTATAAGCAAATGCTGTTGTAATGATGACTTTGTGGTAAAACATTTATTACATATATCACAACTATATGGCTTCTCACCAGTATGTATTAAATAATGTCGAGTTAAACTTCCTTTTTGGTGAAAACATTTATTACATACGTCACAACTATATGGCTTATCACCAGTATGTATAGTCAAATGCCGTTGCAATAATGACTTTTTGTTAAAACATTTATTACATACATCACAACTATATTGCAAATCACTATGTATAATCAAATGCCGTTGCAATTTTGATTTACTGTTAAAACATTTATTACATACATCACAACCATATGGCTTATCACCAGTATGTATCAGCAAATGCTGTTTCAATGTTGATTTTCTATTAAAACATTTATTACATACATCACAACTATATGGCTTCTCACCAGTATGTATCAACAAATGCTGTTGAAGTATTGATTTTTTATTAAAACATTTACTACATACATCACAAGTGTATGGCTTTACATTAAACGAATATATTTCCTGTTCATTATGGACTGACATATGGCATTCCAGTGTATTGTAGGAGTTGAATGTCTCACTGCATACCTCACATGAATAAACTGTATCACATGATATTCTTCTCCTCTGGTGCTCAGATTTAAAGACGTTACGCTCCTCATCTTCATTATACGGAACTCGTTCAGAATCAGGTGTTGAATATTCAGTACTTCCAAATGTGGTTACTCCTTGTACAACTGTGGGTTCTATAGTCGACTGTTTCTCCATTACATAATCCTCATACAGACTTAAGAGCTCATTTGTCTCATCAGAGTATATTATTTGATTAGCTTCCAATTCTTCAGTCACAGTGTTTACAACTCCCGCTCCGACTATACCATGCTGAAACTCATCTTGTTCAATCAACGGTTCCTGTGTGGTATTCATAACATAGGAGTAGTCTGGACGCTCTTCATGATGTGGAGTCACCTGCTGTTGGGTGTTGTCGGAGACATGCAAATTCTCACCTTGTGTATTGCTCGTAGCCATGTTTGATCTACTATGCACTGTGGACACCGCGAATACATATGATCTGTTTAGTTATAAGTTTTTAATAAACGATAAACATGCTGGGGTATTTTAAAATTACAGTTAGATTGCTCATGTACAGTTACATTTTTATTGGGTCTTCATGCACTCCTAGTACGACAGTTTTCAGGTCACGTCGCGTCCACTAAAGAGCGTACCCACTGACCGTGTTGTGACATCATTACTACACAGTGGTCATCAGGTCTTAAGGAAGTCTTGATAGGATAGTTCTAAGGTTATCTCGTGTTTACTAAAGAGGGTACAGACTGAAAGTTTACTGGACATTTACGTCTTCAGTACAAGTCTCTTGTACATAACACTGCCACAAGTGGCCGTAAAAATAACAACCAATTGCTAGAGAAGGAAAATAAAACAGAATAGATAAACTGCGGCAGGTTTAAGTTTACAAATAATATGTATCGGTCTAATGGCCGGTATTACCTTTGTTATTATCGAGTCGGAGAAATAAAGCACACACAAAATGCACAAGGAATAAACAGTACAATATGTCGAACAAGTCAGCCGTGTAGTAAGATTAGAGAAGCTATGACTATGTCTAAAGCCAAAATCTTTACTCTAAGAACAGGTAGGAAATTCTTGTACAGATAAGTGTACGTTAGTGATCTGACCAGGGGCTTGGATCTACCCTACAGAAATTTTTGTCAACGAAAAAAGATCGTGTTGCGTTGCGGATTTTTAAGTATTGCTACTTAAAAATACATATAAAGTAAAAGGGAGGTATTAGTATTTAATTATATTTTGTTTGTTAATTTTTACTAATAATAAAAAAAAATCCCTTATATTTATAGTAATATTTTTTAAACATTTCATCACTCTCATGATATGAGTAAAAAGCAACTATTTAATAAATTAACAATTGTCTTAGAATTTAGTGCATTGTTCGTGATCGTATGGCAACCCCACATCCTCCTGTCAATGAAGAAATTTTTTACTTTACATATTTAAAATATTTTTCTAATTTTAATTCTCGTATTTTTATTTTTCGTATAAGATATAAAATTTTTGTACTTTGTATATCGGGTCATAGTTGCACGCTGGAGCTTACTCGCGACAACCTTTTGTTAGCATTTTGCTAGATCTTAGATCGTAGTGCTACAATGGAGATTCTTTGCATTAATAACAGAATGTACTATACAGTTATCAGCCATATCCATTCCTAAACTTGGAAAAACAAATATTGAACGGTTTGGTCATTTTAACGTATAATTGATAGGTATTTATTACATTAATATCAATTTTTATACTATTAATATAGTTTTATATAATTTTTTTAGTAACATGGCAATTTTTTGAATAGGCAAAGTATTGTGTTTACTTCTATTTAAGGTGTTTCACATAGACGCATAGGATACAATAATCGAAATACATGTTTTAAATTGGATTGGTTGTAAAGGATTATGTTCATGTTGACAGGTGTGAGAAAAAAATGGAAGCGGCCAATAACATTTTATTTATCTGCAAAATCAGTAACTTCAGACAAATTGACTGTCAAAAAAGTATTTATTTTTTATAGTTTTATAGTAATTATTGATAACTAATATTTATCAGAGAAAACTATTGCACCTAACATACTTACGTGGGGGGAAAGGGATTATTAGTAATGGAGACTTAGAATCCCATTGCTAGCAATATACCCAACCAGGTCGACCTCCTCGCGGTTCCCCCTGGAAACTATCATGGTTAATTCCTGATGAATTCATCATGATGGGCTAACTGGCCTGTTTTCATTCTCATCTATCACCCTCCACTGGTGCTCCGCCAGCGTATCCCGTTAGCGCAGGCGGGGTTACCATACCATTTTCACCCATCAAAAAAAAAAAAAAAAAAAAAAAAAAAAAAAAAAAAAAAAAAAAAACATACTTACGTTGGGGGAAAGGGATTGTTAGTAACGGGATCTAACTGACCCATTGCTAGCAATACACTCCATTCAACCTCCACGCGGTTCCCCCTGGAAACCATCGTGATTAATTCTAATGGAATTCGTCTCGATGGGTTAACTGAAATGTGCTTTAAATACAGGCAAAATATATCAAATTTCCGAAGACGTCAGAGGAAAGAAAAGCTAACATCGTAAGATATTTTTTTATTATATTAATAAAGCAAAAACTTGCACAAAAATAACTAAGATTTATTAGTACAACCTATTCCTTCTATCCTTTATTACTGAACAGATCTCCCTTAGAATAATAGCTCTTCTTATAAGCATGCTAGAAAAATATTTTGTAAAGAAAAAAAGTTTATTTCCAAATGGAATTATTAAAGAATGAAGCTAATTTTTTTTTTTTTTTTTTTTTTTTTTTTTTTTTTTTTTTTTTTTTTTGGCTTGTGTGTGATACTTTACATCATGTTACTTACTTTACGTTACTTTACATGCTGTTTTGGTTTTGTTCTTATAGCTTATTCTTATTCTGTTGTTATAGCTTTAATAAATTTGGAATGCCAGGAGTGTTGGAGTATATCGATTGTACCCGTGTTGCGATTGTACGCCCGAGAACTAGGAGAGACACTACTGTAGTAAACAGTATCATTAGCTAAATACACAGTCGCTATGTTGATTTATTATGTTTGATGCTTGTTGATTTCAATGACACTTCAATAAGTTTAATTGTGTATTTATATTTTTTTTTTTTATACAACATAGAATGGCAAACAAGCTGACGGCCCACCTGATGGAAAGCGGTAACCGTCGCTTATAGACATGAGCAGTACCGTGGACATAACAGAGTATACTGTTTCGCCCATGATACCCCCCATGCGTTGCCATTCCTGAGGACTCAGGTGTTATTCTTCTGTACCCAGTAAATTCACGTATTTTGTGTGTGTGTGTATTTATATATAAATGTATTGAATTAATTCAAATTGAGCTTTATTAGATATATAAAACAACTATTAACTAACTAACTATTAACATATTTACCTCAAATAGAGTTTGTAATAGCAAAGGCATCAAGAGCTTTAGGTTTTGTAATTCGCAATGCCAAGGAATTTGTAAATCCAAAAACTAAAATAAAATTATATTATTCATTAGTTCGAAGCGTCTTGGAATATGGTTCGATAGTTTGGCGACCACATTATTCGACCCATATTTTAAGATTAGAGCGTATACAAAAAAGGTTTCTCTGGCATTTGGCTTTTTCAGCTCGACAATCTAAGACCTTGGTGGCCTACGGGGACAGACTTATCTATTTCAATATGGTATCACTTGATAAGCGTAGAACATTAATAGATTTAATGTTCTTATATAAGTTGTTTAGGAACAGAATTGACTGTTCTCAGCTTCTTGCCAAATTTAATTTTCGATTGCCCGTACACTATCCCCGTAGTTACATCAGTCTAATGTCCGTGCCGTTCCGTAGAACTGTTCTTGGTGCCAACTCCACTGTACCACGTCTTTGCAAGCTGTTGAATGATTGCAAGCAACACTTGGATATTCACTTCGATACAGAAGGGGATTTCTATAGGAAAGCATTACAGTTAATTTAAATAGCTAAAAAACTTATGTGAAGCAATCATCTACTGAATCTAAAAAACTATACCAATGTCAAATACTTCAAGAGATTGTTATACCATATTATTGTTTTTGTTAATTAGCATGCTGTTTTTCCTTTAAAATGATTGTACACTAAGTATAAATAGACGGTAATTTTAATATTAAATCTTATCAGTGTAACAATTACTAGGAGACCAAATAAAGATAAAATAAAATAAAAATAAAACTAGCGGCCCGTCCCGGCGTCGCACGTGTGGACATTTTTACATTTTAAAAAGTGGTCTTAAGGCTGCACACGCGACGGTAGCTAAAAAATGAAGTAACTTCTCCCGTTTTCCCAACATTTCCCTTCACTGCTCTGCTCCTATTGATCGTAGCGTGATGAAAAGTATACTATAACCTGCCCAGGAGTATGAAGAATAATTGTACCGAGTTTCGTTAAAATCCTTCGAGTAGTTTTTGTTTCTATAACGAACATACAGACAGACAGACAAAAATCTTACTGATTGCATTTTTGGCATCAGTATCGATCACTAATCACCGCCTGATAGTTATTTTGCAAATATATTTCATGTACAGAATTGACCTCTCTACAGATTTATTATAAGTATAGAAAATTTAAATATGCAAACATGTTAAATACACTAACTAACTAACTTATGTAACACATTGAACAATAATTTTATTTCTTAACAAACATAATTTACATCACACTTATGATAACTTAATATTTATGTTCTTCTATCATGTCATTAATCTGAAAAAAAAAAAAAAAATTTTAGATTTGTAACGCTGATCTCCATCACAAGTGAGGATGCCAGCGCCAGCTATGGAGGAGCTACTCGTGACTCTTTCATTTGGACAAATCACACCCTAGGACAGCGTTTAGAACTGTTAAACAAATATGAGTCCATTTTAGTTACTTGGTGAGTGTTGGCGACAGGCCTCTTTTTATATAATTTACCTTTTTAGAATTATATTTTTATATTATGAATATGTCTTTTTGATACTTATTTTGTTTTTTCTATTTGAGTGACATATTATTATTGTTATATTGTTGGATTGTGATAGTCTAAGAAATTATACTGGTAAGCCTCTCTCTTAATATTATTTTATTATTGTCGCTGCCCTCCTCTCCAACCAGCGCCGTTTTCAGTGAGAATTGAATTGTATTGTAAAAATATTAGAATTATGTTTACTCATTACTAATTTTGGAACTTTAATACTTAATCTAATTGAAGAATAATATATTTTAATATTATATTAACACGCTACTTGTTATTACAGCAGCCGTATTATGAACTCTTATTTCCAGGCAGATTACGGCGTAAATTGAACTGCCTTGCTAATTCATATTATGAACGCTACAAACCAGCCAGTCAGCGGTCACGTGACAGTTGAGCGACATCTGCCCGTATTTTGGCTGGTTATTTCGTATTACGAGCTCCTGATTTGACATTTCTACGCGTCATTTGACTATTTAAAACTTGTTTACAAACCATTCAGTTTACGGCGTCTTCAAGTGCCTTTTTTTGAATTGTTTTGTGTGTTTTCTAGATATGAAAGACTTATTTGTATTCAGTTTGCATCGATTTGAAGTGTTTTTTTTTTGTTTCTAATTTATTAAGTTTGTGTGTTCAAGTTTGTTAAGTGTTTGTAGTTCAGTATGTCTGATGAAGGTGAAATTTTAGAATTTTTGGAAATGGACGCTATGTATGAAGCAGAACAGCGAAAAATTAAAAGAAGACGATTGCGAGACCAATCCAATCCCTTTGATATTGACGATGAGCAATTTATAAAACGATATCGTCTTAGCAAAAGTTTGGTATACAGTCTCTGCGATGAGCTTAGGCCTCATATGGCAGGATCATCAAAGTCCACAGATTTGACATTAGAGACTAAGGTTACACTTTTACCTTATTATGATGATATTGTCATTAATATATTTTCTTAAATTAACTGTGACTTAGTTGACTGTCAACTTTTTTCTATTTTAGGTTTTGGTAGCATTGTCGTTTTTCGCAACGGGCTCTTATCAACGCCCAATTGGCGATATTGCTGGCCATTCTATCGCCCAACCTACAGTTTCTATAATAATAAAACAAATTACAAAATTATTAAATTTGCCTGAAATACAGGCAAAATATATTAAATTTCCGAGGACGTCAGAGGAGCGAAGAGCTAACATCATAAGGTATTTTTTTATTATATTATTAATAAAGTATTAACCTCCACAAAAATAACTAAGATTTATTAATACAAGCTATTCCTTCTATCCATTATTACTGAACACATCTCCTTTATAATAATAGCTTTTCTTATAAACATACTAGAAAATATTTTGTAATGAAAAAAGTATTTTCAAAAGGAATTATTAAAGAATGAACCTAATAATTTGTTATAGATTTTATAATAAATTTGGAATGCCAGGAGTGTTGGGGTGTATCGATTGTACACATGTTGCAATTGTACGCCCAACTGAGAACGAGGAGAGGTACTACTGTAGAAAACAGTATCATTCGCTAAATGTACAGTTGGTATGTTAATTTATTATGTTTGATGCTTGTTGATTTCAATTACACTACATTAAATTTTATACACACCAATATTTAATTTTGTGATTATATATAAATGTACTAAATTAATTCATATGAGCTTTATTACATTTATAAAACAAAAATTAAAATTTACAGTTATGTTAAATATACATTATACTAACTTATAAAACACATTAAACAATAATTTTATTATTAATACATATAATTTACATCACACTTATAATTAAATATTTGACTAATATACTTATTTCATATACAATTTTAATAACTTAAGATTTATGTTCTTCTGTCATGTTATTAATCTGAAAAAAAAAAAAAAAACATTTTAGATTAGTAATGCTGACATGGAAATTATAAGTGTGGATGCCAGCTATGGAGGAGCTACTCATGACTCCTTCATTTGGACAAATCATCCCCTAAGACAGCATTTAGAACAGTTAAGCAGAAATGAGTCCATTTGGTTACTTGGTGAGAATTGATTTGTATTATAAAAATATTAAAATTGTGTTTACTCATTACTGATTTTAGAACTTTAATACTTTTTGTAAAGAATTTTTTTTTTTTTTTTGTATTATTAACATGCTACTTTTATTTTTAGGTGATTCAGGATATGCTCTTAGAAAGTATATGATGACTCCCATTACAAATACTGTCCCAGGGTCACAAGAAGCACATTACACCAGTGTACATGTGAGGACAAGAAATGTGATTGAGAGGACAATTGGACTCTTGAAAGCTAGATTCCGTTGCCTGCTTGTACACAGAGTACTTCATTATGCCCCTGAGGTGGCAGCATCTATAGTGAATGCTTGTGTGGTATTGCATAATATGACAGTAAAGTCTAATATACCAGCACCGACACTCACTGATGAAGATGCTACATCAGAGGGCACAATGCAGCTCCATCATGCTCACCATGATCTGTCTCAGTCTTCAAGTGTAGAATTAAATGAAGGTTTAGCTGCTAGGCGCGCCCTCGTTTCTCGCCTCTGGAGTTCTCGAGCTTCTACAAATTAAAAAAAAATATAGATTACTCTGAGAAGTAGACATTAGGCATTTTAGTTCTTAGCATATTTATTAATTTCTTTTTTATTTCATTTATAGAATGAACATTAATTTTAAATGTTTTATATAAATAGTTTATTACTTCTAATTGCATTTTTAATATAATTATATTACTCTGATAAAAAGTCTATTTATATTCATAGAATTTTAGTTGATATAACAAAACAGAAATATTGTTTGAGTTTGTATATTTCTACTGTATGTTCTCCATAAATTTGTAATAAACACCAAATATTCTCTTAGATATATTATATAAAATATGGAAAAAGTAATATAAGATATTAAAAAAATAATACAATGAAAATACTGAAATAATGTTGTTGTTTTACCTGTTAATTGATTCAGCTATCCTATTTAATGTATTGAGCATTTGCTCCATAATAGCTGTCTGTCTTCTTTGTTCTTCTAGTCGTGACCTTGCAACATCTATTAAAGCATTCCTTGCTGCCTCCATGCTAACAGTTCTCTGTTGTCTTGGTCTACGACGTGTCGGGCGAGACGGAGGGGCTTCTGTAGGAACTTCTTCTATTTGAGGATGTGGAAGCTCTTCAGTTCCTGTGTTTTGTGTATCTATAGTTGTTATATGTATGTCTCCTCTGGACTCTGACTCTGATGCAGTGATCTCAATCATTACTGCATCAGAGTCGGTGTCCAGAGGTTCTGATCTCAATGCAGTGCCACTAGTACTTGGTATCTGAAAATAATATAAATTTATTTTCATTTCTATGCAATTTATTCTATATATAATTATAATATTAAATAATTTATGGTAATTTCGGTCAGGGTCATATGTTAATAAAGGAAGCTATTATTGTAATTGTATTTTTTAACCCTTAAATACATGAAGTTTCAAATTTGATACCGGTATTATAAATCATATTGGGCGCCTACAATCGATTTTATTTTAATATTTGGCTGTTTACATGTTACCAGTTTTTTTCAAAATAAAAATATAAAAATATCGTTTTGAATTTTTTTTACTATTTTTCCCCATTAGTAAACACAGTAAAGGATACACTTATATTTTTTTAATTTGATTTAAAAAATCAGGCTTTTAAGGGTTAAATATTGTTAATTAATTAAGATAGTATGCTTCCAAATGAAATAAATAAAATATCAAATAGGCAGAAAGTGTCAGGCATTTAGGAGAAAGAATAAATATTTATTATGACTTACAGATGGTAGATATGAATTAAAAGTTTCTAAAACTGATTTATGTGCATGCGATGAATCATAAAATTATATAAAACATAGAAGCCTCTGGTACTCTACTTTTCTTTACCTACTTTGCAAGAGACTTATTGTGAACACAGAATTTATATTAAAAATTCCTACAATTTACTTACGTTTGGAAATGGGTCGACTTGTACATTACTCAAGCCCGAACCGAAACCTGCCCCTAAAATGCTCAAGAACTTTTGTTCTAGTGCATCCAAGGGTGGAACATTCGAAGGTCCACCTCCAGTACGGTTTTGAGACAAACGTACTGCAGCAACTCTTCTTTTTAATTTAGCTTTATAATCCACCCAATACTGTAAATATATTTTTGATATTATATAAGTTGATTATAATTTGTTATTAAAAATTAAAAACAATAAGTTTTTGTAATACTTACATTTGACCATCCTTTCCAGTCTTTAAAAGCTCCTTCTCCCAATGAATTTAATGCTTCTGCGACTTCTTCCCACATACGTTTTGCGTATTCTCGCGCTTGGGCAGATTTATTAAAACCGACAGCCACGTCCTTATTGGAATTTAAAAATTCCCACAGAATTTCTAACTGCCGGTACGTTACGCGACGACGTGTGTGAGAATTTTCAGCAGAAGTTGATCTGCGATTTAATTAAAATAATTAAGTCTTACATTAATTTAATATAGCATTTTTTTAGCACACAATATATGTAGAAAAACACTAAAAACACTTACGCCATGATATATATTTTTCTTGTTGATAAACAAAAAATATTTTGTAAAAATTAACTGACTTCGAACTATTTGGAATGCAGCCAAGTAATGAAATAGTTTCACAGTTTCAAACTCCACTTCAAAAAATTCATATTCAAGTGGATTCGGCGCGGAATTTTAAGTGGATCAACAACGTCATGTAGCTACGTTCGAAAATGTGCACGAAATGCATTCTAAGATATAATTCGAAACGTTCAAAAAGATAACGAGAATATTTTAATTAATAACGTAAATTTATCTATCTAATAATGTATCGTAATAATTGCATTTTCGTTATATTTATTTAACCACTACCATGTCAAAACTATGTGAACATAAAAACCGTAACTTCCCGTAAAAAATCTTGTGTTGTTTCTGAACGAATGGAGTGTAAATGAATAACCAGCCATAGACAAATTATCCAGGCAGAAGTCGGATTGTTTTTTGTACGTCATAATACGAAAAAGAACAAGGCAGTTTATGGCCGTAAAGTGAATTGCCTGGAACTTGACTGGTTTTTTAAAAGTTCATAATACGACTGCAGGTGATTCAGGACATGCTCTTAGAAAGTGTACGGTGACTCCCATTACTACCAGAGGGAGACTGTACAAAAGTCGTTTGCTTGGCCACCTCTGTCCTATTCGTGTTTCTACCGTGAAGCAGCTGTGTTTGCATGGCTGTGTTTCGGTTTGAAGGGTGGGATATGGCGTGAATTTACAGGGTACAGAGGAATAACACCCGAGTCCTCAGGAACGACAACGCATGGGGGGTATCATGGGCGAAACAGTATACTCTGTTATGTCCATGGTACTACTCATGTCTATAGGCGACGGTTACTTTCCATCAGGTGGGCCGTCAGCTTGCTTGCCATTCTAAGTTGTATAAAAAAAACAAATACTGTCCCAGGCTCACAAGAAGCGCATTACACCAGTGTACATGTGAGGACGAGAAATGTAATCGAGAGGATAATTGGGCTCTTGAAAGCTTGAATCCGTTGCCTGCTTGTGCACAGAGTACTTCATCATGCCCCTGAGGTGGCAGCGTCTATAAGTAATGCTTGTGTGATGTAGCATGATACGACAGAACAGTCTAAACCAGTACCGACGCTCACTGATGAAGAGGCTCCATTAGAGGGTACAATGCAACTCCATCATACTCGCCACGAACTGTCTCAGTCTTCAAGTGCAGAATTAAATGAAGCTTTAGCTGCCAGGCGCCTCGTTTCTCGCCTCTGGAGTTCTCCAACTTCTACAAATTAAAAAAAAATAGATTACTCTGAGAAGGACTTTTTTTTTTAATGGATGATAATGAAATGGTAGCCCCGTCTGCGCTATTGGTATACGCTGGCGGGACACCAGTGAGGGATGATAGATGAGGGTGAAGCAGGTCAGTTAGCCCATCGTAACAAATTCAACAATAAACCAATCGCGATGGTTTCCAGGGGGAACCGCGAGGAGGTCGACCTGATAGGGTTTATTACTAACAATGGGGTTGCTGATCCCCATTACTAACAATCCCTTCCCCCCCTCTGAGAAGGACTATAATACCTAATGTGGTAGACATTGGGCATTATAGTTCTTGGCTTATTTATTAATTTCTTTTTTATATCATTTATACAATGAACAATGAAAGTCTGTCAAACCTTAGGACCTTACTGGAGTAGAGTGGCGGAAGATAGAGTTCAGTGGAGAGAGCTTTTTTTTTTTAATGAACGATAATGGAATGAAGATGAAAAGGCAGGTCAGTTAGCCCATCGCGATGAATACACTTGGAATTCAGCACGATGGTTTCCAGGGGGACCACGGGGAGGTCGACCTGTAAGGGTATATTGTCAGCAATGGAACTGATAATCCGCATTACTAACAATCCCTTCCCCCCAGTGGAGAGAGCTGGAAGAGGCCTATGCCAGGAGGCACACCGAATTGAGAGATATATTATAATATATATATAGAAAGGGAAAATATGTCTTACTAGGGTTATAGTGAATTCGGAGTAAAAGGGCTTATATATATATATATATATATATATATGCCCTTTTACTGGGTACAGAGGAATAACACCTGAGTCCTCAGGAATGGCAACGCATAGGGGGTATCATGGGCGAAACAGTATACTCTGTTATGGATGATAATAACAATATATATTATTTCTATGTTTTGTTTTTCTATATATATATATATATATATATATATATATATATATATATATATATATAAAAACAAAACTATATTGTTCCAGTTTGTCTGTGTCTACTGTATGTTCTCCATAAACTATGTAATAAATACCAAATATTCTCTTAGATATATATTATATAAAATATGTAAAAAGTAATATAAGATATTTAAAAAAAAATACATACATATAATTAACTGAAATTTTTTTTTATGCAACTTAAAATGGCAAACAAGCTGACGGCCCACCTGATGGTAAGTGGTAACCGTCGCCTATAGACATGAGCAGTACCATGGACATAACAGAGTATAATGTTTCGCCCATGATACCCCCCATGCGTTGCCATTCCTGAGGACTCAGGTGTTAATCCTCTGTACCCTGTAAATTCACGCCATATCCCACCCTTCAAACTGAAACACAGCCATGCAAATAATGCAATAATATTGTTGTTTTACCTGTTAATTGATTCAGCTATCCTTATTAATGTATTGAGCATTTGCTCTGTAACAGCATCCGTCTATTCTGTTCTTGCAGTCGTGACCTTGCGACATCTATTAAGGTAGTCCGAGCTTTCTCCATACTAATAGTTCCCTGTTGTACACTGATGTGTCAGGTCAGACGAAGGGGCTTCTGTAGGAACTTTGAGTTCTACTTGAGGTACTTCAATTCCTGTTTCTTGTGTGTCTATAGTTATTTCCTCTTCTGTATGTATGTCTCCTCGGGACACTGACTCTGATGCAGTGCACTCAATCATTACTGCATCAGAGTCGGTGTCCAAATTTTCTGACCCCAATGCACTGCCACTAGTAGTTGGTATCTGAAAATAATGTGATTTATATATATATATATATGACCAATAGAGACATTTGTAAAGGGATCTAAAGTACAGGGGTCCGGAGTGCCCTTGACTCCGTTGTATATATATATATATAATTCAGAAATAAAGGCTATTTTTATTTTTTATTTATTTTATATATATATATATATATATATATGGATAGGTGGGTAATTTCTGTCAAGGTCAAACATTATTATAGGAAGCTATTATAGGAATTGTATTTCTTAAATATTGTTAATCAATTATGATAGTATGCATCCAAAGGAAATAAATAAAATAACATCAGACAGGCAGAAAGTGTCAGGTATTTAGGAGGGAGAATAAATATTTATGATGCCTTATAGATATATGAAGTAAAAGTTTACACTCTAAAACTGATTGATGTTCATTAGATGAATCATAGAATTGTATAAAACAATACATTAACGCATAGAAGCCTCTGGTACTCCACTTCCTTTACCTACTTTGCAAGTGACTTATTTGTGAACACAGAATTTACATATATAAAAATTTCCTACAATTTACTCACATTTGTAAATGGGTCAACTTGTACATTACACAAACCGGACCCAAAACCCGCCACTAGAATGCTCAAGAATTTTCGTTCCAATGCATCCAAGGGTGGAACATTGGAAGGCCCACCTCCAGTACAGTTATGAGACAGACGTACTGCAGCAACTCTTCTTTTTAGTTTTGCTTTATAATCCACCAAATACTGTAACAGGGTACAATAGGACTGATATACCTGAAGAAGGTAAAAGCCCTTAAAATATTAAAAAAAAAAAAAAAGTTGATTATAATTCGTTATTTATTGTTTTGCAATATTTACATGTGGCCATCCTTCCAGTCTTTAAAAAGCTCCTTCTCCCAACGAATTCAAAGCTTCTGCGACTCTTTTCCGCATACGCTTTGTATATTCGCGCGCTTGAGCAGAGTCGTTATAACCCACAGCCACGTCCTTATCAATATTCAAAAATTACCACATAATTTCTCATTACCGGTACATTACGCGGTGACGTGAGCGAGAATTTTCACCAGACGTTGATATGCGATTTAATAAAGTGTGAGACTTTACATTAATTAATATAAATTTTTCCAGCACAAAATATATTTAAAAACTTACGCTATGATATATATTTTTGTTGTCGATAAACACAAAATAATATAAAAATTAAGTGACAGACTTCGAATTACTTCAAATGGAGCCAAGTAATGAAATAATTCCAGTTTCAAAACCCACTTCGAAAAATTCATATAATTTTTTAAGTACGTTTATTCTTTGTGGAACACGCTAAGGTCGGAGACCATGGTGCCTAACCTTCAATATGATAATTTATCTGGAATGAAAAATTCATATTTAAACGGATCAACGTCTTCTAGCTACGTTCAAAAATTTGCACGAAATACTTTTTAAAAAACAATTCGAAACATTCAAAAAGATAACGAGAATATTTCCATTAATAAAGTAAATCTATCTACTTAATAATGTTTTGTAGTAATTGCATCTTCGTTATATTTATTTAACCACCACTTTATCGAAACTATGTGGACATAAATACCGTAACTTACTGTAAAAAAATCTTGTATTGTTTCTGAACGAAGGCAGTGTATATGAATAACCAGCCATAGATAAATTATCCAGGTATAAGTCCGATTGTTTTTTCTACGTCATAATACGAAAAAGAACAATGCATATTAGAACCGTAAAGTAAATTGCCTGGAACTTGATTGGTTTTTAAAAGTAATGTTAATCAGCCCATTGTGACGAACTCCATTTGAATTAATGACGATGGTTTCCAGGGTGAACTGCGTGGAGGTCGAACGAGATCACGATTTAAATAAATAAATAAATAGATGTATTGCTAGTTTTGGGTCAGTTAGATCCCATGACATTAATATGAAACGACTGCTGTATAATGTATTACTCTGTGCTTGCTGTATTCAATATGACAAGCACAGACAAGCACATTTGTACGAGAACGTCATTTTTATCGAAATGACTGGATATTTGAAATTACCGCCACTATTAGTTCTAAATTATTCCGCGCGGAATTTGTTGCGCTAGTAGCATCGGTGTGATAAGCATTTTTTTTTGTTTGAATGTACACTTCTCTGCGAGTACTATCTTCCTTGCCAGTTACAGAATCATAGTTTCATCCTAGTACGGTAGGTATGTTAAGTCTATGATTTTAGTACAAGATTTCAATTTTAATTTTATTTTTATTACAACTCGTCCATCGTACACGGCCGAACAGCAGTCCTGGATTTGTAAATAGGTCATATATTTATGCATCATTTATATAAGTATGTATCTATATAATACAATTTTATCTTTGGCTGTTACACAGGTTACACTCTGAGTTTGTTGTACGCGTCCGTGTAGCCCGACTTCAGGCTGCAGTTGAAAATCAGCGCTTTGCTTTTAAGCAAAACCATCACTGAGCTGTAGCCTATTTGGGTCACTGCGACACACATGGCGAAACCATATTATCATATTTTATCTTTTGTTGTATATTTTGAAAAGTGTAAATAATTTGATTGTATAAACACATTTGTAAATTTACGTGTGTCATAAATGGCTCAAATAAAAAGTTTATCTATCTATCTATATAGGCTGCGGCCTAGGGACGCCAAATTTCATAGGCAGGACGGTCACTCGATTTATGAGGTGTGAGAGCGAGACAGGCCGACGGCGGGGATTCGCCGATGTCCAGTATTGCACAATGGCAATGCCAGAACCCTTTACTTTTACTGACAATATTTCCCCCACTGTTTTACATCACTATGGTATGGCATATACGTTACAGATGAGCGATAAAAATAGTTTTCGCTTTAGCTTTTGGTTTATGTGCAATAATAAAAAAAAAAACCGTTTAAATACAACAAATATGCAAAAGAATTGTATTTAATTAATAATTGCATTAATTAATTAATAATTATACAGATCGCAAGAGTTTTTAATTTTGAACAAAATGACATCATTGAGTTATATTAGCCAAAAGGGGTAGTTACGTCTTTTCTACTCAAATTCTTTAGTTTCATATTATATAATAATAAATTGATCAAAACTTTGTTACGTTATACACACATCTACGTATTATGTACAATGACATCTGTTGCTTTACACAATATATATATAATCACGTGATATGTCACACATAACGCTTACTACTTAAGGTGTTGCTGTTTGTACCTCTGAACTTTATCTTGTCTTATAAATACATTATACATTTAACATGGCTTGTCATCAGTATGTTTTAACAAATGCTGTGTTAAAGTAAACTTTCTACTAAAACATTTATTACATACATCACAACAATATGGCTTATCACCAGTATGTATCAAATAATGGCGGTTTAAGCTTCCTTTATTTGAAAAACATTTATTACATACATCACAACTGTGTGGCTTCTCACCATTATGTATCAGCAAATGCTGTTTCAATGTTGATTTTCTGGTAACACGTATACTACTTACAACTATATGTATACTTCTCACTTGTATGTATTGACAGATGCCGTTGCAATGATGATTTTCGGTTAAAACATTTATTACAAATATTACAATTGTGTGGCTTATCACCAATGTGTATCATCAAATGCCGTTGCAATGTTGAGTTTTGGTTAAAACATTGACTACATTCATTACAACTATATGGTTTCTCACCAGTATGTATCGACAAATGCCTTTTCAATTTTGATTTTTCCTTAAAACATTTACTACATACATCACAACTATATGGCTTCTCACCAGTGTGTATCATCAAATGCCGTTGCAATATTGAGTTTTGGTTAAAACATTTACTACATACATCACAACTATATGGTTTCTCACCAGTATGTATCGACAAATGCCTTTTCAATTTTGATTTTTCCTTAAAACATTTACTACATATATCACAACTATGTGGCTTATCACTAGTATGTATCAACAAATGCCTTTGCAATTTTGATTTTTGTTTAAAACATTTACTACATACATCACAAGTGTATCGCTTTTTATTAGACAAAAATATTTCCTGTTCAGTATGGACTGTCATATGGTATTTCAGTGTATTGTAGGTCTCGAATGTCTTACTGCATACCTCACATGAATGAACTTTATCACATGATATTCTTCTTTTCTGGTGCTCAGGTTTTAAGACGTTATGCTCTTTATCCTCATTATTAAGAACTCGTTCAGAACCAGGTTTTGAATGTTCAGTAGTTCCGAAGATGGTCACTCCTTGTGCAACTGTGGGTCCTATAACAGACTCACTCTTTATTTCATTATCCTCATATGACTTCAAGAGATTATTTCCTTCATCACAGCATATTATTTGATTAGCTTCCGATTCTTCAGTGACGTCAACATACTCTGTCTTCACAACTCCCGCTCCATCAGTGCCATGCTGAAAGTCATCTTGTTCAGTCACCGGTTCCTGTATGGTATTCGTACCTGTGCTGCAGCCTGGACGCTCTTCATGGTGTGGAGTCACCTGCTGTTCGGTGTCGTGGCTGACATGTAAATTCTCACCTTGTGTATTGTCCGTAGCCATGTTTTATCTAACATTCACGGTGGACACTACGGGAATATACTTAGACTTGTTTAGCTGTAATTTTCTGTTAAATGATGACCATGCTAAGGCTGTTCACTATTACAGTCAGACTGCTAAACTAGAAATGTTCATTGGGCCTTCTTGCATTCCTTGTACGACAGAACCACTAAAGAGGGTACCCACTGAAAATTTTCTGGATATCTACCGTGTCCAGTACGAGTCTCTTGGACATGACACTGCCACAAGTGGTCGTAAAAATAACAAGTGATTGCCAGAGAAGAATATAACAGAATAGGTAGACTGCCGCAGGTTTAAGTTTACAAATAACATGTTTCGGTCTAGTAGCCGGTATTACCTTTGTTATTATCCAGTCGGAGAAATAAAGCACACACAAAATGCACAAGGAATAAACAGTACAATATTTCGAACAAGTCAGCCGTGTAGTAAGATTAGAGAGGCTGTGACTATGTCTAAAACAGAAATCTTTGGTCTAATGACAGGTAGGAAACTCTTGTACAGATAAGTGTACGTTAGTGATTTGACCAGGAGCTTGTATCTACCCTACAGATTTTTTTTTCCAATGAAAAAGGTTTGTGTATGCCTTGAGGAGTATTGCTTTTAAGTATTGCTATTTGAAAATATATATATATTAAAAGGAATGTACGAATATTAGGTTATAATTGTTTATAATTTTTTTTTACTAATAATAAAGAATAAAATAGTGTTTTATATTCATAGTGATATTTTTTTTAACATTTCATTTCACTATTTTGGTCAATCAATCAATCATTGATTGACTATTTTGGTATAGGTAGAATATAATTATTTAAGGTGGTTGGTCCTTAAACAAAAATAGATACAACATACTAGATGGCGCTAGAATCGATTTTTGCAGTTTTTATTATTTTGTAATTGAAGATAATTTGAAGCAAAATTTCTGAATTTGCGGACGGTCATATTAATTTTTTACCCATACAGTAATAACTTATCATCTTTTTTATATTATTCTCCTGTTTTTTACATTTTTTTTTTAAATACACACTAGAATGGAATATTGCGAGTGTGTGAGTTATTATTCATTCAAGAATAGGTTGCGTATTATCTGTCATTTCCTTTTCAGATATACGTAGAAGTAGGTATGTATTTACTCTGAAAAGTATGTGACTTTCATTTTTGTCTGGCACGTGGAATATTATTTATAGAATTATGTAGGTATTTACTGGGATAGGTACCTATAATAATAGCGTTCGGTGGATATATAAATTTAGTTTCGATGTAACCTGAGGGCCTACCATGAAATGTTTTCCGAAATTTCGGATCCGAACGAAACACAAATTTGATGCTAAAATTACATGATGCGTACCGTTTAAAAATATTGAAAATACTAAAATATCGATCCTTTGAACTTTTATGGTAGGATTTATGACAAACGAAATGTTAAGCTCTTTTTACAGGGTCGATTTCAGTACGAACTTGAGCACGAAACACGAAATTGAGCCCGAAAATTCGGAATTTCATTTCATGGTAGACCCCCTGATTTTTACTCAACTGTCGAAAAAAAGATATGTTTTTTATATTACCTATTAGATAATTTCCTACTATGATAATAATAATATATAATACCAGCTGACCCCGTAAACGTTGTTTTACCACTTATTGCTGAAATATAAAAATCGCAATTAAAATACAGGGGTTGATCGTAAAACGGTGAAAATTTAAAGTTGTATGTATTTTTCAATGCTAAATCATAATAAAATAAAAATAGATACCCGTTTTAAAAAAATCTTCGTCTAACTTCTCAAAATAAGCGTCCACGGCGGCTATGAACTCTTCATTTGTAAAAAAATGTTTACCACCTAAAATTTTTTCAGCTTTGGGAACAGATAAAAGTCGGACGGTGCTAAATCCGGTGAATATGGGGGATGAGGTAACAATTCGAAGCCACATTGATGGGTTTCTGCCATGCATTGCACAGAGGTGTGAACGCGCGCATTTTTTTTTTAATGGGTGATAATGGAATGGTAACCCTGCCCGCGCTATCGGTATACACTGGCGGGGCACCAGTGAATGATGATAAATGAGAATGAAGCAGGTCAGTTAGCCCATTGTGACGAATTCAACAAGAATTGTTCACGATGGTTTCCAGGGGGAACCACGTGGAGGTCGACCTGATAGTGTATTGCTAGCAATGGGTTCATTAGACCCTATTACTAACAATCCCTTCCCCCCTGAACGCGCGCATTGTCCTGATGAAACAAGACTTTTCTCAATAAACCGAAATGAGGGTAGTTATAAAAAAAAACCAATGACTTTAACCATGTTAGGCTAAGAACTTTTCAAATGACCCTCGTACTTATACCTACACTACGTAATTATAATAGTTATTTAACTGCCCAAGGTTCGACTCCACCAGACTCCACCATGAGACCGCTTGCCGAATGGCCGCTGTCGCCGACCCATACAACCTACTAGAGATCAACGGAAAAGAATCCACTGTGCATAGCTTCAAAACACACATCAGATGCATTATCAACAACGCCAAGTCTTTTAACCGAACCTAACACATCTGTGTTGAGCAAGGTTAAAGCACTGAATAAATATATATAAATACATATTTATATATCAACACAACACAATATATATATATATATATATATATACAATACTCACCGTCTTCATAAACTCTCAAACCCTGTCCAAAATTTTCTATCGACTCCATCAACTGTCAACCTGTAAATCGTAAAACTCACCATGATAACTCATCGTCCATCAATCCGCGTCCGAAAGGTCACGCTCTCAGTACCCACTAAATGTTGAAGCCCAAATCCATCATCCATATTATAAGTCAACCAGCTGCAAACCTTGGCATACGCGAGAGTACACCAAAAGCGCAAACGCAAGTGCTTGGGAACTCAAATCCAGTGTATAGCACAAAAAAGTTATATAAATTTCTAAATCTTTTATAACCTTACTCTATTTTTGGGTGAGAGAAGGGATTATTAGTAATGGGGATTAGTAGCCGCATTGCTAGCAATATACCCCGCCAGGTCGACCTCCTCGTGGTTCCCCCTGGAAACCATTGTGATTGATTTATTATTATATATTTATTTATTTATTGAACCACGCAGGGGATGAAAAGGCAGATTAGTTAGCACATCATGACGAATTCAACGATAAATTAGTCACGATGGTTTCCAGGGGGAACCGCGTGGAGGTAGACCTAATAAGATATATTGGTAGCAATGAGGACTATCCTTCCCTTTACTAACAATTCCTCCCGCCCCCCTAAAACTAAGTTTTTTTTAAAGGGTGTAAATGGTATGGTAACCCCGCCTGCGCTAACGGGATACGCTGGCAGAGCACCAGTGAAGGGTGATAGATGAGAATGAAAACAGGCCAGTTAGCCCATTATGATGAATTCATCAGGAATTAACCATGATAGTTTCCAGGGGAAACCGCGAAGAGGTCGACCTGGTTGGGTATATTGCTAGCAATAGGATTCTCAGTCTCCATTACTAACAATCCCTTTCCTCCCTTTAATGCCTAAAACTAAGTTAGGAACAAGAAGATATGCTCTGAGTAAAGTATAGAGAACAGGATGTCAGGCCATATCTTGGGCAATTAGGAGAACACCAACAGCAGCGATGGAGATGATACTGAATCTCCTTCCACTGCATTTAGTGATTGAAAAGGAAGGAGGAAGACGCTTCATAGATTGTAGAAGGCAAAGTTAGAGGTAAGATTTATCGTCATCATATCAGCTATAACAGAGGGAGACTTTGTACAAAAGTCGATTGTTTAAGTACCTCTGTCCCATTCGTGTTTCAACCGTGAAGCAGTTGTGTTTGCATGGCTGTGTTTCGGTTTGAACGGTGGGATATGGTGTGAATTTACTGAGTACAGAGGAATAACGCCCGAGTCCTCAGGAATGGCAACGCATGGGGGATATCATGGGCGAAACAGTATACTCTTATTTCCATGGCACTGCTCATGTCTATAGGCGACGGTTACAACTTTCCATCAGGTGGGCAGTCAGCTTGTTTGCCATTCTAAGTTCCATAAAAAAAACCTCGATGAGGCGCGCTGCGATCGTCCAATCAAAATGCTTTGCATCTGGGCCCCACCGGCCTATGGTCTCTACAGCGATTGGCAAAAAATAAGAAATCCAGATGTGAGTATTTACGTTTCTTTATTGTTTTCACTGAATTTCGTAAAATAATTCCCCTAAAACTTCGGAACTCTTTTCCGAAAGTTTACAATCCCGTTAAGGATCAGATTTTTTATTACGTAATTATCTTGTTGCAGAGACATGATAGTTACTCTATGTACATTATTATCAATATTGCCATAATAAGTATTATTATTAATTTTAACTTTACATTTACCATCTAAAGTAATTTCATTTCTTTTTAAGGTATTAACATCAATTCTCTGCGGCCATTTAAGAAGCCATATTTCATCATCGTTTGTTATTATCGAATTACGCTGATTTTTATCTAAAACTTGTTTTAAATTGTCATTCCCGTTGGATTTTTTTTTAAACATTGTTGAATAAGTGGTAATGTTATTTTCTTTATTCCGATATACCTCTTGATTCGATCCATTTTCATCTTCGGATTGATTTTGTTGCAAAGATTTCCTTTTTATAATATGCTTTTTGTTTGTATACCCTTCATTACTAGAAATGTCACTACTAATATAATCATGTGAGATTGGTTCTGTTTTTAATTTTGTTTCGTCTGCTTTTCTTCTGGGATCATGTTCGGTGTTTTCTTTTTCACTTTTATTATCAGGATGTATTGATGACATTTGAGTGACATCAACACTAACATCTTTGAGTTTCCTATTTTCCTTTTTACAAAACTCTGTATTACTTACAGCTTCTGTTTTAATACGTTTTTTCTTGGGACTGTTATTCTCATCGCTGTCAATTAAATAATGCTTACATTTTCTTTTATTACTATTTCCGATTTCAGTTTTAATAATCTGACTATTTTCATTATTTGTTTTTTCTTCGTCATCGTCTTCGTCCTTCTTATCATTTATTTCTTCTGATTTATTATTATTCTTAATGGTAAGCCTATTTTTCTTTTTCTTTTTTTTCCTCAAATTAGAATCAAGCATTTCTGTATCACCATCTTTCTTAATACAAGAAACTTCATTACCTGTGATACTGTTTAATGAGTCAGCCATTTCACTATTATCTCTTCTATTTTTATGTGTTTTACACAATTTTTCAGAATCGTTTTGGTAATTTAAATTAAAACTAGACATAGAACTACCTTTATTATCGTCTTTTTGCTCGTTATTTATTTCAGTATTATTTTCATTAATAAATTTATCTTTCTTACTCTTCTTCTTTTTCTTTTTACCAAGACCCGAATTGTGACCGTGATTTATCTTATGCTTGCAATTTTTAGATGATTTAAGCAATTCTACACATTCATTTTGATTATAAAAATCAGAAATAAATTTAGAATTCATTTCTTTGTTCTTTACTTTCCGTGTTTTTTTATCTATGCCAGTCATTTCCTGTTTAACTTTAACATTTAAATACATTTCATCATCAGGATCATCATCAGAATGTATTGAAGAAATTTGTGAGACGTTATCATTAATATTTTTGTATTTCTCACTCTTTTTATATGAATCTGTATCGCTTTCAAACACAATTTTATGCCACATTTTCTTGGAACTTACACTATCTTTACCATGAGTTAGATGTTTAATTTTCCATTTATTATTATGGTGTTTAAATTCATTTTCCATGGCTTGCTCATAATTATTTTCAAAATTATACATTTGCATTATTTTATTAGGTGTTTTACTTAAGTCTGACTCACATTGATTTTTGTTAACAATCTCCATGTCTCTGGAAATAAAAAAAAAATAATATTTTTTATTTTTAGATAACAGATACATTGAAGCTGTTTCTGTAGCGGCTGTTCCTCACAGCAACATCTCTATTCTATAGACTAATATGAATTGAATTTCTAAAAAATTTCAAAATTATGCAGTCAGAAATGTCAAATATTATTTTGACTAATTGTATTTTTTTTTGTTTAACTTAGTTTGATAGTTATATATATATATATATATATATATATATATATATATATATATATATTTTTTTTTTATGCAACTTAGAATGGCAAACAAGCTGATGGCACACCTGATGGAAAATGGTAACCGTTGCCTATAGACATGAGCAGTTACCATGAACATAACATTACACACACATACCGTTTCGCCCATGATACCACCCATGCGTTGCCATTCCTGAGGACTCAGGTTTTATTCCTCTGTACCCTATAAATTCACTGTCATATCGCACCGTTCAAACCGAAATACAACCATGCAAACACAACTGCTTCACGGTAGAAACACGAATGAGACAGAGGTGCCGCCTAAGCAAATGACTTTTGTACTGAGTCTTCCTCTGTTAAACTTGCAGGTCTACTCTTGAATTTAATATCAATATTAAACCAATGTAATATATATGACAAGGGGGGGGGGGGGGGAAGGGATTGTTAGTAATGGGAAGGTTAGTCTCCATTGCTATCAATACACCCTATCAGGTCGACCTCCACGCGGTTCCCCCTGGAAACCATCGTGCTGAATTCCAGATGTATTCATCACAATGGGCTAACTGACCTGCTTTTTCATCCTCACCTATCATCCCTCACTGGTGCCCCGCCAGCGTATACCGTTAGCGCAGGCGGGGTCACCATTCCATTATCATCCATTAAAAAAAAAAAATATCAATGACAATTTTGTACTGCACTCATGAATTAGGGATTAAATTGATTAACAATTTTATGTATGAGACTCACATGCTGCCACTATCAAAACTCTCATCTGTAGCTTTTATCCATGTGAAACTGTCGTTTGAAGAGGAATCCATAAAAAAAAGTTGGCCCTATCGTATATGTAGTTTATAAAATTTTAACTGTCAAACAGGATTTATTCGAATAATATACTATTTGGTCACAATCAACACATCTCTTTATACTTGTCTAAATTATTAGAGAAAACCTTATGAGTTTAATAAAATTAAACTATAAAAAATGTTATTAAATTATAAATGGAGGAGAAAAATAAATAAAAAATAAATATAAGACATTAGAATGCATAGATAACATTATGTCTAAAGACAGATAAGAAACTCTTTTAGACTAAGATCATATGCTTGCCTCCTTTCTTCTTATGCAAATATAATTAGTAAAAAAAGGACGAAAGATACACGATTAGTTTCTATTTTTCTTAATTCATGGCTGGCTAGTGTATAGAAAATGTGAACGTAATATTTTTGTTTATTTATATTACTAGATTGTATATTGGACACAGTTCTATCTGACACAGGTTGTATCTGAATTTAGTAGGCTAATATAATATAATATAACATTTTCTATCTTCAATTTTAAGTATAAATAATATATATAGTAATTAATTTGTTATAATTCTTTTTAAACAAATGAATTACTTTTCGCGCCATTTTTAGTGTTGCAAGTATTAAAAAAAAATCCCTACAATCAAATTAAAATTCCCCAATTAAGGTGGATTTTATTTTCAACAAGAATTAAATTATTTATAATTATTCATTTTATTTGAAGCTAGTTTTTTTACGTAATAATAGTAATTTTTATTACAAACAATTAGAATCCATTTTTGTTTGTAACAATCGACTGTTGTATATTAAACAATGTTAGTAAAAAAAATGTAAAATTCATAGTTATGTAGGTATGTACATAGGGTTCGGGTGATTAATAGACCTGATGATGGATATAGGCTTAAACGGCAATGCGATAATTTGTTTGAACGCAGTATGGATACCGTGAATGCGGTATATAAGGTAGTTCTAAATAATAATGTTGACAGGGGGGAAAGGATTATTAGTAATGGGGACTACCAGTTCCATTGCTAGCAATATACTTTGTCAAGTCTACCTCCACGTGGTTACCCCTGGAAACTATCGTGGTGTACTTCAGATGTATTCATCACGATGGGCTAACTCACCTGCTTTTCATTCTCACCTATTATCTCTCACTAGTACCCCGCCAGCGTATATCGTTAGCGCAGGCAGAGTTAACATTCCACTATTATCCATTAAAAAAATGGTGACAGTGTTAGACTTCTTCCATTCATTTTTGCTGTCATACTCTTCATCTCGATTGCTCTCCTCTTACACTTCTAATTTCTGTTTTCATATTTTACTTACTTTTGTTCACTTTGGTGAAAGTGGCGTCACTATCTGTCTCGGGGGGGAAGGGATTGTTAGTAATGGAGACTGAGAATCCCATTGCTAGCAATATACCCAACCAGGTCGACCTTCTCGCGGGTCTCCTTGGAAACTATCATGGTTAATTCCTGTTGAATTCATCATGATGGGTTAACTGGCCTGTTTTCATTCTCATCTATCACCCTTCACTGGTGCTCCGCCAGCGTATCCCGTTAGCGCAGGCGGGGTTACCATACCATTTTCACCCATAAAAAAAAAAAAAAACTATCTGTCTCGCTCATTCATGGCAAACATGTCCAACTGAGTAAAATAGATTAGCAAAAATCGGGTTAGTTAAGGTTTTTATTTTTTTACTCGTTTTTTAGTATAAAACTAACAAGTATTGTACCATTTTACAATGCTAATTAAATGTGTGAACTTTTAATGGCACTTGCCAAGGCACTTTAGTAAATTTTTTTTAAGTTTCAAATTTTGAAAATTTTAAATTCATAGTTTAAGAAATAGTCTTAATTCTAGAAAATTTGCGGCAAATGTGTCATTATTTCTGACTGTGATTATAGAAATGTTATTTAGGGTCACGGTTCCAAAGTTTAAATGAACAAAAATAATAAAAATTAACCACAATAACCGAAAAATGGTTACGGCTTAATGAAATAAAATGTATAAAATAATGTAATATTTAGAAATTTCTTATATAATTTTGTTTTTTATTTAACTTTCTTTATGTTTATGTTTCTTTTTATGTTTAATTTTTTTCACTAATAGTTGCAACTGAATGATCATGCTGTGTGCACATGTTGTGGCAAGTTTAATACTTGCATGTTATAATTTAAGTTTATATTTGTAAACTTCCGTTATATGCGCCTAATAAATAAAATAAAAGGTTTTTAATAGACAACATAATGCCCCTTAAATGGAACTAATAAAATTTATAAGTCACTACATTTTATTTACTAAAAATTACATCAAGAAAAATAACTGCCGATTTCGCCTTAAAACAAAAATAGGAAACATAACATTGTTGTATAACAGTATGATTTTCTTGAATTTTAATACTATATATTGTCTCCACGTGCTTCCATTACTGCGTTTACGTGGTTGGGCATGCTGTAGGTACCACCACCACGTTTCTTATACGATTCTGGCAAATGTTTTCCCTTTCCTCTGTGAAAGCAATTTTGAGCTCACGAAGCGTGATTGGGGGAAGGTTCCGTTGTTTTACGCATCTACCTAGCTCGTCCCATGCATGCTCAATCGGGTTGATGTCTGGATTGCGTGTTGGCCACTCCATACGAGTAATGTTCATCTCTTGTAGATAATTATCACAATTAAACCTCTATGAGATTGGGCATTGTCATGCATAAAAAGAGCATCCATTCCATCGATTTCTTTAAATACGAATATATCAGAATCTTTGAAAATTTTAAACAACGAGTGTTTGGAAATACCTACGTATGGGAATGGAAATCGAGTTAATTGTAAATTGACTAAATGTAAAAAATATTTAATTATATTTTATCTTAAGCTTAATTTCTTAATTATATTTTTTTAACCTTTATTCAATAAATACCTTTATCGCTTTAAATAAAAATGGCGGCTATTTTGATTAATTCTAATAACAGATTTATAATTGAAATGTATATGGATCCTTGGATATTGATTTTAAAAGCAATCCGTTAAATCGAGAAAGATTCTTTGGGTAAAATATATATAGTCGAATTTAAATCTCCTTTTTGAAGTCACTGGAGAATAGCGGCAGTTTTATACGAATTGCAGTAAATAGTCTGCGTAATACTCAATAATATATCTATGTACATAGCAATATAAATAATATGTAAGAAAATAGCACAAAATACAAATAATAATCAAAAACAATTAAATTCGGAAATTTTAATTGTAGGGATTTATTTTTCGGATACTTGCAACACTTAAAAATGGCGCGAATTCTTTTAATAAATAATATTTATATTTGGCAAAGTACCCTAATATCGGGGTGAATGCCACAAAAAAAAAAAAAATTTATATTTACATTTCTGTTTAAAATTGAAGACACTTACTAATTATAAGTTATTTCTTTATCAGTTCTGTTTTTCGACTTATAATTTTTGTTCTTTTTTAGTATGCAATAGCTACTCAATTAACTATAAACACTTGAAGTCAAGTTCCATATAGAACTATAATAAAAAAAAAAGTCAGATATTTTGACAATTAGCTGACAAAAACTTGACATGTTTTTGAAGCTCGATGCTCTATCTATACAATCTAAGGTATCAACATATGATTTTTAATGTTGATTTTAAGGTAAATCATTTATTACATACATCACAAATATATGGCTTCTCATCAGTATGTATTAACAAATGCTGTTGCAAATTTGTAGGTATGTACGGTTTGTTTGGTCACTTGGACAGGATGGATAAAAGAAGAATTACGAAAGAGATTTATGGAGCAAGAATGAATGGAGATGTCGGTAGGGGCCACCCTAGACGGACGTACGTTGACCAAATAGGCGACGTGCTGAAGAAAGGCCAAATTAAAAGTACCCGTAACCGGCGAGCATGTATGAAAAGATTGATGAATGTGGAAGAAGCGAAAGAGGTTTGTTTGAATCGAAGCATTTGGCGTTCCATTGTTTCTGCCTACCCTAATGGGAGACAGGCGTGACAGATATGTATATATACATGTATGTTGCAAATTTGATTTTTTACTAAAACATTTATTACATACATCACAAGTGTATGGCTTTTAGCCAACATGTGTCAACAACTCATGTTTCATATGTGAATCCAGAGTATAAAGCTTGCTACAATGTTTAAACAAGTATATTTCTTGTTCAGTATGGACTGACATACGGCATTCCAGTGTATTGTAGGACTCCAATGTCTTACTGCATACCTCACATGAATGAACTGTATCACATGATATTCTTCTTTTCTGGTGCTCAGATTTAAAGACATTACGCTCCTCATACTCATTACAGAATTTTTGCAGTTGAATGATTGCAGGCAATACTTGTATATTCACTTCGATACAGAAGGGGATTTCTATAGGACAGCATTGCAGTTAATTTGAATAGCTAAAACTTATGTAAAGCAATCTATTTAAATCTATTGAATTTAAAAAACTATACCAATGTATGTCATATACCTCAAGAGTTTGTTATGCCATATTATTGTTTATTTGTTAATTAGAATGCTGTGTTCCCTTTAAAACGATTGTTACACTAAGTATAAATAGACGGTAATTTTAATATTTTAATTTTCCATTGTTTCTGCCTACCCTAATGGGAGACAGGCGTGACAGATATGTATGTATGTATGTATGTATGTAATTTTAATATTAAATCTTATCAGTGTAACAATTGTTAGGAGACCAAATAAAGATAAAATAAAAATACAGAATACTCATTCAAAATCAGGTTTTAATCGTCCAGTAGTTCCTTGTACAACTGTGGGTCCTATAACCAACTCTTCCTTTATTTCATGATCCTCGTACAGCTTCAAGTGATCATTTCCCTCACCATAGCTAGTTACTTGATTAGCTTCCGATTCTTCAGTGACGTCAACATACTCTGTCTTTACAACTACCGTTTCGTCTATGTCATGCTGAAAGTCATATTGTTCAATCAACGGTTCCTGTGTGGTTTTCATAACTGTGCAGCAGTATGTATGGTCTTGATGATGAGGAGCCATCTGTTGTTCGGTGTCATGGCTGACATGTGAATTCTCACCTTGTGTATTGCCCATAGCTATATTTGATCCGACATGCACTGTGGATACTGTGGATACTGTGGAAATAAATTTGACCTGTTTAGCTGTAATTTTTTGTTAAATAATAACCATGTTGAGGTGGTTTTTTTTTTTTTTTAA